GCTCCCAGTTTAGTCAAAAAAGGCAGAAAGCACAAAAAACTAGTTAAGAGGCTTTCAAAAGCCTGTAGCAGTACCAGGAACACAAAGTCTCAGCCACCTGGGGCTTCTGCTAAATAACTTTCTGAGGAATTTCAGGAGAATTAAGATTAAATTGTTTTGATAATTACACATAAACACCACTTCACTGAATGTTACAAAGGGGTAATGCTCTAGAGAGAGAATAACTCACCTATTGTTAATTTTTTTTTTTCAGTCTTTTCTTTCAGGACTGATACATTAACCAGAGATTGAGTGCAAACACACACCATTCTTGGACTCACCATTAGCTGAGTGTTTTTAAAAGCAGGGAGAACAATTCGAAGCCTGCTCCATGCCAGACAGCTTTGCCTTTAGAGAAAAAAAAAAAAAAGAGCATCAGCAGGTTGCTGGGTTTTCTTTTTTCAGTATGACTTTCTAGCACGTCCCACTGTCTGCAGGAAGGTATAAGATAAATGTGAATGGTGCAGCCTCCTGCCCCCTAACCTGTGATTCAAGCTGTAATTGCACCATGTGCACAGGCACTGAAGCCAGAAATCCAAAAACCCATACCAACACTTCAGATCAAAAAGTCCTCAATACTCGTCCTTCTCCCACCTAACACAACACCAAGATATTCAGATATTTAGAGCAAAAGGGAGGCATTTTCTATAGGAAAAAAAAAGCCTTAGAAAGGGAGAAAAATAATGACAGCTGTGTTTAATATGCTCAGAAACCACCATTTCCCTGAGGGGAGAGATTTATTAGGAAAAAGATGGAATTTCTTGTTACTGATCATGATAACCCACTGAACTCCATCTAATAAATGTACATTAAAGACCAAGGAGCAGCCCCTCATCCCAGACTTTGCACTGCTGCACAGGCAAAGCCCACACAGAGCTGCCATGGCAGAGCTGTGCTCCCAAAGCACGAGCCTGGCCACAGGAATGGCAGATCAAGGGCAGGTAATTACAAGCACTTCTGAAGAGAGATCATGATGCATTGGTCAGCCACGCAACCTCGTGAGTCATGAGTGAACATCTGACTTTTATTAGACCTCAGCAATATAATGAAGAATAGGAAAGGAAATAAAGATCATGCTGGCACAGTCACTGCCCTGCAATGCCAGCCTTACAGTTACCACACACAGACCAGGAAAATTAAATATATTGTCAGGACACAAGGCAATACAAAGTACATGAGATACTTGAAAGACAAGGAATCTCAGTGTAAGATCTGCACTGCTTAAAGCAATGAATAAATTCAAAATCTACTGAGCAATCGTAAGTTAAATAGAGGGGAAAAAACCCCCACAAAAACCAGTTTGAAATGCTGAACGCAACATATTAATAATGCAGCAGAACAGGACAAATATCATGACATTAGCTGGCCTTCAATTTACTACAAGCTGACAGCATTTTGTGTTGCTGCCTCTGTGTTTAGAGGGAAAGCACCCAGTGCACATGGTGAGCCTTACTCCACTTTATGAGGATGTCAGCACATAGCTACATGAGCAACTGAGGACATTTCCAAAGCACATTGCCAGGTAGGGGAGATAATGAATTCAAAGGAAATTTGAATGAAGAAACCTAAGGAGTTAGAGGCCAGCAAGTGTCCTATGACAAATCACTGCCTTTATCACTGACTTACTGCTTACACTAATAAATATCTTCCTGTTATTCCTCAATTTTTACAAACAAGCAAAAAGCTTGAGGAGAATTGACTCTGATTCCACCGAAGGGCAGAATATGAGGGATGTCATACTTCACAGGAGGGAACCAAAACATTGTAAGTGATCTATTTCAGTCCTATCCATTAGACTCACAGCAAATGAAATGCACTTCAAGCTAAGACCTCCTATGTGAAAACACTGATAATGTACCAAGGGAAAGCACTGCAGGGTTGTGCAGAAAACCATCATGTCCCTCTGAGAGGGAAAAAAAAAAAGAACATTAAGAAAAGCACAGAATAATGTATCAGTGAGAGAACAAGAGAGCCACTGAGCGATCACCAAATTACGAGGCCACACAGTAAGATACCACAGAGGCTACCACAAAGTGTTGCAGTGAAACTCCCTGTATAGGAGGCTGAAGGTAAATAAAAAGGAAAGTTAAAGACCTCAGGGAAACCAATAAGCCCACCTCCCTGCAAACACACACTGGTATCACAGCTGTTGATAAGGGAGGCGTGTGGACAAGCTGGATTAGCTCTATCAGCAATCTAAGAGTGGGTAAACAACCAAGACCAAGCTAATAAACAATCAGCATCAGCAAGAGTTATCACAGGAGTGGTGCAGAATGCAAAACACAGCACTAAAATACCCTGGAGGAGCTTCCTACTCAAGTGATGGACAGGGGAAACTGAAAACTTTCATTTAGGAACCTCAAGAGAATGTCTGGATGAAAAGGGAAGAGACAAGAAGTGATCACACAACTACAATTGTGCTTCACTCATCTGAAAAAGAACACACCACAGGAAATTCACAATCTGTTCAAGCAGACCTATAAATAGGCACAAACAGCAGAGATTGGGGCACAAAGCAACAACAGCAATGTCCTAAAGGGAGGGACAGAGGAATGGGTGCCAGGAGGAGAAAGGGCCTGTTTTGCTGAGTGGACTTGGGCAGAGAACAAAGACACAGGCAAAAGCGCTTACAGAAGAATGGGCCAGATTTAGATCAAAGAACAGATCAATTCTGTGCATTTGGATAGATGCAAAACAAAAACACATTTAACAGCATCACAGACCCTTAAAATAATATGACAAGTTTTGAGAATGCAGAGTCCTCCGGAAATCCACAGTCAAACGCAGGAGTCCAAGAGAACGTGAGATGCAAGGGAATATTTCAGGTGGCTCAAAGGTGATGAGAACATTCACTGTTTAGAAATCTGTATATTTTAATAAGAAGAGAGCAAAAATTTTAATACCAGGAAGAAAACAAGGGAAAGTCACAGTAAACAAGTGGATGTAGATTTCCACGTGACAATAATCTCATAGTAGTGATAGATGTACAGAAAATTAGCAGAACTGAGCTGAGGACCAGCATGAGAAAAGAAAACAACAACAAAACAAATACATGCATTCAATGCAAGACAAAGGACAGAAAAACTAAAATCCTGAGGCAAAGCTACTGCTAAGTAGAAAAAAAAATCTCTATATTGAAGAAAACAAACACTGACACAGACATAAAATGAAAAAAAAAAAAGCCCTACCAAACACACCAGCATTCAGAAATCAGAGCAGGCTGAATTAATTTAGGAGAGAAAAGGCAGCTCTTATGTCTGTGCTTCTCCATGGACCAAAGTTTCACTGTGTGAGAGAAACTGGTAACACTGGGTGAGCACCAAAATGAACTCTGGGCTCGGGGATCACAGTTTGCAATAACGAAACAGAAAGTGACAAGTAAGGTGACTACAGCCTTTCCTGGGATTTACACTAGGATTGTGCCTGGAAGGGACAGTGCACCTACTGCTACACAGCAGAACATATAAAAAAAAACCAACCAGTTCCTAAAAAGAGGGGGTCAGTGAAGGCCTGCAAGACAGAAACAGCGATCAGGAGGACAGAATCAAAGGGCTCAAAAGAGAAACTCATGCTCGCTATGGGCATAATACCAGCAGTGAAAAAATCCTGCTTTAGAGGAACTGAAGTGGGAGAGCAGAGCAGAGGTGCTGCCGCACCCGCAGCAAAGGTGCCGCTCCCCAATCTACCACCCCAGAATGTAAAACAGAAGCTCCAGGTAAACGAGTGCATTTGGTGGCCCGCTCCACACCTCCACATCTCCCCTGTAAAGCCAGAAAATTTGCTGTGGAGGAGCATTTTAACACTGAGAGCCATGAAGAGATTCAGGATCTGATGTACCGTTGATGTACCAATATCCGAGGGCTCAGCAGCCCTGCCGTGTTTCCGAGCTGCCAAGCGCTGGGGGAGCAGCACCTGGAGTCCGTGACTCCGCGATTCGATGGCATTTTGCCCCCCTCACACCAACCCCGCTGTGGCCAAGCCCGTGTTTTGCAAGTCATACGAGCCCCGGGAGCTCTCCTCGCTCCCGGGAGGCGCCGTTAGGAAGTCCCAGCCCCTGCGGGCCCCGAGCAGCGCCGCACTCGGGGCACCCCAGCTCGGCAAACCCCCGTTCATTCACCTCCCGCCGCTTTCCCCAGCGAGCTCCCAGCTCCGGGGCCTCCGCCAGAGCTCAGCCAGCCCGGGGGCTGCACCTCGGCCAGGGAGGTGCAGGGATCCCCGGTACCCCCGGCTTGCCCTCCCCCGATGGCCCCAGCCAGGCAGCCGGGGTACTGGGGATCCCTGGGGGCAGCGGCATCAACCACGGGAGCCGATGGGGCCCCGGGCCGCTGCCTGGGGCCGGGGGCTGCGCTGGCCAGGCCCCCGCCCCAACCGGGACCCACGCCTGGGGGAGCGGAGGCCTGAGCACGGTGCTTTCACACACGGACGCACGGCCGGCAATGGGGCCGCCAGCGGGGCCACCAGCGCCCAGCCCGCCGCTGTCCCTTCCCCTCACCCCGATGCGCGCTCCGCTCCACCCCAGCCCCGCGGCACCCGCCAGCCGGGCCGCGTCCGCTCTGCCTCACCTCACCGCCGCACAGCCCCGCCGGGAGCACAGCGGGAGCGCAGCGGGGCCGCCGCGGACCCCGCGCCCTCCGCCCCTGCCTGGCCCCGGCCCGGCGCTGCCGCCGCTCCTTTGTGCCGAAAGATGGAGGCGACTCACGGCGCAGCCCCGCCCCGCCCCGGTCCCTCCTCGCCCGCGGCCGCGCCCCCCGCCGTCTCCCGGGCGACCCGCCGCGCCCTCGGCCCCGCCCCCGGCCCGGAGCTTCGCCCAATCGCGGCGCGGGGACGCCGTGACGTCGTCCCTGCAGCCAACCCCCGCCCGCTCCGCGCGCCGCTCTGCCCGCCGTAAGCGCGGCGGCGATTGGCTGCCGCGGGGGCGGGGCCAACCAAGGAAGCGCTCGCTCGGTTGGCCGCGGCGGGCGGAAGGGGCGGGCGGCCGGCGGAGGGGAGCGGGGTCAATGGCGGCGCTGCGGGCCCGGCGGTGCCGCTCGCTTTGAGAGGCCGCGGTACGTGCCGGGGGCGGGCCCGGGGCGGCGGGGCCGGAGGGAGCGCCCGGAGGGAGCTCCCGGGGGCGGGGATAGCGGCCGCGGCCGGGCCGCCGGGCCCTTCCGAGTGCGGGGGTGAGGAGGGCCGGGCCTGGGCTCCGCGAGCGCGGCGGGCCGGGAGCCGCTCCGGCTCGAGGGGCCGGAGGGGAGGTGCGGAGAGGACTCGGAGCAGCTCCAGCCCGGCACGGCCGTACCGAGCTCCAGGGGTACCGCAGGAAGCGGGCCCGGGGCGGGTTCAGGCCGGTGGGGCCGATTCATCCCCTCCGGGCTCGGCTCGCAGCGCCTCAGCTGATGCCGTGCGGGAGCGCTGCCCGGCCCGGCCCGTCCCCGGTGGGTTGATGGAACGGGTCCGTAAGTTGCGTTTGGTATTTAATGAGGCTGAGTCTGTTGGAAACTGCGCTCCGGTACTCGGGGCACCGGCGCTGCCCTACATCTGTTCCAGCCTCAGTGGTGGCAAGGGTGAAGTTTGGGAGGTTTTGTGATCCTGGGGTGTTACCATCTGGTGTTACAATAACGTGGTTTACAACTGTGACAAACTTTTGTCATTTGCAGTGACAGCATAGCCCTTGAATACCTAGTCACCAGACGAAAACACAGATAAATAGGAATAAGTTTCCAAGTGCATGTTTTCTCTTGGGTCTGGTTTGTGTGTGTTAGCTTCACATGGGAGAGGGCAGAGAATACAGCAAGATTACCAAACTTTATAAGTGCAAGTGAACTTGCTTGATGCTGCCTGATGGAGTTGTTCCCTTTCATCTCTTTTCCCCAAGATGGGTTTGTCACTGTCAGACACCAATTTTCAGGCTGGTGTTGGAAGCACCATTGCTGCATCTCAGGCCATAATTAAACCATAGTTATGGTTTCATTGATGTATCAATTCATGTATCAGTTCAATATATTGTCTGAGTGGACTGACTGATCCAGGTGGTTTGCTGCTGAAGGCTGTAGTCCCCAGAGGATACTGTGTTCTTGCAGAATCCCTCTCTCAGTTTGCTTTTATTACTTTCTGACACCATTGTATTGGAACTTTTTGTGACCTCTCTAAATATAGAGGTTGAGATGACACAAGTGGAGAAATAAATTTTGTTGTTTATGCAGCACTTGGATAGGAAAGCTGGCCTTGTGATCAGGACCTGTATTCAGCAGTGAGATTCAATTTTTATCTTCTCTGTAAGTTTCCAGCTTGAACCACCTTCAGAAATTGCACTCAAATAGCAAATTTTCCATGCTTTCTGGAAAGTGGAGTTAGGGTCTTAGGGTGGATTTTTTTGTTTGATATTAAAAAAAGAAAGAAAGAAAAGTTTAAAGAAGATAAAATCACCAGCCCTGGATCTGTCCTTCCTGTCCCCAGCTCTTAAAAGAATTCTTTTGTCTTAACTTCTTTTAGTAATTCTAACCTTAAGAATGCTTCCTGCTGTAACAAATATTTGTCCAGTGCTCTAACCTGGATGTCTCCTGAGACTTCAATTTTTAAATTTTTGTTACAAGCAATACCCCCCAAAAGTATCAGTTTTTGTAAGGATTTCAGGACTTCCTGCAGGACTGGTTCCTTGTGGTACAAAGGAAGGATGATAAACAGGTTTCTTCCCTTATTTGGGTTTCTGCATCCCTTCCTCCTTGGAAGAGTTCTGGGATCTCTTCTGTGCTGAAATGCAGGGGGAGATCCCAAATGAGCAGTACTTGGCAGAACTGTGGGCAGTCCTTAACTTGCTGCAGTTATCCAGGGAGATGATAAAGTAGAAAAATGTTATGTTTGCATGTCTTTAAATGAGCAGCTCTTGTGTTGTGTTTATGTTGTACTTCTGGGTACAGTTTTGATGTACAGGCTTAAAACACAAACAGGCATTAGGGCTTCATGGAGCTGGCAGAATAATTCTGGAAGGAAGCACCTAGGGCTGAGAGAAGCAGTTTGTTTCATCCTGGGCTTACAGGTGTCAAGAGCACGAGTTTCTTGTTAGGCTAACTATTGGAGCATCTCCTCCTTGCCCCTGGTACTGAAATCTTGAGCAGAGGTGGCTGCACTGTGTGGGAAGGGGCTGTGCTCTCTGCAGGGGAAGTGCTGCTCATTTCCCATCCCCAACTCTGTTTCAGCCCTTTCTCACTCAGCTGTTGGCCTCCCAGCCAGTTCTCCCCAGTTTATATCCTGGGCAGTGTTGTGTGGTCATGGTTCTGTGGGATATCCTTTGGCCAGTTCAGGACAGCTGTCCTGGCTCCCTCACAGCTTCTTGTGTAGCTCCTCACTGGCTGGGTGTGAGACACTGGGGATTCCTTGACTTAGGCTAAAACTGCAAGGGTGTTATCAATGTTCTTGTCACACCAAGCCCAAACCCCAGAGCTGTACCAGCTACTAAGAAATTTAGCTCTGTCCCAGCCAAAACCAGAAGAGTTGTTAATTTCTGAAATTTCACTGTTAATCACTTCTAAATACATGCATTCAACAACTGAAAACAGGCAAGCTTTCTCAAATTTTCACAGGTTGGCCAAAAAAACTTGGGATTTGATGTTTTGCCATCACTTTATTTCTCTTCAGAACATATGTGGAGGAACAGAAATAAAAGGATGAGAGTGTAGATGAGGGTGTTTAATTTAATTTTTTTAAAATATTTATTTAAGCAGAGTAAATCCATTAGAACATGACTTTCAGAAAAACAGCCTGAGGCAGACAACTAGCAGGAAAGACATAATTATGAAAAAAGAGTAAAGAAGGAGTAATAGATGTTGCTTATTAGTCTTAGCAGTTATGCAGTGACTGATTGCAGTCAGTGCTTACTATGCAGTGTTCTTTGGAGAACTGGAGTTACTGTTAGGACAGCAGGTCTGTTTTTCAGGATATTTTATAATCACTCATTGAAAAGCATGATCAGACTCCTGATTGTGTTTTTAGCAGACAGTATTCCACAATGGAAGGGGGAGATGGCACTGCTGACCTGGTGATTAACAAGAGGTTCGTGTCTGAAGCAGAGCTAGAGGAGCGGCGAAAGAGAAGGCAAGAGGAATGGGAAAAGGTCCGAAAACCTGAGGACCCAAAAGGTATGGGCTCAATTTAGTAATTACAGGGAAAAAAGCTGAGAATTTTTCACTTTTTCCACTTTCCCACTTATGTGGGAAATAGAAATTCTGGGAGGAGACACCTAGGACTGAGAGAAGCAGTTTGTTTCATCCTGGGCTTACTGGTGTCAAGAGCACGAGTTTCCTTGTTAGGTTGAGTACTTGGAGAATCTCCACCCTGCCCCTGGTACTGAAATACTGAAGCAGAGGTGGCTGCACTGTGTGGGAAGGGGCTGTGCTCTCTGCAGGGGAAGTGCTGCTCATGTCAATAATTACAGGAAAAAGGTCTGAGAATTTTTTACTTTATGGGAAATAGAAATTAAAAGTAATGGCTTTTTTTATTCTATAATTGAAATGGTTTTTTATGAAGGAACTGAACTGTTGATGGTTTAGTGTTTCTAACATGGTCTCCCTTCCTGATTTGTTCCTTTCAGAATGCCCAGAGGAGGCATATGACCCACGGTCCTTGTATGAAAGGCTCCAGGAACAGAGAGAAAAGAAGCAGCAGGAGTTTGAGGAGCAATTTAAATTCAGTAAGCAGCAAACTGCATGTGTTGTATGCAACAGCTGTACACAATTTCTGAGTAAAGGACATATCTGTGTGTTTTGTCTCCCTCTCTGAGAGGGAAACAAAGGCTTCAGGAGAGTATTTTTGAAATCCTGAATTTTTAAAGGAGCACCTTTTGGACACTGAGGCAGCACTGCACACATGCAAAATTCAAAAGGTGTTTGCAGTTATCAAGCTGCATGCCTGTAAAGTGTTGAATACTGAGCTTGTATTTCATATAAAATAAAAAACCCCAAAAAATCCCAAACAAACTTGATAGCAATCCACAAAGAAATGGAAAAGTATTGTGATTTTGTGACTCTTAAATTCATTCTTTAACACATGCTTGAATCAATTAAAGAAATCCTGTTAGAGCAGCTATTTCCAAGCCATAATTATTTGACTAAAAGTGATTTGAAAGTTAAGATTGTGATTTGGTAGAAGTAAATTTACATGTTTTGATTCTTTAGAAGTAGATGTTTGATTCTTCTAATGTAAAGTTTGAATTTCTGGTTTTATAGAAGAGTGCTTGCCCTTTGAAAAGTGGCAAGTACAGATAGCAGCATTAATGCATTCAAGTCTCCAGCTGGACCTACAGGATTCTTTCCACCTAGAGTTTCCAGTAAACTTCAGTAGACTTTTGATCCCATTTTTGGAGTCATTTTTGGTAACATGACTAAGCAATTCTTGCTGAAGGAGCCACCCAAAAATTGCTCTCAGCCTGAATAGGAAGTGCTTCTAAGAACTGCCTAAATGAATAGTTTTTCTTGGCCAGTTATATTAGATCTGCAACAGCTTTGCTTTGGTAATCCAAGTACTGGAATGGGAAGTAGCCCTCAGAAGCAAACCCACCTCTGCTTTTCATGCAACCACAGCAGAATATCAGACCCCAACTAACCTGGAGAGCAAAACCTGCTGCAGAGTGCCTGGGAGGGAACCTCAATAAAACCTCAGCTCAAAGCACCTCACTGGCTGCTCCTCTTGGTTTGCAGATGAGTCAGGCAGAAAATGAGATTAATTCATGTCACTTCCTTCAAAAAATGTCCTGAGTGCCACTGCTTTTGCTCTCTGAAGGGGTCCTCAGTAGCAGTAGTGAGTGCTACAAGTTACTGTTGAAAGATTTCTGAATGAGCTCTGCATGAGTTGGAAGGAGCAGGGATTGGCTTTTATAAAGTAACCCCAAATAATCATTGATTTCCAGAGCTTTTCTGTCAGACACAAGCCTGCCAATTATTGGTGTAAATGGATTTCCTAGTTTGCCCTCAAAGTGACTAGGGCTTGCCTGTGTGGGTTGAAGATTAAAAAGATGGTGACTTCATGTAAAAGCCTAAAATATGGAATTAAACTTTAATGAACACTAAAGGTAATGTTTGGGCTAAGATTTCTGATGATGACTACAAAGACCAAGATTTGGTCTTCCTGAAACATAATCTTTATTGTCGTTGTAATTAAATCATTTGCTCAAGAGGCTCTGAACATTTTCAGAACAGGAAATAAAAGACCTTCCTGCTGCACTAGCATGTACTTTCCTTAAAGTAGGGTAGCATGTTTAGAAAGAATTTGATTTTATTTGGAAATTAGGAGTTGTCTTGCTTCCACTTTTTTAAAAATTTTTGAACAGGTGTTAAAACTAATTAGGTAGGAATTGTTTGCTCTAAGAAAATGTTCTTCCTCTTTTGAGGCAAGACATAGTGTGTTTTTTTTTAGTTATTGGTTGGTTTAAGAACATTCAGAGGAGACAGACTTGGTGTCTGAAACCAACAAATTTCTTCTTTCTTTATTCAGAAAATATGGTAAGAGGCTTAGATGAAGATGAGACACATTTCCTTGATGAGGTTTCTCGGCAGCAAGAGCTACTAGAAAAGCAACGAAGGGAAGAAGAGCTGAAAGAACTAAATGAATACAGAATATCCTTTGCACTAAAGTGGCTGGTGGTTACCTAGAGGAGGGTAAGAGTGGGCTGTAGTTTGTTCTGTCAGCTGACATTCTTTTTATAAAGCTGCTTTACAGAGTGTGTATAGTGATACATTTTCAAAGTTTGATGGCTTCATTGTAGCTTTGACAGACCCCTGCAATGTTTGATATTCCCCCCCTCAACTCCCACTACTTTGATCCTTTCCTTTTCCCCTCTGCATTGTTTTGGGGTTTGGTTGTGTTTTCTTGGGGTTTGGTTTTTCTGTTAGTGAGGTCATGAAATACCATAATTTAAAAGAGAAAGAGAACATAAAGAAAAACCAGTGTATTATTTCTAATATTTTGCTTTTATCTTAAGGAAAATTACATGCTCTTTTTTTTAGCTGTATATTGCTGGATTTTAATATTTCTGTTTGAAATAATGTGTGAATTGGTCTCTCTGTTATTCTTCTTGGAGTATTAGATGCTTTTTCCCTTGCTGATACCTTCAGGATGAGAAATTAAATGCATCTGATTTTCTTCTGGGAAGTCAGTGCCCATGGAGTCTTGGCTTCTTTGGGTAGTACACACTTGTAGGCAGGACTAAGAGCAGGACAGTTTGGCTTTGCTGTTAAATTTGCCTAATTTTCTTGTAGATATGCTAGAAAATCATATAGGATGTTTTTCCTGTATAATTAGTGCCAGCCAAGGGAGGTTGGAATGATTTGAGAATTTCTGTGCTAAGCAAAATGTTGCTTTTTTGAGGTTTACTGAACCTATGCAGAATCTGATGGTTTCCTTGTCTAGATTGCCTTTGAGTTATAGATGAACAAAACACAAGTGCTCAGGGAAACTTTAGTATAGATGAAAGAGTTTGTGGACACAAGGAGGTGACCAAAACCAGTCAGCAAATAAAATTGAATAGTGCTGGTACTACAGAGCTTGGTCTTACCTTGTGTTAGTCAATAATTCACAATTTGGAGCATGTGTCCTGTGAAGAACATCTCAATTAGCTCAGGAGTGTGTTTATGGAAAAGCAATCCTGATGCATTTTTTTAACTTCAGAAATAGGCTGCAGTTAGCTGATGGCTTTGGAGTATTTTCTTGATTTGCTGGATCTATTTGTGGGATATTCATGGATATATTTAGTTTTGGTGATGGTTGCTCATGGGGCTGGCTGAAGCAGGGTTGTGCAGTGTGAGATGGTGCTGTGGGAGCAGCTGACAGCTCTTGTTATGTCATGTACATCTGGGCTGAGCCATACCAGCCCTGAGGGAATCTTAAGTTGCCTTGAATTGGCCACATAACACACAGATCCCTGAACAGCCTCACAAGATGTACAGACCATCTCACCTCAGTCTTTGCTCTGAATCTGAAGTCTTACTTTAAGAATTAAACTGTAGAACTTATTGCTGATGGAGTGGAGGAAGGGAGAATGTTTTACAGTCACCTCATCTTGTGAGAAAATCAAAAGTGGTGCCCATTTAATTTCTTTTTTAAATTGACTTGTGTTTGAAATTTTTGGTGGTGTTCTGAAATGCAAAAGTGGTTTTTGCTTCTGCAGGTTGTTACTAATGGTTTATCACTGAAGTGACAAAAACCACTGTGCTGCATCTATAGGTGCTGTTTAAATGCTCTTCCAAATTAATAAGAGCAGTGTCAACCCAATGGATTTCACTATTTGCTCTTTTTCCTGCAATAGCATTTAATTTAAGCTACCCAGAGGCATTAATTTCATGGTAAAAACTGTGTCAATATTCAAGTACAGAGATTTTTTTTTTCTTAATTTTTCAGGTTGAACAATCACAAAATTATACATCCTCAGGATAAATATGCCTTGGAATATTTTAATGTACTCTTGAGCATAAGAAATTCATATGCATGGACGAATAGGAATTTTTCTTTCTCCTGCATGAACTAGGTTTGTTTGTTCCTTACCTTATCCAGACCCCCCTGTTCAGATACAGATTTACAAATTTTTTAAAGCCATTTCCAAGCAGTATTTGAGAGCAAGATCAGCTTGTCTTTCCTGCTATCTAAATGTAGGAACAGTCCCCCCTCCAAGAAGCTGCCTTTACTGAAGGACAGCTTGTTTAGTGCAGTTGATATTTAAGATTGAGAGGTTTGTTTCTAATGTTGTCTTCCTGAGAGGGAACACTTCTTGGCTGCCTATAGCATTACATTTGCTAATGACAGCAGGATATATAAAATACCTACTAAAAATGTGCTGTGCCTTTCTAGTTGAGGAGTTTTAGGAGAATGCCATCCTGGATGGAAGCTAAAAGCCTGTAATTTTCTATCTTTAAAAGAAAAGCCTTTGAGTTCCTCAGTCAGGCTTAGAATATAACAAGGTAATGGACCTAAATGTGGCAGTTGAGCACTGCAGTGTGTGGAAGAATTGTGTGGCAGCATCAAATCATGTTCAGCATGAGGAGCTCTCAGATGACTTCAGACAGCCACAGGATGGCACTCCTGTGCCATCTCAAAAATAGATAAAATTGAACAGTGGCTTGGGCTGAGAGGACTTTTGGTTGAAGTAAGGAACAGTCTGGGTTACTGCTGTATCCTTAGGAAAATCAAACAATAAATGGCATCTGAACATTCCTGTCTGTAAAGGGATTGGAGACTGGGTATCACTTGAAGGCAAAGTCTAGAAGTTTTTGATTTTCAGATGTTCAGTGGGGGAAAAAAGCTATGGGTTCAGATATATGGGCCATCAGTGTGAAATTCAGTATCCAATGTGTGTCTGCAGTGACTGGGGCATCTGTGAAACTCCAGCTTGTGGAACTGTAGTCAGAGGAGAGACTGTTGGAACACTAGATTTGAGTTTATAAACATGCTTTTAAACTAAGTTAATTTGCCTTTGCCCGTGCAGTTCAAATTTTTGCAGAATTTTGTGTGACTTTTCTGGCACCTCATCTACAAAGAGGGTCTTTGGCAGATTTCTCTTCATCACACAAGGAGATGTGTTCAGTGTGTGCAGAGTGTGCTCTAACAAACACACCCTGCTCCTTCTCATCCCATCTGAGAACCTGCTCAAGCTTCTCTACTTCATTATAGATTTCAGCTGCATTCCACCTTGCTAACACTGTTTTAATCTGCTTAGCTTTTCTGAGCAGTTTTCGTCTTTTTTTGGGTGAATCTTGGACCACAGTTCCCTTTAATTAAAGTCTCCTTTCTCTTGGGATTGGTGCTCAGACCAGCAGTAGAATCTTTGTGGTCCTTACAGAGAGATGAGCTGCAAAGGTGGAGTGCTAAAGACCAAACCCAAAAAATGGAACTGTTCTGTCTTGCTAGGCTGAAATCTGCTGGGCTCAGCAGAAAGAGGCTTTGAGGAGTGGAAGTGAGTGCACATATTGCTTCTTAGCTTTTCTGCTAAGGATTAGAGTGAGGAGCAGCAAATTGGAATTGCAAATGTGTTGATCCCTATGGGGGGGAAGCACTGCATTGCCTTTTTGGTTTGTTTGTTTTGGTCCAGCCTGACCTTTTTGCTTTTCTAAGGCCTTGAGGAAAAGGCAGGATGGTGGATGTGTTCATGGGTGCTGGGGGTGTTGTGTTACACCTTTCTGGCTTCAGAACAGCAGCTCCCAGGCTGCTGCCTGGGCATCCTCACAGAGAGAGCTGGTCCTGATACCAGAGAGAGCTCCAACCCCAGAGGGCAAACTATCTTCCCTTCTGGCTGAGGGTACCAGCTCAATGTCATCACAAATAAGTTTATTTTGTTAGAATATGTGAATGAACTTGGGTCACTGCTGTCAGCAGAGCTGGATAAATATATCAGGGAGGAAATGTCTGTTCTCCCCATTCCTTCCCAGCTGATCCTTAACCCTTAATTCACAGCACTCTCACTAAAGTGGGAGTCAGTATGGACCCAAAGAAGGAAACTGAGAAGAAATTGCCCATGAAGTCAGTGGAAAACAAGAACAAATTTTCTCAGGCAAAGCTGTTGGCAGGAGCTGTGAAACACAGAAGGTTAGTTTCACACTTCTATAAATTCCTGAGGAACGGAACCCAGTTAGCAGTGTAAAGGGAGACAGGCCAAAACTGCCTCCAGAGAGTGAGGTGTAAACCTTAGCCCTAAAGAAAAAGGGGGAAGGTATAAGAAAAGACCAGTCTTGTTTCTATAGGCTCTCACAAACTGTGGGGAAAAACATGAAGCAAATCAAATAGATAAGTGTGTGTAAAGCAAGTGGGCAGGATCTTCATTTTAGAGTGCCAGGCTTGGGCAATCCTGCTTGGGGTTTGAGGGAATCTGTTTTACATCTCTGTTTGTAGATATCAGTGTCACCTCACAAATGCAATTTGATTCAGGTTGCCTGATTTATCAGCCAATTTTACCTGTGTTTAAAATGGATTGTTTTAATGGATTTACACTGATACATCAGCACCCTTTCCATCCCAGCTGGGTTTGTGATGTGCTTGCTGCTTTGATCTTGGCCTGCAAACACAGCTGCTGGTGTACTACAGGTTATGGAGAAACCAGGCATGTGGGACCAGACTTATTTCCCCCAGATGAATCATCTAATACTTAAGATGATTACTGACATCTCAAAGTGCAGTGTGTTCAAATCATCTCAGGGAATGTGAGATTATTTTAGAAGCTTATCTTGTAGGGTGATGTTTAGCTCCCAGTACAGCAGTTAATTGCATGTCTGAAAACTGAAGTAAGCACTTCCACCACCTGATGTCTGTGGGGTTGGGTGATAGTTTGGGTTTTGGGAAGGCAGAAGAAAAAAACCCCTGAGCTGATAACAAGCAGCCAAAAATGTTGTTTTTGTCTTGTAACTAATAGTACTTAACCCAGTAGGATGTACAAAAGGAGCTGGCATGTGCTTAATGGTACTTCTAAAGTCTGCAGATGGCATCTGTTTGAAGAGAGCATCTTAACTGACATGTCAGTGCCATTGCAGACTTGCTTTGCAGTCTTCTATTTTTGCCATCTTATCTTTTATTGCAAAGTGGCCCAAAGCAAGTGTAGTGTGAGCTCAACATCTGCTCCCTGAGCTTTGTAATTTCCTCTAAAGGATGTATTACTATTAAAAGCTCTCTGCACAGAATAACCTTTCATCTGTACTGCATGTTCTGATAGGGACAGAAAAGAGTTAATGCATCCTAATGCTCATGCTTCATCAGTTCATCACTGCAGAATCTGGGAAGCACTTGTTTATGTGGATGCCTTAGCACTGGGAACATGCAGGAGTGGGGGGTGAAATCTCAGTAGTGACAGGGAGAGCTATGGAAGCTCTGAAGAGTCAGAAGTCCAAGTCATGTTCCTTTCTCCCTGTGCCACTTTGGACCCAGAGAGGACCTTTGTGGACACTGCAGCTCTGTCCATTGCTGTAAGAGTGCTGGGTGCAAGGTTTCTAGATGTTTTAGAACAGGCTCTCCAGGTGCTTCAAGGAGGGGAAGGAAGCCTTGCAAGGGAAAAGCCATGGATGTTGGCCCCAGCAAGTGTGGTAATCTTCCACATGTGCAAGGCTGTGGCCATGTGGGTGTCTGAAGCTCAGGTAGTTATTCCCACTCTCCTGTGGGGCACATCCTGCTGAACAGGCAGCTCCAGGTTGCTGTGCAAGGGTTTTGACTTGAACTCTAAGAGGTGTATTCCTTTCCCAGGTTCACAAGTGATAGGTGTCGGGTAGGTGTTGGAGCTTCCTTGGATCCTGCATGTTCCCCAAGGAGCCTCACTCAGTTAAAGGCAGTTGGAAGTGGTGATGGTCATCAGGGGACCCTGTTGGCACCTGTTGTAGCATTTAAGACAAAGATGTAACAATGACTTCATGGTAATTAAGTGGTTGCCTATGAGGAACAAGACACTCTGTTATTTTTTCCACAGTTCAGATGGTGGTAACAGTGTCAAGAGGTTGAAATTAGACACTGACCACGAGGAAAAGAATCCAGGTATGTCCCAACTTCTGTGTGTGGGAAGCCCTGTGTCTGTCACTGAACAGCAGCTGAGTTGGGGTTAAATCTCATAGAGGCTTTGCTTTTCTGTTCCTTCACTGGACAGCACGGACTTTGGTTGGCACGTTCTCTTGTAAAGCAGTAGAAATGGTAAGTGTGGGAGCTGACAGCCTTCATGGAAAATAGGGCTGCAGGGAACCCTCTGCAAGTTATCAGGATGTCCCCAAACCAGCCCTGACAGATGTTTGTCTAAGGAGCTCTTAAGTCCCCACATATAGAGACTGTTCACCTTCCTTTGAGAGTTTATTAATCTGAAAGAGTTTAACCTGATAACTAATGGAATTGTCCTTAGGTGCATTTCAAGCCTAATGCTTGTTCTGTGGGCAGGAGACCTGGAGAACAGATCATCCCCTTCCTCTTCACAGCAACATTGCATGTATTTGTTTACATCCAATTGAGCTTTATGCTCTGAAGTAATTCAGTCCATCCTGAAATCAATTTGTTTCAGGAAATTGTGGGGAACTAGAAGAAAAATTAAGTTGTGTTTCAGCTGTGGCTGTCAGGGCTGCAATTGACTTGCTGTCAAGCTACTCTGACACAAATCGGGTGAGTGCAGTTGTGTAACGACAACCCAAGGCACTTCCTGAATCTCCTTCTGTTCAGTAAACTTTCAGAACAGCAGAAATAATTAATTAGCCATGGAAGATGGGAGATGTTGACTAGCAGAATAATGGAATAAAACTTTTTCTCAACTATGCTGTTATATTGCAAAAAAAATTACTCAATTACTCAAAGCAGAGACATTTATTCTTATTTAGTGGGTTTGGTACTTGACAAGCATCAAACTGACAACTTTAGAATAAAAAAATTGTAATGCCAGCATAGAGCTGGGCTTAAACTAGTGATGAGCAGGAAAAAATCCCCTGAGGTAGCAAGTCCTTCCTGTCAGAATGCTTTTATTACAGCATAAAGCTGCCTTATGCTTTAATTAAATCCTGAAATCATCCCCTGCTTATGTGGGGAAAGCAGGTGAGTGACACGTGGCGGTTCCTGCGCTGATTGAAAGGCCTTTCCCGCACTCTGCTTTTTGACTGAGGTTTCTCTCTTGCAGAAAAGCCCTCCTGTGTGTCCCTGGGGAGCAGCTCAGTGGGAGGCTCCACGGTGCACTGTCCCTCAGCAGCCGTGTGCATCGGGATCCTGCCTGGCCTGGGCGCCTACTCGGGGAGCAGCGACTCCGAGTCCAGCTCGGACAGCGAGGGCACCATCAATTCCACTGGCAAGATTGTCTCCTCTGTCTTTCGTGGCAACAGCTTCTTTGATGGTCCATAACAAAATCCCTCTGTGTGTAATGTAGTGCAGAATATCTTCCAAAGCCCTGATGGATGCTTGTTGCATCCTTCTGCCCCAAATATAATCTTTCTAGCTAACCTCTCAACTTTATTACACTCAGATACTCCTAAAGTAACTCATTATTCCCTCCCCCCCTTCCCCCCCAACTTTCCATTTCTGGGGTGCATACTGAGCCTGGAAGAAAAGCTGCCATCCTAAAGCAGAAGGCACACCTAACCATGTCACAAAGGTCTGAGGGTATGGAGGAGAGAGCTTTATCTTTTACAATTCTTATGGAAAGAATTATGTTGATTTAAGAAGTTTATACAAGACTAACAGGCAAAAAATAATCACTTGAAGCAGTGAAGTCTTGTAGAAGCAGCCATGTGTTCTGTTTTAAAATGTCATTTTTATTCTGTATTTGAAAAATGGGGGCAGAACCAAATTTGAGCAGATGGTGAAGTGTAGATTGCCATGACACTGTAAAGAAGTTTTAGTGTTACATGATTAAAGACATTCTGAATGCATTTTTTTTATCTCTGCCTGTGCCATTCATAATTGTTCTCATTCCATTAATCAATTTCTGCTCTACCCAACCAGCCGTTCCCTCAAACCACCATCCAGGAGAGGTGTAGGTCAGTTTCCCACAGAAGCAGAGGTGGTGAAGGAAAACTTGGTCTGAGTGAGTTCACAGGAACTGCTGGCTTTTCTGCTCAAAGGCTGCTCCAGCACTGGGGCTTGACAAGTCATGCAGCTTTTCAGCAGCAGTGTCCTGAAGGGCATGAATTCAGAGTGGGTGGCACTCCCCTGTCCAGCCAAACTCCTTTGTAGGGGAGTTGGAGAATTCCAGAAGTGGGGCTGAGGGCCCATCCTCTTAATCTCAGTGTGCTGGTGGGAGTTTGGAGGGTTGGAACAGCTCAGCTCAGGGGTGGAAGTGTCTTTGTGCAATCCTGCTCTAAGTACTGCCCTTGTGAGACAGCAGCTGGTCAGTGTGTACCAAAGGACAGTCACCTGGAGGTGGCACTGAGGGACTTGGGAGGGAGCAGAGAAAACAAGGCCTGTAGTGGATTCCTGCCTTAGCCTGAGTGCTGAATTTTCCAAAGGAAAGGGGAAGAGTTGCACTCACAATGCAGCTATCCTTAGGTAAATACCCTTTCTGTTTGCACAGCCCTGATCCACAGACAGATCTTTACAAACACACTGCAATTCCTCCCCTGCTCTGGGCTGCCTGGCACCTTCTGTGCTTGCTCCAGAGTTGCTCCTGCCTCTTCTCTAGCTACTGTAATTATGGCACTTTCAGGTGGAAAATAAGCAGATTTCATGCGGCCTCTCTAATGCTTTGCTTATGGTGACTTTCATCTTACTGAGCTATGGAATGAAATGGAAGTGGTGCACAAAAAAAATGCATGTTTTTTTATTAAAGTTGTATGGGCAAGAGCCTCAAGGAGTTGGTATGAGAACTGCTGGTATTCTTCTCTGGCATTAAACTAGATCAATTATCTGACTGTAGAGTCAGAGCAGCCTTGCCCAGCTGCCAGCATGCTGGGGCCATTTTCCTGAGTGGTATCTTGCACAGCTGCAGTCAAAATGCCTGATTTAGCCAGAAATTTATAGTGGGAGTTTCCAGCCAATTGTGGCAAATGCAGTGGTAGGCTGCAGGTGAGATGGTGTGTAAATTATGGTGTGTATATGGGGCTGTGCAAGGCCAGGAGGAGACATAATCCAGGAAAAGCAGATGTGAGGGCCCTCTGCCTTTCTCCTGTTCCTAGAAGAATGGACTAGGACACTTGGGGAATGCCTTGGAGTCAGCTCTGCTGTTCTCAGGGCCTGGCTCATGTAAACAAACTGCAGAGCTGTCCCAGCTCCTCACTCCATCTGTTGGTCCCATTTACCTTTGTACATCAGGAGCCATCTGACATTAAAATACTCCCGTGCTGGAGATGTGCTGGGAAGTGCAGAGTGCATGGGATGGAGGATAAATCAGACCTGAAAAGGGCAGCTGTGGCAGTAACCTTGCCCTGGGCTGCCAAAGCTGGAGACGAGCTGGCTGTGGCTGGCTCCAGCAACTCTCACTCACTGATGGATTTAGATACATTTTTTTGTTATTTTAAAGAAAAATCCGTGACTGCATAATGTGTGCTTCATCCCCTCCCCAGGGACAGCTCAATAAACCGCTCCTTGTCTGTGCTAGTTGTTAAAGTTTCAGGAGGTGTTTAAAAAACCCAACAAACCCCCACAAACACTCTACTAGCAGCAGAGTTTATGAGCTCCTGCAGCTGCGTGTGAGGTTCTCTTATGGAAATAAATAAAATTTTATAAAAATTTTCCAAAGCCGCAGACTTCGATCTGGAAGCTGAGCTGGATACAGCATTATTTTTAAACAAGCCACCCTTCAAAGGCTGCTTCTCCCTTTGCAAAAGGGTGGTGTTTGTTGTTTATTTTCCCTTCCAGGAGGTTTTGCAAGGCAAATGTTTCTCAGAACAGTCCCACCTCTCCCAAGGGATGGGGTCTCACCCAGTGCTGTGCTTGGAGCCAACTCTCTGTGGGACAGCCCGGGGCCCTCTGTGTGCTGGTGGCAGCAGTGACAGCCACAAGGCTGCTGGCAGAGAGCACAGGCAGTAGCACACGCCTGTGCAGGCTTTACAGAGGGACAGCAACCTCCCACCTCAAAGCTTCCATTAATGGGGAGGAGACTCAAGTCAAGTCTACTTGAGTTTGGAGTAGGGCTGGTGATCCCTGCCGGATGTTCAGCAGCACACTCAGCTTCAAAAGACCCTAATCTGGTTAGGAGCAGCATAAAGCAGCAATTAGCACATTGCTGATGAGCAGCTCAAAGGAGCTGCTGGAGAGCAGGATTTCATTACCCAGCCCATCTTCTCCCAAGCAGCAGGCAGCTTTTGTTACTCAGACTTGGAAAATTTTCTAGAGTTGGAGCAGCAGTGAACCATGAAACTCCCTTTGATGGTTTGTTGTGGGGTCACCAGGGTTTTCCCAAGCACAGAGACTCAGCTCAGGCAGGCATTAAGGGCATCCTGCCTTCCCCAGGGTATCCACCTTCACTAAATCTCCCTCTGGGATGCTGCTATTGACAGTGTGGGGCTGATCCTGGGCACAGCCAGCACAGCAACTGAGGGACCAGGACTGGCCCTGTCAGGGTGACTCCAAACACCCAGCACTGCTGACAGCCACTCTCAGACCTTCCCATCCAGGAGACTCTTGTTTTAAATGTCCAAGTTTCTTTATTAACCTGAGTATAACAAATATAACATGTACACAGTATAAAAATGAACACAGAACCTGACAGGTGTACAGGTACAACACAAATACATGAACTATACAACGACCAGTTCATTGAATGATAATATATTAAGCATTTCATTACTTGGAAAAAGCAAGTTTTGATCATAAAAATTGTATTCTTTACCACTGAAATTATACAAAGTACATTCAATACTGAAAAGTGACTCAACGGAGCAGGACCAAGGCATGGCCTGGCTGCTTAGTGTTACCTTGGGCCAGGACTGTACAAAATGAATCCAGACACTTTGCTGGGATGCGTCTTAAGAACTTAGCAATTAAATTAAGAAGTACAAAGTGTTTCAGGGAGGGTATTCTTCTCTTAAAAGCATGTGGGACGTGCTTTTGGCAGGACCAACAGGCTTCGGCAGCATGCAGAGGGTGCAGCCTGGCACGGCTCTACGCGGGCTCCGAGTTGATGGGGGGCAGGTTTTGGTGCTTGAAGTACTGCACCACTTGCTGGGGCAGCTCTGCCAGCACAGCTTTGGCCAGGGTCTCCTTGGGGACCTGTGAGCCAAAGGGAACCAACACCAGTGTTAGGACAGCCACAGGGGACACACTGAGCAAACATGGCTGGGCTGGCCCCAGCTCCAGATCTTGGCATTTCATTTAATACCCACTAGAGTCTATTGATAGCCAGCATTTTATACACCAGGGATTATTATATTCTATACTACCCTCCCTCCAGGAGAGAATTCATTGGTACACAGGAATAAAACATTCTGGGTAGGTCAGAAAAAACAGGTGTGAGTGGCAGGAGGTGAAATAGAAAGACACTGATTAATTGCAAAGAAGGGTAAGATAAGCACAAGCTCCATCCTTGGCAATCAAACCCGTGCCAGCAACAGCCTCTGTCCCAGAGCTGTCCCTGGATGATTGCAATGGACTCATCCCACAGAGGGGATGTGTAGGGCCAGTGCCACCATTGCCCCTTCCTACAGAGGATCAGGGGCATGGGGCTCCTCCTCAGGAGAATTCAGCACAAAGCCCTTGGCGTGTGGCACATCAGGGATGCTGGATGAGGCCTGAGTGGGAGTCACCATAACCAGCACAGGGCAGTGGCAAGGGGCGTGAGCCCAATGCTGCCACACTCTGCTGCAGGAACCCAGATCCTGCTCTGAGTCACTGGTTTGTGCTCCCACCTGTCTGACCATGACAGGGGGTGGAGAAACATGGCACGCTCAGGTGGAACCACTACAGAGCCACAGAGCACAGTCACCCTCCCTGCAGTGCTGATTTATGTGATCCATGCCACAGCATCCCTGAGGCTAAGACAGAGCAAGACAGGCAGGTACCTCTTGCCTCTGCCTTGGCTGTTCCACTTGCAGGGTAATTTCCAGGTCTGCGTAAAATTCCATTTTACGCATCCATTTTATTTATCTTGACATTTATTTTTTTGGGGTCAAATAATTAAACCATATATTCCTACATTATCCAAATAATTTGTCATCAATACACTTTCAATTAACCTTCCTCTATATTTCCTAGTATCAAAAACAATAACCAACTGTCATCATCACTCTACAACCAAACCCCAAACAAACACAGAATTAACCCCAGAACCAACCCCCCCCAAAAAAAACCAAACAAAAATACAAACCATGATGATAAATCATCAACCAATCACCCACCAAATTTTACATTCTTGTAGCTTATAAAAAGCATGACACTGAAGATGTCAAGATGGCTGCCACACACACCCAAGGACAGCTGACTTAGTCCTAACCTTACTGTTAGTTTTTGCTAGGTATATACATGCAGGTATCCATGCTCCAGTGTAGATACCCTGGACACCTTAATTAGGTAGACAGCCCATCTCCCCAGGATCCCTCCCTGCCAGCCCATCTCCCCGGGATCCCTCCCTGCCAGCCCATCTCCCCAGGATCCCTCCCTGCCACCCCATCTCCTCTGGGATCCCTCCCTGCCAGCCCATCTCCCCAGGATCCCTCCCTGCCAGCCCATCTCCCCGGGATCCCTCCCTGCCAGCCCATCTCCCCAGGATCCCTCCCTGCCAGCCCATCTCCCCGGGATCCCTCCCTGCCAGCCCATCTCCCCAGGATCCCTCCGTGCCAGCCCATCTCCCCCAGGATCCCTCCCTGCCAGCCCATCTCCCCCAGGATCCCTCCCTGCCAGCCCATCTCCCCGGGATCCCTCCCTGCCAGCCCCGCTCACGTTGCGGAAGTTGCGGAAGGGCACGAACTGCACGATGTCGCGCACGGCCTCCTCGCCGGTGTGGGAGCGCAGCACGCGGCTGTCCCCGTCCAGGAACTCCATGGCTGCAAAGTCAGCATTGCCCACGCCCACGATGATGATGGACATGGGCAGCTTGGACGCCTGCACCACGGCGTGCCTCGTCTCGTCCATGTCGCTGATCACCCCGTCCGTGATGATGAGGAGGATGAAGTATTGCTGCGGAGGGGAGGGCACGGGGTCAGAGCCAGTGGGATGCCAGTACAGATGTAGAATTCAGGACATCTGAATAAAATCTAATATCTAATTCAGAATCCCTCTGGCTGTCCTGGATTGCCAAGACCAGGGGGCTCAGAGACCCTGGCACAGAGCCCAAGACGCCTGTGGTTTTGAGTATGACCCATGGAGCAAATTACCAACCTTATATGAGGATCTGCAAGCCACAAAAGTCTAAGTAGAATAATAATTAGTTTGTCACAACGGGAAAAATCGATTTTTGAGGTTTTAAGAATAGGTGTTCAGGAGGCAAGATGGAAGAATTTAAGTGTGTCCAGCCTTTCTCCTTCTTCTTCTTGGCCTCCATCTTCTGCTGTGATGCTGGCACTTTTAGATTGGTTTAGAGTAGAAGCTCACTGTCTAACATAAATGATAGGTATTGGAAAGTAATTGTAAATATTGTACATGTAGTTTTTAGCATAAAAAGATAACACCACCCTGGGAGCAGGCAGAGTGCCTCTGTCTGTCCTGCTGAGCGGACCTTGGCAGGGCAGGAGAAAGAATTTTATAGATAAGAAACAATAAACAACCTTGAGACCAAGAACTGGAGTTCTGACTCCTCCTTCAACCGCCAGGCTAAGAAAAAAGACTTTCTGACGTATCTTGAAGTCACTCTGACCAGCTAGAGTCCCCAGATACACCCTCACACTGCAGTCAGGGCTCACACATGTCGAGGGCTGGCAGGGCCCCTGGGGGTTTGGGGGTGAGCTTCACCATTTCCCAGGTCAGCTGGCATTTCATGCCCTTCAGCAGAATCCAGAAATTCAAAATTCCAGAATCCAGAAATTCCAGAAACCCATGGTTTTTGAAAGATCTTGAACAAACAACAAACCAGCTCCCACTCCAAAATATTTTTCTGAATTACTGATTTACTGTACTTAATGAAGCAACACAAAATCAACTTCCAAACTGCACAGGATCTCTGTCAGGGCCAGGAGGAATTCAGGGTTGGGACATGAGCCCAGCTGGGAAATGAAATCTCCCTCTGCCCGCACACAGCGGGGTGTTTTTTGGGGTGCTCCCATCAACATCTCCCTGCTCTGATGGGAAGCATCTCCTGCATTGCACTGCCAGGCTGTGGGGCCATCCCACCGTGCTCCTGTACAAAGCCACGGCTGTGGGAGGCACTGAGGGGGATGCAGAGGGTATCAGCGAGCTGGGGGACGACAGAGCAGCAGCATTAGGAACTGCTCCCCTTGCCTTGGGAAAGGGCTGCTCCTGCAGAGCTGGAGAAGGATGGACAGAGATGGACAGACGGTCCTGCTGGACTCAGCTCAGCAAACCTGGAGCATGTGGACCCCCGAAATCCCATCTCCTCTGTCTCCAAGGAAAGTAATAGCTCAATTTTGGCACATTACAGAGCTTGCGTGTGCTGGAGAAATGACGAAAACAAGCACTTAAGAGCACTAAAGGCCTTTGTTCCTCTCCTCATTCTTTCCATTTCCTCTGAAAACCGCTAGTGCAGCATCCTGGAAAAGCAGAGGAAGGAGTGCTGCCCCAAGCCTGTTTTTCTGGTCTTCCTCCAGCCCACATATCCTGAAACCTTCCCTAAGCCTCATCCACTCTTGATGATCTGCAGTGCTAAACTCCAAGTACTAACAAGGCTGGGTAGAGCTTAAACACAACTGAGGACACGGGTGAGGAGATTTTCCCAAGCCAGACCCTTCTCCACTCCAGCCCCTTTTGATGCATTAACCCTGCCTGCACAGCACAGTCCAGGGTTTAGTTTTTATCTAAATATGAACTTTTGAGAGCAAAATGTGGAGAACCATAAGTCTGCAGAGCAGGACTGTAACATCTGAGTCTGGAGGACAAGACTGAACTTCAGGAGAGAACCTGCACTGGTCATAACTGGAAGCTGGACTTGGACCTCACCCCATCTGGGAACTAGTATGGGAGGAAGAGTATGAAACCTTGAGGGGAGCAGCTGATAATGACTTTCAGCTGATTCTCCCTTTCCCCTGCCTGGCCTCTCTCCTGGAAACATGGAAAGGGTTATTTCCCTTTGTTCCCTTCTTTTCTGTGAAATTCATAACAGCATCTGAGAAAAATGCTGGAAAATATGCAGGGAAAGGGGTGGGGAGGCAGAGCTTGTCAAATGTTTATCACAACATATTTCAGAGGTCAAAAGAAGTAAGAGCTGATGCTGGGAATCAGCCTCAAAGCCCAGGGGCTGCTTGGGGTGATGAAGCAAGGGACCAGGAGGCACTGCTGGAGAGCATCAGTGGGAGATTCCCCAAGGAGCAGTGGCAGTTTTGGTGGTGTCAGTAAATGACAGCAGGACAGGGGTGCTGGTGGCACCTCCGGGCTCCAGCTGCAGTACTCAGCCAGGGTGGCACCTCTGCCAAGACACAATCAGAGCTGCTGGTGCACAGGGACCAGGCTAGGGGGTCCATTGCACACCAACCAGCAGCACCTGCCTCCCTTCTCCTCCTTCTTGTTAAAATGGCTGATCTCTGCATCCATGTGGGCTCTGGGATGATTCCCAATCCGTTTGCAGGACTTGGAGGGATTAGGCAGCACTGAACAGCATGAGGTGAGAAAAGGGGAGGTTTGGATGCAGGGACCCTGCTGGAAAGGTGAGTTTTAATTCCCCAAAGCTTATTAATCCTTCCCCAAGAGCCAAATGGTGTAACACCCTTCTGTCCCTCCCCCAGCCCCAGGATGTTTTAGTCTCCCATCCCTTACGAGCTGAGGGCTGTGTTTGTGATCTGTGTTGCTATGGAAAAACTATGAGGATTTTTGGTTTTATTTGAAATGCTGGGAGCAAGCGAGAGCGGGAGGAAGAGGAGGGCAGGTTCAGGCAGCCACTCAGCACCAGGGGTGGCTTTGATGCATGAGCTGAAGAGGGGATGGAAGAGGAGAAGACCCTGGGGGAGTGAGATCCCTCATCAATAACGCTTTGTGCTGCCAAAAAACCACCCGAGCCAAGCCAGGCTTGCCTCTGACGGCACTATTAGTGCCCATTATTTAAAATCTCCCTTGATTAAACTATTAGTGCCAGCAGAGGGGTGCAATTTGCATATGATTAGTGCCTCTGCTCAGTGCTGAGCCCGTGGGCTCTCCCTCCCCCACTGACAGCGACACAGAAAACGAAAAAATGAAGAGAGACCTGGAGCTGTGCTGAATTAAACCACATTCAGGATTTCCTTATGCCTGGAGCTGGGAAGAGCAACAGCACTCACAGCAAGGCTGGAAAAGGTCCTTGTGGGGAATAGGTTTTAAGTGTGATTCTGCTTTGCTCCAGGCAGGAATCAGGGAAGCTTTTACCCCAACACCTCCTGCCATGCAACTGCTGATGCCCAAGCTGAGCTGTTTTGGCCAGCAAAATCCAGGGGCCAGATCTGCCATCCTCCATGGGCAGCCTGCTGCCACAGGGACCCAAGGGAGCTCTATCTTGCAGACTTCAGCTGCTCATCACACCCCTAAGAGCACACCTTGGTCACCACTGGCAAGGCTGGGCCCACAGACAAGGGAGAGACATGAAACCCAGCTCAGGCTTTGTGTTCCCCTGCCCAGAGCCATCAGATCATGGAATCTCACGGACTTACAGATGCAGTTTCCTGTTGGGTGGCTTGAGCTGCAAAACGAGCCACGTGGTTGATGATGGGCGAGAAGTTGGTGGGGCCGTAGAAGCGGATGTGGGGCAGGCAGGCAGAGTATGCTTGGACAATGCCCTCCACACCTTCAGGGAAAGCAGAGAAACATTACAGAGTGACACAGCTCAGGACCACAGCAAGCCCAACCAGGAATCATTAGCTCTGGAAATGGAGCTGAAGTCAGATCCATTCCCCCCACTTCCTGCCCGACTCATCCCAAATTTCTAAATATCCAAGCTTTGTAGTGGGTCCTCAGACCTTCTGTGGTAGGGAAGCCCTCGTGGGACCCACAGTCAATGAAAGCATTCCTTGGGATTGTGAAAAAATCTCAGAATCAGCCAAGGAGGAGGAGCAAAAAGAAAAGCAACTCCTGGTCTCTGAACATAACCAAAAAAGAGATAGAGGGTCCACGGTAGCCCTAGTATAGATAGTAGCCCTTACTACTCAGGATTTGAGCAGTCCTTCAGCCATCTCTGTGAGCAGCTATCAGCTGCTAAATGGAGCATTGAGTCTGAATTCCCCATCTGCTAAGCAGGCCTTGTGTTTCTTGCAGCCTTGCAGGGGGAGCAGACGGCTGGTAGGACACACCAGACAGCAGAGCGAAGGCGGATTTTACACAGTCTGAATCCAGCTGCATCTTACCCTGGGCCTTCCTACACACCCCCAAATTTTCTGTGATTTCCTCTGAGTGTGCCTTTAGCATGTGCTCTGCTTCACTGTTCATATCTGTCTCTGAACATGCCTTGAAAAACCCCCATGATCACAGAATCATGGAATGATTCAGGTTGGAAGGGACCTTAGAGATGATCTAGTGCCAACCACGCTGGCATGGGTGGCGATGCCACCCACCAGATCAGGTTGCTCAGGGCCCCATCCAACCTGGCCTTGAACACATCCAGGGATGAAGGAGTAACTGAAGAAATGCAGAGGAAGGACAGAAGGCATTGAAGGCATCTAAGGAGTCCTAAAGGCCTGGCAGATGCTTACCTGAACAGAATGGATTCCTGGGATTGAAGTTAATGGCAAACTCATGGGATACCTGTGGAGAAGAAAAGACCCAAGTTAATTTGGAGGGCCAGTGCAGGGCAGGCAGCTCACTAACAGTTCAGCTGATGCTGCAGGGCTGGTTTAAGTGTGATGCTCCCCTGGAGCAGAACCAGGTGGTCACAGAGTTATGGTCCAAATAACTGCTGGGTTAGTGACACTTCCCAGCCCTCTGCTACCCAAACAGCAAACACAAACACGGTCAGGGCTGAGCAGCACTTGAGGATGAACCAGTTCTCCAGTGCCCCCATCACGGAGCCTCCTGAAATTACCACACCATTCTCCCCCAGTTATCACAGCATGTCTGTCCACGTGGCTTCCTGCTGGCTGCCCAGAGGGGAAGCAGGCAGAAGGGATGCTCTCAGTCAGCTGTGCCATCTCACCAGTCACTAGGAGAAATTACTTCATCCTGCTGCAGGTTTTAAAGAAAGAAAACTCAAACTCATCACAGGGAGTGCCAGTCCTGGCAGCATCTCCATTCCCCATCTCTCTGCACGAGGATGAAGCAGCAGGAGATAAGAAGACACAGAGTGAGCTGTGCTGAAGACCTGGTCTGGCATGTCAGGTACAATGGCAAACCAGCAGCTGATTAACTTCATCCTCTGGGTCAGCACGAGGGTGAAAGGCAGTGTGGGAGAGGTGATGTGAAAGCTTGGGTGTGATGGACAGCAAGTCCCAGCACGACCTGAGCTGGTTTTCATTGCCTGTGAACCCATCCTTCCACCACAGCACATCCAAGACCCTTTGGCTTTCCCACCACCTCCTTTCAAGCTTTCAGAGGGAGATGGTTTTGCAAAAAGGTCTTGTGGCAAGAGCAGAGAGCCCTACACCTTGATCCCTGGCTGATGCACTGGACAGCAGTTGCTCTGAGCCTGTCTCAGCCAGCACAGAAAGCTGAGCAGCCCAGCTGCAGGAGTGGGCTCCTGGCTTCCAGGATGAACCTTTCCAGTGCTGGTGTGGGTCAACAGCCACCAGATATGTGGGGTTACACATTCCTCACTCTGCTCCCAGCAATTTAGGCACTCAAAGAAGCAAACAGACTCTCAGGAGCATCAAGGATGTGCAGCTGCCTCTCCCAGCACCTCTGAAAGTTGAAGGGGTGATTTGGGCCTTCAGGCCACCAGCTCAAGGACTCTGAAACAAAAAGCTCCCACCCTGTTTGTGCCAGTGTTACAAAACAAGGATATTGTCTCCCTCTCGGAAGGGTGGAGGATTGCTGAGCTTTCCAGCAAGGGAATTGCTTTGGGACACGCAAATTCCCAATGCTGGCAGAAACGAGTGTCCCCCAGAGCCGTCTGAAGGCAGAGCCCGCCCAAGGCTGCGAACGCAACACGCGTCTGATTCAGACTTTCCAATTATGCTGGGCATTGTGTCCAAAGCAGCAGAAACTGTTGTTACAAGAGGCTGTGGGGTGGGAAACAGCAACCAAACAAAAGTAAAGTCAACCAAAAGCCTTCCCCATACTGCAAAGCTGATGGGCTGCCTGACTGGCGACCAGCCACAGCCTGCTCAGGTCTCCCCAGGCCTGCAGAGCACCACCAGGAGCACCCACAGCCACCAGGGTAGAGACAAGCTGAATATATGGCTGTGTTTTGCATACACCCCTTCTCACAGAAGCCTTGATTTTGGGCAATACACCCAAATTCAGTAATTCAGTTGACTTGCGGTTGTGAATGGGCTTGCTTTTTTTTTTTTTTTAGAAGATGTTCAAAATTCTGTCATGAGTATTTATAGACAAGGCAGGCAGAAATATTTCCATGTTTTGCTCTGCAAAAGAGGGGTTTCTCCTTCTTTTAAGAAGCAATGAAATGGTTTCAAGCTGTGTTCCTCACTGTCTACAGAGCAGAACCCCTACGTGGCAGAAGTGTTGCAAAACCTCCTCTGGAGTTTTTATGAATTTTACATATATAAAAATATATATCTACATATACATATCTCCTAAAAAAATCAACAGGAGGGCTTCAAAACAACAAAAAAACTTAAAAGAAAGGATGTAATTCCCTATTCAGCTTATACTTTGAAAACAGTTTCTGTGGAGTCCAGCTAAATGTACATGGAGCACCTACAGCTATCCCATTCCCCAGTAACTCACAGGGAGAAACTTTTGAACCATCCCAAAGGGTAAGAACAACCTCACAGAGGGTTCTCTGCCACCTCCAGAAGGAATCCCATCACTGCCATGACTCAGTTTGCCTATACATATATATACACATATATGGCAAAAGGATGGAAGGCCTTGGAGGTTTCACATCAGTCAAGCCACAACCTTCCTTCAGCTGATCCCATCTCCCAAACAAACCCAGGTGACCGGTGTGGCTCCAACATTGAGAATCCCCCTCTCTGCTGCTGCTTTGCCTTTGCTCGTTCCCCAGAAAGCACAACCCATCTGCTCCCCTCTGCTGTTCCCCACCAGGAAAGCACTCGAGGCTCTCCACAGAGCTGTTACACCGCAAGATGTTCTTTGACATTTCCAACGCGACTTTTGTGTGTGAAACATCTCGCTCCGACGGGCGCCGGAGAAGCGTTGGGGGAGCCATGGCAACGGGAGCACAGAGCACCATTTATACCTCTTGTATCTCCTGGCAATCTTTACTTGGGTCCATGGGTCTCTGATTTCTGTCCACTGTCACACAGGGCTGCTGCTTTGGCTTTGAAATTACCCAATGAGCCTTGACAGCCAAAATGAGTGAGTGGAGCCAGTGATGCTTAGAGAGAGCTGGGGAGAGAGGAAGCCCCAAGCTGGAGTGGTGCAGGGAGATGCACCAGGGATGGCCCCACTGAGAACATGAGACAACTGATGGGTCATGGGTGACCTGTAGGCATGGCCCAAGCACCTGGGGAGGAAGAAGCTGCTCCCCACTGGGGCTTATTTGGGCTTAGAGATCATTCTGGGGAAAAACAAGGTATTTTTTCTGGTAGCTTTTACAGAGCATCTCCTGGCCCACAGGAGGCACGTGCAGAGCCCCCAGCCCTCATCCTCAACCCAATATCCACCTCCAGTCTTGCAGAAGGGCTGTTTCCAGCCCAGCAATGCCCTTCCTGTGGGCACTGACTCACACACATGGGCAGCACAACAGGATGCTCTCTGTGACAATCCCGAGCTGCTGTGCCCTTTCCATGTCTACTGCATTTGCCATTCCCATTTTTCTCCCCAAGTAACAAATCCTGGCAGCAACTGGCTCTGAAGACCTTGGAAGATGCTTACCTAGATTTTCCCAACAAAAGTGATAAAGTGACAGACCAGAGACATTTGGAGGCCAAGGAGGATGAATCAGCTCCAAAGTGCACATGGAGGGATCTCCTTCTGTGGCTGGCAAACAGCAAGAGCTCCCACTTGAGTCATACAAATTCTGGCTGCTGGGAGGGCAGGGAAAAGCACAAAGCCGGAGCAGGCAGGACATCCCCAGCCACGAGGGCTGGCAGGGATGAGCTTCCCAGCCCAGCTCCCAGCTGCTCATGACTTACATGTCCTGCTGTGCTCAGCCCAGAGCACAGCTCCCCTCCCACAGAACACAAAGGGCTCGCTGAGATCCAACCCCAGCCTGAAGCTGGGAACGCCTCAAAAGCAGCGAGCAGAAAGAAAATGCACACGAAGGGCGTGAGCAAAGAGCAGCCAGAAGAGCCAGCCAGTAATTAATGATGGTGGTGTCCCAGCACATTGTCTCAGCCCTGAGAAGATGCTCCCCATCTGCCAGCCAGGCTGCAGGAACAGCCCCATTCCCTGCCCTCCAGAAGAGCAGGATGTGCAGCTCAGCCCTTGTAGGACCAGTGTCCAATCCTAACCAAAGATCAAGGTGGATTTTTGGGAAAGCTCCTGTGCTTCAGTCCTTGCAGGCTCTGCCTGTGCAGCATCAAATCAAGGCTCCCTAGCTCCCAGCCCCCTTCCAGACTTAGCTGCTGTCTGACACATTCATCCAGAGGCCTTTTCCCTTCCCCAGAATTGTTCCTGCCTTCTGCCAGGAAAATGAATCAATGCCTGGCTCTGCCTATTAATGCCAGGGAGCTGCTGCTTTCATGCCAGTGCAGAATGAAGGAATGGGCTGCCTGTGCCCCATCCCTGCCTTGCTGCCCACCCACACTGACACATCCCACCGGCTGAGATTCCACACCTGCCCTTTCCCCCTCTCCCCAGCAGCTTCTCCCTGACCAAGCCCTGGCAGTTCTGCTCCTGCCAAGGCAATTTCAGGACAAACCCATCTCAAACACTCAGGTGGCTGCAGCACTTCACCTTCCAGTCTGGCGGGAGCTGGGCGCCGAACCCCAGAGCAGGAAACATCTTGTCCCTAAAGAGAAGGAGGAAAACATATGGGTGTACTGACACACACAAAGCAGGCTTGCACAGCTTCCCCCAAAACATGCAGTGCTTTTCAATGGGAGATAAACATTCTTAAGAGAGAACAGATATCCCCCCTTGGATTTGATCTTTAGAGAAAAAGGAATCCAGCTTTGCTCTGTTTCCCACAGAGACCAAGAGCATCCTCTTGCCCAAACACACACGTCTCTTGCAGGCATGTAACCCTGGAGATTTTAAAAAGTGAGCAATCCATTTTGGTCACAAGAGCCATCATAGTGAAAGCAACAGACTCCTGCTTTGTTTTCTCTATCAATGTCTGAGATGATATTTTTTCTATATTTTCTCCACTCCTCAGGATGTCTGAGGAATGAGGCAGTCTGGGGTCACAGCTCTGACAGTAAACAACAGCAAGCTGAGGGCACCTTCCCCCAGGATGTTCCACCTCTGCTAACATCCTTCCCCTCCACAGCAGCAATGGGGGGAGAGGAGAAAGCCTACCCCAACCCTCTCCTCCTGCATCCTGATGTTTATGGTAAATAACATCCTTAGGGTATTACTTAGCCCTAGATCAAGGCAGATGCATCCCAGAAGCCTCTTGGGAAGCCAGGGAAACATCTGCAAACAGGGGTGGTGGCAGAAGGGCACGGTGCTTACGAGTCATAGTCCTGGATGATCTGGCCCACAGCCCAGATGGCTGACAAGTACTCGTTTGTCCCCAGGGGGTTGATGTAGTGCAAAGAGGAGGGCTCCTGGGGGTTCCCATTGGAAGCTGTGAAGTCAATCCCAACCTGGAGGACAAGAGAGAGGCATAAACCCATCCTCTGTTAGCAAATGCCACCAGAGACCAATCCTCCACTGCTGTGAGGCACACACACAGTTCCCTCAAACCTCAAACTTTGGAAAAAGTTTAACAAAATCCATTTCTTGCGAAAAGCTGATTAAATACTACATTAGGCAAAGTCATTCACTCTTTCCCCTCCAGTTTCCACCAATGAGCATCACACAAGGTGTCCCCAAGCAGCCCCTAGTCCTAGAGCAAGCCACCACCTCCTCCAGCTGAGGGTTCTCACCGCCCATCTCCCAGGTGCACAGCAACTGAGCAGCCAGGGCCACCTGGGTATCTGGGTCTCAAGGTCTTTGACCAAAGCATCACAGCCCTGAGCAGACCTTTCCCTGCAGGCAGGAAGACCAGCTCTTCACCAGGCTTCCCCAGGGACCAATATATGCTGAGCTCTCAGGGGACTCTGTCAGGAAGGCACTAAATTAGGCTTTCTATTTAAAGGCATTTGTAGAAATGCCTATCTCAGACCCAGATAAATCTGGCCAGGAGAGGAGAGATGCTGAGCAACCCAATCTGATGTGACTGGGAAGGGAGAGCTGGGACAAGGCAAACAGGCAGCGTGACTGCACTCGACTGGTTTGCTTTGCAAAGAGGCAAAACCCAAAATAACTCCACTGCCTAAATCGAGCTCAGGGATTTTGCTCTGTATCTATAATGGGGGAGGACAAATGGCAGTTTGCTTGAGAAGGGACCTTGGCCTGGCTGGGGCAAGAGGACATCACAGCCCAGGAGGTGCCACCACCCTGTGCCAGGGTGGCTGCAAAAAGGGCACGGCAGGACAAGGGAACATGTTTTAAACTTGCTAGGGTGTGGGTTTGGATTGGAGATAAGGGAGAAATGTTGCACAATGAGGGTGGTGAGGCACAAGTTGTGCAGCTGTGGCTTCCCCATCCCTGGAAGTGCTTAAGGCCAGGTTGGACAAAGCCCTGGGCAAGCTGGTCCATGGCAGGGGGGCGGAACGAGATGATCTTTGAAGGTCCCTTCCAACCCAAACCACCCTATGGTTCCATGAACACCTAACTTCTTTATAAAACAACTGTACGGCCTCTCCAAACCTGTGGTTCACCTCTGGAACACCCCTGCACAAGTTCTGGCCAAGCCACCATGGCCAGAGAGCAAGAGGGAAACTGAGGCACGGCGTGGGGTGGAGTGAGACAGGCAGGGGCCCTACTTGGGGATGCAAGCAGTGCCATCAAGAGCAGCAAGACTCAGGCACTGGGTCTGGGAGGGACACAGCTGCTCTGCTTTCAGCACAGGGCACACAGCTGAGCCCAAAACCCTTTCCTCTGGCCTCAGCCCTCCTCTCCCTCGGTGGGGAGGGCACCAGTGGCCTCTCCAAATTGCAGGGGGTGTGTGCAGCATGCTCCTGCCAGCTCAGGTGTTTCTGCAGTGTTCCCTTTGGAAACACACCCTTTGGACCAAAGATGCCTTGGGAGGAGGAGCCCTCCAATAACCAGCAGATCTTTAGATGGGGGGAAAATTTCTGCATTCAAACCTAATTCACACAAGGGCTCTGTACTACCAATAAATTCACTGATTTTCTCTTCTATTCACTCTCCAGCACCCAGACCAAAGCACACAGAGGCAGAGCAGCACACAAAAAGCTCTCCCAATCATTGCTGTTCCTATGGCAACTCTTCCTCCTCCTCCTACTCTTCCCCCATCGTGTTTTCAGAAAAAACAACAAAATACAAACTGATCTAACTGCGAGTGCCTGCAGCTCTCTGGGTACTGCACCAGGAAAGTTTGCAGAAATTGAGAAGCCCACTTCTGCATTGTGATGGTTTCACTCAGGATTGCCATGTTCTTGCTTATTTACTCCTGACAAGCTGTGGTCCAGCTTGAAAAAAGGTGGAAATGCCAGTAAAAATGCAGAAAACCATCTCTATAACATCCCAAAGCCTCCCATCTGGGTTCAGAATAAGGAGAGCTGCCATAAAGAAAATGAGGGTGGTTAAAGCTTGAAATAGGGAGGGAAGTTGGTGACACTTTGTGAAGGGTCAGAGGGTCTTTTTGAAAGTCTAGCATTCAGCCAAAGTCCAGCCAGCTCCCTCCATGCTACTGGATGTACCTCAGCATCCCCAGAATCCCCAAACCCACATGGTTTAACAGCAAAATGGGCAGCTCCTGTCACCCCAAGCTGGTGCCAAATCTCACACTGAACCTCGCTCCCCAGTTCTGCCCATCACATAGGTGTTACTACTACTGGGCAAAGAGAAGCAAAAGTCCTTACAGTGAACATCAGTTGGCAGCCTCCCAGGATGTAGTCCAGGAAGGAGAAATCTCTGGTTATCTGAAAGAAAAACAAAAAAAGCAGTGTTTCAGCAATTGTCATCATTATTCAGGCTATGCAGGCCCTTGGAAACACAAGGGAGGCAGAGGATAAGGGATGGGGGGAGCTGGAGAAGCTCAGTCAGGGCTGAAGGAAACATCTCGGTAACATACTCACCTTGCAGGACTTGACAATGATGATCCCAGAGTTCTTGTAATTCTTTTTCTTCTTTTGCTTTTTGGGGTTAATGCACTCCAGCTCAAGCTGTAACACACGAGACAGGCCCTGGTGTGAGAGCAGTGCTGGGCTGTGCCCTGTGGCTGCAGATGCCACCAGCAGCACGTCCTGGGGGCAGCCACCCTCCAGTGCAGAGGAGGAAGATTTTATTGCCAGGCTATGGGTTGCAAATCCAGAGGAAAAATGGGCTCAATGCCTGCCTCTGGCACCACCACCTTGTGCAGTCCTAGACAGGGCACTTTCAAGCCTTTGTGCCTCAGTTTCCCCAGGCAGAAGACTCAGTGCACCACACATGCTGTTTCACACCTCTCCATGCCTTGGCCAAGATCTCCTGGCCTGCAATCCTGGTGAGACAGCAGTGCAAAGCTCTGCTATCCAGGGGTCTTCACAGCACCCCTTCAACCAGGAGGCATCTGCCAGGGATCTTGGCCAGCTTCAGGGCAAAATGAGGACACCTTGGGCACAAAGCTGGTGTTGAGCTGCACTCCTGGGGACCAGGCTGCCCCTGCTGCAGATGCAGCCCCAGCAGCAATTCACACCTGCCCTTCTGCCCCACAAACCACAGGGCACCTCCAAATCAGGGGTGCTGCTTCAGACACCCAGCAGAGCCTGACTTTCAGCAAAGCCTGCCTCAGCTCTCCCCAGCCCAGATGTTTCAGCTACAGCCATAGCCTGGGTCACTCATGGTGGGGGTGGAAGGAGAAAGGAACTTGGACTTGGCTTCTCCTGAGCACAGATTGAGGGTGCAAGAACCAAAGTCTACCATCAACCCTGAGGAGCCCCTTCCTCATTCTTCCTCATTCTTCCCCAGAAGCATGTCAGCACTTACAGGAGAGGTGTCTTGGGCTTCACACAGCCTGGCTACCGAGGTCTGGAACTCCCCGATGAAGTCGTGTCCCCCATCGCTGTCGTAGTCATAGCACACCACCTGGGGTGGAAGGAGCACAACCAGCCTCAGGAACAGCAACCACCTCCTGCCAGAGCTGCTGGAGTCCCCAGCCTCTCCTGCTGGAGACCCCAAACGAGGAATTTTTTGTTGCTTTGGGGTTTGTTAATAAGGCAGCCATGGGGATTCAGATGTTTGAGAGTCAATCCCCACAGGGGGCTCCCCACTACCTTTATCATCTTCTCCATCTCTCCATCACACAGTGACACCAAAGGCACAGTGAATGGCTTCCAGACAGGGTCCAGGGTGTATTTGATCACCTGCAGGGGGGAGCACAGGAATGCTGTCACCACGGGCACACCCACAGGTACAGATCAGGACAAAGCAGGGACACATCTCCAAGAGTGACCCTGAAGCAGCTCCTGGTGGGCCAGGCCAGGCAAGCTGTCCCAGCCCTCCCCTGCCTCCATAACTGAGACACAGCAGGTGTGCTGGTCTCAGGCTGCAGCAGGTGTGAGTTAAACCAGGTTTGTTTTCATTGTGCTGGGTGATTGATCCACCCATGGGAGCAATTAAGGAAATCTGCCTGAGAGAACAGCTGTGGCACACTGGGCAGCACGGGCACAGCAATGCCTGAGCACGGGCACAGCCACTCACTGCACAGCCCCTGGCCAGCAGCTGCCATTTCTGCCCTCTGCATCCTCTGCTTGCCCCCTGCTCATTGCTTAGAGCCCCCCAGCACCCAAACACAGCCTGAATCCATCTGGGCTCTGACCACTGAGAAGATGGAGCAGCAAGATGCTGCAAGCAGCCTTGGAAAGCCAAATCTGCCTGGGGCACGTTAAGCTCTCTTGTCTCATCTGTGTAACATCTGCTGCCTGGGCTGGAGAAATATTAATTGATGCTTTTTGACATTTCCTGAGAGAATGCAATTGCTTAGCAGAAACCTGAGCAAACTGGAGCGGGCTCCAGGCACATGCTGTGAACATCAGAGGTGCCTGCAGGGCAGGCAAAGATCCCTTTTCACAAAGGTGTGGTGCTCACAAAGAGAGATTCGCAGGGATGTTCAGAAAGTCAGGCACAGGCAGCAAATTAACCCTTCTCTGTGCGAGGCAGCAAATTAACCCTTCCCTGTGCAAGGCAGCAAATTAACCCTTCTCTGTGCGAGGCAGCAAATTAACCCTTCCCTGTGCAAGGCAGCAAATTAACCCTTCCCTGTGCGAGGCAACCACGGGGGATTCTGGTGTGAAGGACCTTGGATCTCTGCAGCTGGGACAGTCACTGCACAGAGCAGGGAGGAAGAGATCCATGGCTGCTGCTGCTGTGGGCAAACAGCTGCAGAGCACCTGGGATCCTGTTTGACAGCCAGGCTCTTCCTGAGAGTGGGGGAAACCCCGACAGGGCAGGAACAGCTCAGCTGAATTTGTAAACACCTAAACACCTCCTCCAGGAGCCTGGGAGAGCAGGGGGAGCCCACACATCCCAAAATGCTGCCTGGTCACCAGGGTGGGTGGGGCAGGATCCAGAGTTCCAGCTGAGCCTTCATTCACATCTGTGCTTGGACAGCAAGCTGCAGCAGAGCATCCCTCCTTCCCTGTCACACCTGCCCTGTCTGCTGGGGCAGGGGAAATGCCAGCACCACACTGAAAGCTGGGTCTATTCCTGCACTGGAAGCTGCAGGAATGGAGAATTTTATTTCTTCATATGCAGCCTCAAAGCACAAAGATGGTCACAGCACCATAAAATGGTTTGGGTTGGAAGGGGCCTTTAAGACCATCCAGTTCCAGTCCCCCACCATGGGCAGGGACACCTTTCACTAGACCAGGATGCTTCCAAACCCACCAACCTGGCCTTGGACTCTTCCAGGGATGGGTCACCTACCATGGTACCCCTCTCAGGGCAGCTGGATGTATGCAGGGCTGGGAAGGTGGAGGCAGCTGGAGCATCCATTACTTGAAAGAAAACTTGTCTAGACCTTGATCCAGTGAGACAGAGCAATGGGCAGCAACTCAGAGGAAACACCAGTACAGACATCTGCTCCCCACAAACCTGACAGGGTTTTAGAGATCCCAGCAATGGCTGGTGCACAGTCACCTCCCCATGCCTCTTCCAGAAGGAAGGGCTGGGGGCCACTCCAAACCCCCACATCTGAGAAACACATCTTGTTGAGTCAAAGCCCAGCTACACACACTGAATCATGAGGGGAAAAACAAGTAAGGTCCCAGCCTGCTCCCACAGGAGAAATACTAAGGTTGATGTGAGCTAAATATGCATGGAAAGGTGTGTGGGAAAGCACCAGAAAATAAACAGCAGAGCTGAGGTTGTAAGGATGGCCTGGATTGGTAGCACAGGACACAAGGCATTGCCCACATCCTGGTGCTCACGTGCCTGTGGGTGTGTGAGGGAAGGAATTCCTCATGGACTTTGCACAGAAGTGGTAAAACCAAACATATGGAGAGACTTTGTAAACAAACACCACTTTCTCCTTCCACCTGAGCTCCCCCTGTGTTTTGTTACAGCAGTTTCCTGTGATGGTACAACTCCTTAACCAGGCTTTGAGGGGACAAGAAAAGGGATGGAGAAAGAAGGGGGTGAGATGGAGCTCTCTTCCTCTGCCATGGAAGCTGCTGTGAGTCCCCCCTCGAGTGATTCCCCCTCCCCTCTCTGCCAGCTGCCAGGAACTATGTACAAACTAAAAAGAGCATTAAAACAAGCTCTGAGGAGAAGAAAGCAAGCCGTTGAAAAGTACTTATTAGTCCATTGTTAAAGCAAAATCCAGCCTTTTTCTCCCTGCCTATGCTGTGCCTGGTATTCCTAACACCACTGGCTTTAGCAGCTTGAGAAGTGACCAGCTGAGACCAAATTAGCACAGCAGGTATAAATGAGGGAGAGGAGGGCTCAGCTGGCCCTGCTCACACCCACCAAGACCCTGGTACAGCTCTCTGCCTCCCTGGCTGTGGCTCTGGCTCATGAGAGACATGAGGAGGGTGCTCCTGCACTGAAACTGGAGGTGCCTCAACACCCAGCTTAGGTGGAGGTGGGGAAAAAGCTCATTTTAACCTTTCCCCACCTCACACCACCTCTCTCCACCATCTCCCCAGGTCACAGCTCATCCTGATGCTCCTGAAAGTGGAGGGAGAGTGGCCCAGAGCTGGGTCTAAGCCCAGGACTGGAGATTATCACGGGCTTCAAGACCATCTCCTTCTCTGCATTCTGGATACAGCAGTGCACAGAAAATATTTCAGGACTTTGCTGGCCCCAGTGAACCTTCATCTGCTGGAGTCCAGCAGCCTCAACTGGACACCAGGAAGCAAGCTGTGAGGTTCTGAAATCCCTGGATCCCACCCTGCTCTACAGGCAATGGATAACTCCATGAAGGGCAAGAGGAGCTGATGTGAGGATGGAGGTGTCTCAGCAGCTCAGGTTGGAGTTTTGCTCACCTCTGTTCTGTGAACCAGCATCCACTTCCCATCATCACCTGGTTTATAAAACTCCAAGAAGGGGTCTGACTTCCCAAAAAGGTCCTGGAGGGAGAAGAACAGGATGGGTTACATGGTGCTCTGCAAGCAGCAGAGGTCCAAGGGAGATGTTTCTGTGTCACTGCCAGCCCTGCAGACACTCTCCTGTCCTCGTGGGGCCAGGTCAGGCACTCTGGCAAACAGGCAGCACCCACAGGCAGTGTCCTGGCTGTGTGAATCCCCTGGATTTCCCCAGCACATTTTGTGAGCTGGGTGTGCTGGCACCCCAGCGTGTGCCTGTACCTAATGAGCTTTCTGGACACAGATGCCACAGAAAACAGCCCCAGCTGGGAGGCAGCTGCATTTGGGCTTGGAAAAACATCCAAAGCCTCAGAGGAAAACCAGAATTTTGAAGTGCATGTCTTGGGGGAGAAAGGAAGAAAATCCACCCTCCTACACACAGCAGCAAAGCATAAGCAGAGGAAGTCTTTAAGGAGCGAGCTGCCCTGGTGTTGACAGGGATCATGTAACACCCTGAGCAAGGCAGCCCTGAGTCAGTGTGTGCTGCCTGTGCTGCCAGCATCTCCTCAGATAATCCCCCCACAAAGGCTCTGCTTTGTGGGAACGTGCACACACACCCCTCTGCTGGGATCAGCTCGGGGGCTGCCTCGGGAGGAGGAAGGCACCGACGGGGAAACTCCAGCTTTTCTAGGCAGAGCTTCATTCCCATTCAGAAAAAAACCCAAGGAGTTGCTAAGAAGAAACCAAATCCCAAATATTCCAGACAATCTATGGAGAATTTAAGTTATTTCAGTTGGGTTTTCCTCCTAGAGGAGGGTGGGTGTCTGAATCGTTCAGAGAGCTGGGGGAACTTTTTATGGGTTTGTGCTTCTGAGTGATGCAGTGGGGATGTGAGGGGCTGTGCATGGGGAAGGGGCAAACGTGGACACCCCAGGACCTCCTGTCCACAGCAAGGCCAGGAGATGGCAGCTGGGATGTACATGGGTTCTAATGATGCCCCAGCAGAAAATCCATCAACATTTCCATCTAAATCCTGTTTCTGAAGCCAGCCAGAAAAGTAAATCACTGCAAAGTGTTTTGGCTTGGGGAAACTACAACTTGCTTCAGTCAAAATTCTTCTGCAGAGAAGCAGACCCTAAAGGCTCTCTGGTGAGATGAGGCTATTTTTTTCCTACCCTTTTTCACACATTGGTAGGCTAGAAACACAAGCCATTCCTTCTGCAGCTTTGTGGCTATAGCACAGCTCTCATCCCTCACCCACCACCTGGGCTTGGCACTTGCAGGCTTCTCAGATGGATTAAAGAACCAGTGGTGGGTACCTGACCCTGCCTGTGCTGGCTTAACCTCCCACCAAGGCAGCTTCAGGAGCAGCAGCAGCCCAGCGTGGGCTGGTGGAGGCACTGGGGAGCTTTGAAGGATTTGCTGCCATCCCACGTGCATCAGCCTGGCTTGCAAGTCCAGTCGGCCTTGTTCTCTTCAAAGCAGGGTGGGAGATGCCTCCAAGCCACAAGATTGTGGGCTGCTATTTTAAAACATCAAACCCACCCACATCTCACCCCTGCAAACCTGGCAGGAGGTGGAAACTGAGCAACCAAAGGAGCTCAGCAGACCGGATCGATCTGCAAATCGATCCAAGAAGTGAAATGATCCAAACTGGTTTAAAACACTATGGAGAAGGAGGGTGGAGCTGGCACCTCCAGCAGACACAGCTCCCTAAATCACAGACACAGCTCCCTAAATCACAGACACAGCTCCCTAAATCACAGCTCCCAGCAGCAGCTCTGGCTTGCAGCACTTGCTGTCCCCCAGCCATGCTGAAGCACCACTGCCCTCCTGCTGTCCCCACTGCTGTGGTGGCACAGACAGCCCTGGGCTCCACGTGCCTCGCCCCAGGTGGAAATGCCTCCTCTTCTGCAAGATATTTTATCTTTCAACAACTCTCCCAAGAACTGATCATAAGGTATGAGAGCCCCAGGCTGAATTTGCTGCTGACATGCTCCTGCTTTGCAGTTTCAACATTTACATCAAGGTAGTGAGATGCAGGTGGAGAGGATGGGATGTGATGGGGAGGAGGACCTGCCTGCAGCCTCAAAGAGATCCCAGCCTCAGGGCAGCCATGGCAGAAGGAGCTGCCTGGGGCTGAGCACTGCTCCAGGCTGGGCTTGTGGCACAGCTGCCAGTAAGGGATGAGCACAGCTTCAGCTTGGTGTGTGCACTGAAGATGATCCCTGACCCCACCACAAAGTCCTGTGAGATCCAGTCCCTCCCTATAATGTCTGAGCCTGTAGCTGTGCTCCCAGCTCCGTGCTCTGTGGTACAGGATGCTGCAACTCCCCAGGCTGCAACCTTAGCCTTGGTTTTCTTTTGTTTATTCAATTTTCCACTGTCTTTCCTAAGCTTAAACAAGTTTTACCCAGCTCCCACAGTTCCATTTCAACCATAACCAAAAATGACACAAAAAATATTGGTTTTCATCCAATATCCTTGTTCAAGGGCCATTTTAATTTGCATTAAGTGACCTGAGCATCCTTTGCTTGTGAGCAGGGCTTTGAGCACTGCAGCTCTGTCCTGCAGGATGGGAATTGGCAAAGAACCCTTGTCAGCTCTTGGTGACAGCAAGTGGTCACTGAGCACAACCTTTCTGCTGACACCTACAGATGAAATTGAGCTGTTTGTTACCTCCTAACTGGAGCATTTGGCTCCTTGCACTAGGCAGGGTAAGTAGAAGGGTAGAAAACAGCCACTTCCAACAGGTGGGAAAAACAACTTGGATAAACCAGATACCCACTGAATTTTAACAACAGGACTGGGTGAGCCCCATCTTCTGCCCCAGCAAATACCCTCCTGCCTGGCTGCTTGCTTTACCCTGTTTTCAAAGAAACCCAGGGCCATCCTGCCAATAAAACAAGCTCTGGAGAGACTAGGAAAAAGGAAAAAATAATATTCCCATGGATTGCTTAGCAACAGGAGTGGTTCAAGAGGAATAGCTCTGGTTGCCTGGTAAATAAGGTCAGAAGATGCTGTTCAGAGAGGCTTTAAGAATGTTTCCTGTGCATCACATTCAAAGCAAAGCTCCTGTGCTCCCTGTCCCTGTGAGATCCTCCCTTCCTGGGAGAGGACAGGCCCCACACTTTGGTACAGAAGCAGATCTTTGCCCCATTTCCAGAGGGGCTGAAGGTGACAGGCCAGGAGCTCTCAGCTCATGGAGTCAAGGGTCATCAAAACTTCCAGCTCTGTCAGGAGGCAATTCCAAAAGCTGCCACTGAGGCAGTAAATCTGCTGTCTCTGAGACATGCTGATACACACAGAATCCTCCCACCTGGAGATGTGTGATGATGAATAGTGACAACAGGGAAACTGAGGCACAGCTGTACCCAGCAGCCAGAGGATCTTGCCCAGTTTCAGCCTTAAGTTTTCTCCAGTGGGACTGCTTTCTGTCACTGCTAGACCCAAAGCAGAGATTTCCTTAGATCCCAAGGGCAGAAATTTAACATGGCATCCCCCAGACACAGCTCCACTCACCTTTTTATCCAGTTTTCTGCCAGCCATGCTCAGAGTAATCACCCTGTTATCTGAGAGCTCCTGGGCAGCTATCTGAAAGACAAGGGAAGGCTGCATTCATTTTCAGCATAAAAAACTATGTTTCTGGTAAAAAACACAACCCCTTTCTTGAGTGTTATGCTGGACTTGGTCTCACATGGCTTTTCTGCACCAGGGCTCCTTCAGGACCTCCAAGGAGGAGAAGCCTCCAAGAGGACTGAGCCAAGAGGAAGGAGAAGCCATCTGAACCCTTGCCAGCAAGATGTGCCACCTCATCCTCCATGTCCTGGGCTGGGCATGGCAAAAACATCCTTAGGGGAACATTTCCCTCAGGGGAAATGCTGGTGGAAGGCAGGACTTGAGCCATGTCTCCAGACGAGCTCCTGGTAAGGCAGCCCCAAGGATGAAGAGCCCACGAGTGCTCCTGAGGAGCTGCAGCAGGCAGGAGCACAGCCCAGACCCCTGCAGCTGGAGAGACTTCATTCCCACATGCTCCAGAAGGGCTTTGGCTGCCAGCCCCCAGTGGGCCAGTTTTGTCTGGAATGTGGTCTAATCAGTCTCTTGGTATTTTAAAGGAATGTTTATAACAAAACCCCACATTTATTCGCTTTTATTACAAGCCATTTCCTGAATCACTTGTCTTTATTTTCCTGCCCAAGCATCTGCTCTTCACCTCTCCTTTCTCTGATCTCTTGAGGTGGGCTGAGCTGTTCCCCAGCATTTCCAGCTGCATCCCCCTTCTCCCAGGGCAGGAGCCAGCACCAGGAGAGCCAGGAACACAGCCTGGACATTGTCCTTGTGCATGTGCACTGTCCCAAGCATGGTTGCTTGCTGGCTCTCACAAGGGACTGTCCTGCCCTGAAATCATGCAGTGTCATTACACCAAGGCTTCGAGAAAAACTTGCAGAACTCCAGGGGACAATTTTCTACAGAAGGAGCAATCAGAGGGTTATTGGCACTTAGGAGAGCTGGGGAGGTGGCAGAGATGAGGAGGCAGAGATGCAGCTCCTGCATCTGCCTGGGCAGCTGAGGGGATGAGCCACAGCTCCTGGGCAACCTCCTGGCCTTCCCATGGTGGACACAACTCTTTGGTGCACACAGGAGCCACATGAACCCCAGTTTTCCCCTCTGCTCCATACAGGAGTTCCCTATTGCCATGCCATGGAATTACTTTTCTCTCCCACCGAATCCCTGGCAGGTGTAAGCAGTCACCAAAACCAGCAGGAGGAAGAGAAACTGCAGGGAAGAGGATGAAAGCTGCCCTTTCCTCAGCCCCACAAACGCATGCCCAGCTGGAATCCAGCACTTTGGGGCTCCTGTAGGCTATGTAAAAACCAGGCTGTGCAGACAGGCCAGGAATGTCCTTGTGCCATCCTGTTACAGTTGCTGGTGGCATCCTCTCTTGGCCAGCATGGACAGTAGCAACATCCCCACCACTCTGTCCAGCACAGGGGTGCAGCAAGATTTTAAAATTGACTTCTACAAACACAGAATTTTGCTTTGGGATCTCCTCTCTTCAAACTCAGGGACCCCCACACAGTCCCATGTGTTCAGCCAGGGCTCTTCAGCTGCATTCACCCGTGTGGCATCTCAGCCAGGAAAATGGATAGCTGGGCACAACTGAAGGGAATGAGGACAAGGAAGTCAGGCTTTGGCTCCAAACTCCCTGGAGCCTGCTCCTCCAGTGGTGTCCATAGCCTGTTCTCCAGCACTGCACAAGGGAAAGGTGCCCACACACAGCCCTGATGCCATCACCCACTCCAGGCCAGGACAAAAAAAAACCCAGATCAAGAAATCATATCAGTTCTACAAAATGAAGCAGATGCCTCTGCCCCTTGGATGTTTAATGGCACATTAGTGACACAACAGGACCTTCCTTTCTCTAAAGCATGTAACCTTTGAACTTGGCTGGAAACTTTTCCAGCTCTTCCCACTCAAGCAGCAGATGGGATGTGAGAGCCCTGGGAATGGCCCCACTTCTGAACCTCACTGTGGCTTTTCCCCTTGCATTTAAAGACTAACTGCAGCAATTAGGAGAGAAAAATATCTTCCCCTAAAGCAAACAGAAGGGAGATGCAGCAGGTCCCAGGCTTTTAAACCTCTCTAGTGCTTTTAAACCTGACAGAAGTTTAACTCCTTGCTGGCCTTTCCTTCCACAACTTTGCAGCCCAGCTGCACATTTCACAAAACCCCTAACACAGCAGAGATCCAAAAATGATGGGTGCTGAGGTAAGGCAGAAACACACCTAAATTTAGTCTCTTCTTTTTCAAAAAGAACATTGCTGAAGAGATCCGCAGCAGGAAGGCCACTGCCCGAAGGGGTCTGGATCAGAAGCAGTGGCTGTTGCCATGAGAGTTGTTGCCATGGCACATCCTCATCCTACAAACAAAATCACCCATCCCTGCAAAAGGAATGAGCCCTATTACCTGTCACTGCACCAGAGAGGTCTGAGCAGGCGCCTTCTACCAGATAACAAACAACAGCAGCACAGATTTACTTTGTACTTCTGAAGATTGAGGCATTTTTTATTTCTGAGACTGAAGCAGAAGTTGAAGACTCACAGTGCTAAGAACAGGACAGACACTGAGCAAGATCCTGTCCCAAATAAACTGTCCTGTCCCAAATAAACTGTCCTCCAAACAGACCAAAGTGGCCAGGAAAACAAGAGGCAAAGGGAAAAATATTCAAGAGATTCACCCCAATCTCCTGGAGCCCCTGTGAGTGCCCTGCCTTGCCCCCATCCACCTTCAGAGGCCCAGCAGCAACACAAAGGAGCCAACCTACCGTGATCATGCCCTTCCCAGCTGGCTTGCCATTCCCCAGGAGGAGAGTCCGTGTTATTTTCTTGCTGGAGACAATCTAGAGAAGCCAAAGACAATAAAGCCATGATTGTACGAGTGATCAAAAGCAGACTCATAAGCAACTGATCATTGCTCATGTTGGTTAATTCAGATTCATTTGCAGGAGTAGAAGAAAGGCACCAATATGCAGGGATGGCTGTGAGAGTGGGAATATCACCAGTGACACCCCAGCCCTCAGGGAACCCAGGGACCAGGGGGGGAGATCAGTGGGTCCTCACACAGACAGAACCACTGCAATTTGATCCCTGCAACATCACCACTCACTCCCTCAAGGCCCATTTCACACACTTCTACCACGACCCCTGCTAGCCTTGATTGCAGGACATGTTTCCATGGGTGGATCCTGATTAAAGCTGGATGCTCTCCCCCAGCATCATTCTGGACCCCCTGAGCAGGGACAGCACCCCCAAAGGCATGCAAAGTTCTTCCCTTCACTTCTGGTTTATAACAGGACAGACAGAATAAACTGGGAAATTAATTAAACCCTGAGATCTTTCCCAGCTCAGTGAGGTTCAGTCTCCTTCAGATCTGGAGAATTTTTCCTTATGAGGTGCAGATAACCCACACGGAGATCCAGCAACCTGCTGGAGACACCTGTGCCCTGATCCCACATCCAGTGTGACCCCTCGAGTCTGGATGAGCTTTAAAGGTCCCTTTCCACCCAAACCATTCTGTGATCCTGATTCTTGCAATTTCAAAGCAAAAACCCTTTACATTTGTGAGGAGCCAGCCAAGTCCCAGTGCTTTTGGTGCACAGGAATCACCAGGCAGTGTAACCAGATCTTTGTGCCACACTGGGAACAGGCAGGACAAACCTCACAGCCCTGGCTGCAGAAACCATGGACACCCTCCAGCCTGCAGTCTGATCCCTGCTGCATTTCCTTTGGCCACAGAGGTCATAACAGGCCTGGGAATGATCCAGGCCTCCTTTTAAATCCTACTACAGACCTCATCAGCTGCACTAAGCAACCTGGCTGATCTGACTGAGCTCCAGTGCAAACTCAGAACTGAAAAGTCAGATTCTCACTGCCCAGCTGTTGGTGCCCACAGCTGTTCTCTGCTTCTGGCAGCTCATGGAAACATCTCACCAAGCAAATTCCAACCATCAGGAAACCCAAGGCAGAGTGGCTGAGCCCACAAGCCCTCATGCACTTTGCTTCATTCCTCTCCTCACCCTGCACAAGTGCCGCCCCTCCTGCCCACCTCTGCTCCACAGCTGCGCTGTGCTGCCAGCCCTTGCTGGCCACAGGGAGAGGAGGCAAACAGGACTTCAGGGGAAAAAGGGAAATTAAAAGATTCCTCCATTCCAGCTGGTGTCCTGTTGAGGACTAAATGTCACCAAGAAGCTGATGTTGGAACTGCTGCAAAAACTGGGCACAGGTCAAGTTCTCCTTTGCAGAGTGGAAATACTGGGGTAAGCTTGCAGAGTTCCAAGCTCTCTTCTTCCTGACAGGCTAAACCCACTGGCTGTGCCCAAATACACAGCAGACAGTGATGCCACCATGGCAAAACCATCAGCTGTTCTGAGAGAGCCCCTGGATGTGAGACCTGCCAGCACCTGCCCATCCCCAGCATCAGCACAGCCCAGGAGGGTCTGTGCAGGCTCCTCTCTGACACAATCACCTTCCCAAGCACCAGAAGGGCTGAGACCATCTGGGAGACCCAACAAGCAGGAGAAGATGGTTCAGACCCTTCCACCTTCCTCCCCACTGCACATGGATAATGTTCTTCCCCAACAAGAGCCTGCAGAGCCCTGGGCTGCTCAGAGCCACACTCAGGAACAGCAAGGTTCCAGCTGTGTCCTTATGTCTATGAATTCTCTGCTTCCACCAAGACATGACTTTCACAAGCAGCCCTTGCTGAGCTGCCCCACTCTGGAGCTGGAAGTGTTTCAGCACAGCAGAACTAACAGTAAAGGATGGGTTTAAGCTGAACCACTGAACACAGGCCAGAGCTGCTGCCTGCACTCTCTCTAAACTTCTGCAGGAGCAGAATTAGGTCATCACAGACCACTTCCAAAATTCCAGTCGTTAAACTTCAACCCCTGTAAATGTCAGTGCTCTTCTAACCTGTCAAGCTTTTGAGCTGGCAGTGGTGAAGCCCCTGGTGCTGCCTGCCACATGCAGTGCCATGGTGCACTCTGTGAGCAAAGCAACTGTGCTCATGAGCCTCCCTGAGCACCTTGGGCTCCCTGCCCATGCTGACCCACCTATTGCAGCACCTCCTTCCTGCCCAGTCCCAGCACTGAGCACTACAGAAGCAGTTTCTCCCAGCCTCTGCATTCGTGCCAGGTACCACAGCAGCCCTCAGCTGCTGGATGCTGCAAAAAGATGGAAAAAAACCCCCTCATTCCCAGCTTCTGAGCCAGAGGACAAAGACATTTGGAGAATGCAGCTGCCAGCTTCTAACAGGGTCTGGGCTCATGAATGAAAAGACCTTCCAAAAACTTATAAATCACATTGTGTCCCAAAAGCTTTTCCACAGGAAGAGCAGAAGACACATTCCAGCACCAACATGCTCAAGCAGGAGGAATGTTTTGCTACACAACAGCGATGGACAAAACTTTCAGAAAGAGAAAACCCAAACTGTGAAAGAAAGGCAGACTACATGCATCCTAACTTTAAATATCTGGAAGTTTCCCAAGCCTAAACTGGGCCCTTACTATACCCCATGGTGAAGACAGAGCCAGAAGCTTCCAGCTGATGTCCCTTTGCCAGCACCAGCAGAAACCACACCATGATTAGCTCAGACTGGAGTGAGCAGACATTCCCTAATGTGCAACAGCTCAACCTCAACAGCTGAAGGGTGACAAGCAAATCACATTTGTCCTTCCAAGAAGGAGCCAGAGAACTTGCATGGGGTGAGAAGAACAGCTGCCACCTCACCACATCCCTGTCTCTGATGTGTTTTGGGGTCCCCTTTGCTGCAGGGACCCCAGACCCACCGTGCCCAGGGTGCAGGAGAACTCGCCCAGGAAATCGTGCTCATACAGCTGCGTGCTTGACTTGTCCTGGTCAAACAGGGCAAACTTGAGCTTCTGCACCTCTTCAAAGTGGTAGTCAATGATGAACTTCTTGGCAAAAGCTGGGTTGAGGTTGTTCACAGCTGTCTCTGTCCTGTCCAGCTGTAGAGAAAAAGAGGCATTTAGGCAAGTGCATTTTACAGCTTTGTCACTAAAACTGAATTCAGCCAGAGCCACCCAGAAAGCCCATGGTGACCACCAGAATGAGCACAGCAAGCCCTCAGCAGAGCTGTCCCAAACACAGGCTGTGACACCTGGGTGCACAAGCTGAGATCCATCTAAACACACAAGGGCACATCAGGCAGAGCTGCCTCCCGAGGATGGGGGGCATGGACACCCTCCCCACCCAACAGCCAGGATGGAAGTGCCCACCCAGCCAAGGCTCAGCTGGACTCGAGGATCACTGAAGCCAGAATTGCTTCATTTGCTTTAAGCCCTGTTCTCCCATGAGCTGAGGCTCTCTCACACCTCTTATCCTCAGCAGACCCTCACAGCTGTAATGCCAAACTTGCTTCTTCTAGTCTGTGCAGCCAGCAACAAGGACAAGCAAAACAAGAAGAGTCATGAGCCAGCACACAACTTTCTAGCATTTCCCTCTGGAACTCAACCCAAAACATCCATGTGGTTTCTTCTTTATTGGCCTTCCATAGATAAAAAGATAAAAAAACATCACCACAGTCCCTTTTTTCATAGATTTCATCAAGCATTAGTGGCAACAAGCGGCTGAAAGGGCCCAGAGACAAAACTTCAGTAGATATTGTCACCAAGAGCTGTTGCAAGCAGGCTGGAAGCAATGATGAACTGGAAGGGCAGGCACAGAGGGGAAATGGAGACTGGAAGAATGTGGGGAACCCAGTGTCAGAGGGGAAACACCACAGCTCTCTGCAGCAGCCCACAGCCAGGAGCAGGGAGAGGAGCAGAGGAAACCTGGCAGGCAGCTGGTGGAAGTGTGGGTTTACAGCACTGCATGGCACAGGTGGTCAGAAAGCCTTGTGGGAGCCAAAACACCACCCTGAGGACAGCCACAATGAGATCCTGGAATGCTGCTCTGAGCAATGGAACTTTGGTCCCAGACCCCACAGCTCACACTGCAGGAAGGGTGGCAGCACCAGCAGGGTGCTGTGATGAGCTTGCACAAAGACAAACCCCCAGGATTTTGGCCAGAAACTGAGGCTGGTGTATTTACTTCTGGAAGTCCCTGGGCAAGGAGAGTCTGAACTCTCATGTCAGAACCCATATTCCCTCCCAGGCATGCTAAAGGGCAAGTTTAGAGCCTGACATGCAAAATATCCTTGTGAAGCTGAAAGGGGCAGGAAGGGCAGGGGCAGCAGAGCCTGAGAGCTGAACAAGGAACACCAGAGCTGGGGGGAATCCTACAAAGCAAGCAGGAGCTCTGTCACAAGAGCAGCAGATGGTATCATGTTGGTATCACTGCTCAGCCTGGAGATGATAAAGCTCTGGGGAGACCTCAGAGCAACTTCCAGCATGTAAAGGCATCCAAGAGAGCTGGAGAGGGACTTTGGACAAAGGTCTGGAGTGACAGGACCACGAGGGAATGGCTTCAAACTGACTAAGGGCAGGTGTAGATTAGATATTCTGAAGAAATTCTTGCCTGTGAGGGTGGTGAGTCACTGGCACAGTTTGCCCAGAGAAGCTGTGGTTGCCTCATCCCTGGGAGTGCTCCAGGCCAGGTTGGATGTGGCTCTGAGCAGCCTGGACTCGTGGAAGGTGTTATGACAGCACTGGCACTTTGCCACATCACCCTGTTATCCCAGGGTATGGTAACATGGATATTAAAAGAGAAGGAAACCCAGGCACTGTCCAGTGTGATCTTATCAAAGCTGCTGCCCTCAGTGAGTGGAAAGACCATCCCATCTCCCTGTGGGGCAGCACAAAGCCTCTGGCCATGCTGTGACCCTGGCTGGCATTCCACCCTGTCCTGCAGCCAGGACACCCAGTTCTGGGCAAGGCTGTGCATCCCAGATCCAGGGCAAGACCTCTCTGGAAAGCAGCTGGCATCCCTGGGCAGCACCAACCAGGCTGTGGGACCGTGGGATGTCTGCCAGGGCTGCTGAGCCAGGAATAAGCAGAGCAGAAAAAGCCTCCAAAAAAAAAAAAGAAAAAAAAAAAAAAAAAGCAAGCAAACACATACCTTAGTCCCAAAGAAACTCATTCAGCACAGAAGGCAGGTTTGGAGGGGCTCAGTGGAAATGTGGTGAGTTTGCTATTTATACACCCAACCATCACGGGGCTTTTTGCAATTGCTCGCTTAGTCTGTCTTAATTGCCAAGAAACGACTGAAGTAAAGTAAATTTACTAAAGTAAATGCTGTGTTCCCAGAATAGCCACCTGCTGCACCCTAGGGAACCAAAGCCAGCAACACCAGTGTGCTGTGAGCTGGCCAGGGCCACACAGCTTCACACAAACCCTCTCTGCTGCCATCCCCTACCAAAGGAGCCTCACTCAGGGGTGAGCTGGACCAGGAGCAGAGGCATCCACAGCTCTGCTTCATTTCAGCTGCAGAACACACACAAATCCCCCTCCAGCTCTAGGAGATGGGACTGCACAGGCAGCAGAGATGGATTTTAGGTCCTTCCATGTTCTTTGAATGACTGGGAAGCCAGGGACCAAGAGAAACCAGTCCTTTCACAGCCAGACCCCAGCCTGAAGGAGATAACTTGAGGTGCCATCTCCAGCTCTGTTCTGGAAGAAGTGGCTGAAGGAAGGGTATGAAAATCCCAGCCAGCTTGGGGTAAACTTGGGAATGATGGGGCTTTCTTCAGCCCCCAGATCCAACAGTTCAATCTCCTGCCCAGTGCCAGTGTGAAGCACAACAATATCCCCAGCTGACAGCTGCACAAGGTTTGAGCTTTGGGTTGGTGGGCACAAGCCACATTGCTGGTGACCATCACACATGAGGCCTCTTCACCACCATCCCTCACTGCCAGCAGCTCCTGCCATCCCCTTCAGATCTGCAGGAAAGAACAGGCCCTTTGCCACCAAAAAGCAGAAAAGCACAAGGGTTGGTAAGAGGCAGCCAGGCTAATTAAAAAAATCTGTTTGGATAAGAGCCTCAAAGGGCCACAAAGACAATTAGAGGGATGGAGTGGCTCTCCTGAGAGAAAAGGCTGAGAGCCTTGGGATTGTTCAGAAGACAGAAGGCTCAGGGGAGACCTTAGGACACCTGAAAGGGCTGCAGGAGAGCTGGAGAGGGACTTCAGACAATGGCACAGAGTGACAGGGCGAGGGGAAACGGCTTCAAACTGACAGAGGGCAGGGTTAGATTGGGTGTTTGGAAGACATTCTTCCCCATGAGGGTGGTGAGGCCCTGGCACAGACTGTCCAGAGAAGCTGTGGCTGCCCCATCCCTGGAAGTGTTCAAGGCCAGGCTGATGTGGCTTCAAGCAAGGCTCATGGCAGGGGGGTAGGAACGAGGTGATCTTTAGGTTCCTTCCCAAAGGAGCCAGTCCACAATTCTATGATTTGGGAAATTGAGCACAAAACCAGGAAATCATCTCCAGCAGCAGCCCTTGTGCTCAGTGACTGCACTGGAGAGTCTTCCAGTGTTCAGGGGGAGGCTGGCTGGGACCTTCAGGCATCCCCAGCATGGGGAGGTGCTTCATGCCCCAACTGCCCGAAGTGCCAAGGGAAGCTGATGCTGAAGGTGCAGGACTGCCTGGATGACTCAGTGGCACAAAGGTAGCTGCAGGGCTGAGTCATGTGTCCCTTGTCCCTGTTCCTGGCACCACAGGTCAGCTCTTTCATGGCTTCTGTGAGATGACATCACTGGGTAGAACATTTAAGCATCACCCATCTTCACTTCCCAGCCTGTGGTTTATTGTCCCTCCCTCCCCCACTCCTCCAAGGCTGATTCACAAAGATTTTAAATTCCTATTAAGCTCAGTGAGACAAAATAATTGTATTTGGGAACAAATGTTACAGCTAGAAAGAACAGTGAGCAGAAATCTCCCTGCTGGCATCAGCTGGTGCCACAGCCCCACTGCCCAGCTCAGAACCAGCACCAGGGCTGGTGCCAAAGGAGGACACCCACCACCACAAGCAGGACCAAGGCCTGGGACATGTCCCTAATCTGGTGTGGAGGACAAAGGGGCAGTAGGGTGGGATGGGCTCCAATGAGCTTATTCTGTCCCCATTAGGGCAAGGGGCACATCTTTGTGGCCAAAATCACAGAGAGCAAGGGGGTAGCTGTGAACCACGAGCCATCAGCTGCCAAGAGCCCATCCAGCGAGGTTCTCATGGGCAATCCCACCTCTCCTGACCCTGCCTGGCACTCAGCCACGAGCCAAACCCACACAGCACCCCTGACACCTGTGAGTCAATGCCAGCAGTGTCCCCAAGGTGCCACTGGGCAGAGCTCAGAGGTGCCAGCACACCACACCCCGTGCCAGCCCCTTCCAGCCCTGCTGACACCACCAGCAAGCTGCTGCTCAAGGCTCAGTCCTGTGCCTGCCGTGCCAATTAGAAAGAAGCTAAAAATAGCAGAAGAAAAGAAAAACAAAAACCTAAAAGCAGCACACATTTGTATCGCATTGAAGGCTTTGGGATCAAAACCACTGGACTGAGACGTTACTGACAGAAAGAAAAATTCCTGAAAAGCACAATTAGGTCAGAGATGACACCTATCAAGGCTGGAAAGTCCATTAGTCTCATCCAGGCTGAAAAAAGTTAATTGCAGGCTGTGGCAAAGTGAGGTTTTCCCCTACACTCTCCTGCTGAAGGTGAGATCACTGCTGGACACCTGAGGTGGTGCTGGCCATTCACCAGCTCCTTGGGCAAGAACCTGAATGAGAACACCTAATTTCCCTTTTTGTTTGGTTTACAAGATTTAAATCCCTCTATGCCCATTTTCTGCTGCACCCAATGTGGGTGCCTGTATCCACCACATACCCATACTCTGCCTACCCTGCTCCCTCCCAGACCAAGCAGAATAAACCAGAATTTGCAGTTAAAGCCAATGCCCAGCACAAAGCAGAAGGCACTGATGGGGGAAGGACCAGTTGAGACACAGAACAATTCACACACTGGTGCCATACACAGCCTCAGGAGCACCAGGAAAGTCTCCACTCCTGCTTAGGGAGGCACGAGCAAACCAAGGGAGGAACAGATCCACACATCAGCAGGACTTACCTCCACCCACTTCCCGTTGACTTCCATGAAGAGGACGCAGAAAGGGTCGGATTTGGAGGTGACATCCCTGTCCAGGAGGTTCTGGCCGCAGATGGAGAGCTCGACCTTGCAGACACAGTACTGAGAGCCCACGGGCCCTGGCGGCGAGGGAGGCGCCGTGTACGCCATGGGCCTGGGGGACAGCAGCTGCTGGCACTCTGTGGGACAGCACAGGCACAAACCTCAGTGTGGGACAGCTCAGGGACAAACCTCAGTGTGGGACAGCACAGGGACAAACCTCAGTGTGGGACAGCTCAGGGACAAACCTCAGCGTGGGACAGCACAGGGACAAACCTCAGCGTGGGACAGCACAGGGACAAACCCCAGTGTGGGACAGCTCAGGGACAAACCTCAGCATGGGACAGCACAGGGACAAACCTCAGTGCTGGGGACACCAAACCTCAGTGTGGGACAGCACAGGGACAAACCCCAGTGTGGGACAGCACAGGGACAAGCCTCAGTGCTGGGGACACCAAACCTCCTGTCAGCACTGCTGAGAGGTGCTGCCACATTTCTCCTCACAGAGAAAAGCAAGGCACAACCCTTCTCAAAGATTTCTGAGATTCGCATTCTCTGAGCTTCAGAGAAAGAGAAAACAGAGTTCTTATCACTTGCTGTGCTTGTGTTGTGCTAAAGTAGAATGCAATATGGAGATTGTTTAGCCAAAGTGAAGATGTTTTGTTTCCTTGGCCTATAAGGGCCAAGAGGATGTGTGTGTGTGTGTGTGTGTGTGTGGACTGTCGGGTGACAGCCACGAAATTTTGTGCAGTGTGAGCAGTTGTGTGCAGAGTGAGTGCTTAACAGATTCAATTTAAATAAAATGTATATAGTATAGTACAATAAAGTAATTAATTAGCTTTCTGGTATCTACAGAGTCTTCATCATCATTCTCTCTCCTGTGTCAGAGTTGCCTTTGGTTTACAGCAGAGCTGGGCACACACAGCGTGGCACGGGCAGAGCCTCTTGCTCTGAGTTCCACAGGTGACCATGAGGCTCTCCTGGCTCCATCTCCCAGGTGTCCCGAGTGGAAGCCCAGCAGAGCACCCATGACCTAATGTGAGTTTGATCCATAAATAACAGATTTTTCAAGAAAAGGTAATATCTTATTCCCTCAATGGAGAGGGAACTCCCCAGCCTTTTCTTCCAGCATGCTGGGCTTTTGTTTGTGCTGAGGAGCCACACTCCCACACCATCTCTGAGCACAAACCTGATTGCTGTCTGTCTGTCTGTCCCCAGGCAACAGACCACAGCCCTAAGGGACAAACTTGAGCTGTGCTCTGCAAATCATCATAGGGAAAGGGGTGAGACTGTGAGGATGAGTATGATGCAGAGCAGCTCCAGCCCTCAGTCAGCCCCATCTCCACCCAGCTCCCAGGGCCAGCACAGAGCAGTGGCTCTGGCAGCAGGTAAAAAGTGGCAATAGTTGTTTCAGAGCAGTGAAGGCACATGTGACAAGCACTGCATGACCTGGAGCATGATTTACAGGGCCCTGACTAAAAATCCATTTAAAATCTTATCAGAAGCCTGCTACCAAAGCCATTTTGCAGAGATAAATGGGTTTTATACCATTATTAGTGCAAAACCTCACCCCACAGGACAGTCTTGACTTCTGATATACATTTTACTTGTCATGAATCACCAGTGGTCTTCAATGGAGAAGAAAGAGGAGAAAAAAAGAAGAAAAGAAGCATTTTTAGATTAATTTACACTAACAAAATTTTGTGGCTATTTTTGCTAGTGGTCAGTGAGCCCTTCTTAGCAGCTGTTTCAATATTTTTTATCTTCTTTTTCAAGAGTGGCTCCTAGCTCATCCACTTTATCTGAAGCCCTCAAACATTGCCTTCTCCACCTTGATAAACCATCTGCTTCTATTTGGCATTGAAACCCCAATTAATATTATCTATTTGTTTTGCCTGGGTATGAGTATTTACAAGCCCTTGTGCTGCCAGGAGCTGGGCTGCTGCCCTTTTCCCTTGCAGCTCAGCTTCCCAGCTGGAATGGGGAAGGAGGGCAGGGATAGGGTGATCCCAGCAGGGCTGTGGAAGGAGCTCTGGGCTCACCACCAGCTGTCCTGAGTGCTCAGCCCTGCTGCAAAGAATTCTGGGCAGAAAACAGCTCCAGCTCCCAAGGCTTGGAGCCTTCTCCTTCTGCCTGCCAAGATCTCTGCTTGGCACTAAGTCACCAGAAACAAGCCTGGGTTTAACCCCACCAGTAAACAAAAGCTCTTCACCCCAGACTGCTGCTCAGGCAAAGAGTGGTACAAGCATCTCAGCTCCATAGGAACTCAGAAACTTCTCCAGAAGAAGGAAAACCCCATCCCTGGCTGCAGACACTGGTGTGCATCACCAGAACAGCACCCACATCCCTCTCCCAAGCTCCCCCTTGCCTAGACCCAGCCTGTCTGGTGCCATCACCCCCTGTGCAAGCAGGTGACTTTTGTGGGCTCTTAGAGAAATCATGGATCATCCCAAAGGATCTCCTGCTCCCTGGGATGGACACAGCAGAATTTTGCATGGTATCACTGCTGGGTGTCAGTACTTCTGTGTCTGTTTCAAATATGCCTGGTATTGGCCATGAAAAGAAATTATTTCTTTAATGAGAGGAGATCACTGAATTTAGGGCACTATTAAGACACCCCCTCCCCCAAATGTTTCTTCACCCCAGATTGCTGCTCAGGGAAGAGCACAGCAGGACAGGGCCAGAACAGTGGCAGGGTCACACCCAAATGGTGGCACTGTCACACCAGAACAGTGGCAGGGTCACACCCAAATGGTGGCACTGTCACACCAGAACAGTGGCACTGTCACACCAGAACAGTGGCACACGTGGGAAACCTTCCATCTACTGCAGCCTCAAGGAGGAACACGTGGAGAAGCAGAAGCCCTCATGGCTCATCCACCATGGCTGGGGACCAGCCCCAAGGTGCCCATCCCTGCTCTGCTCCACCCAAGCCCATGTTGCCAGCTGCAGCTAAAGTGAAGATTTTACTTCATTAATTTTCTTTGATGCACTGATCATGTAATCAATGTCCTAAAATAGCCAAGCCTGTTCTATTTATGCTGCTGTCTGTCTACTACTCCCTCTGAGAAGCAAACATGGGGCAGCTGTGCTGGCATGGACCTGGTCCTGCCAGAGCAGGGAGATCTGGGCTGGGTTTTTCCATCTCCCCTTCCCCCAGATCTCAGTGCTGTCTCATAAAAAGCAGAGGCAGCAAGTGACTCAGTGGAAAAACCTTTTTTCCCAGGGCTGGCAGACACCAAAACATCCTCTTGGTGCACAGCACATCACCCATACTCCAGCCCCAGTGATCTCTTCTCATTACAGAAATAATTTCTTTTCATGGCCAATACCAGGCATATTTGGAACAGGCACAGAAGTACTGACACCCAGCAGTGATACCATGCAAAATTCTGCTGTGTCCATCCCAGGGAACAGGAGATCCTTCTTTGGGATGATCCATGATTTCTCTAAGAGCCCACAAAAGTCATCTGTGAGTGTTTCCCCACTAAGGCTGTCCCACTACAGCCTATTGAAATTGTGGAAGCAAAATTCCTTTCAGGAAGGCAAAAATGATGGAGGAGTATCAAACAGGTGAATTGGGGCTGGTATAAATCACATGTCTGAGCTCACAGGCAGTGGAGACACACAGGGAGAGCAGCAGTACCTGAGGGAGGATTAGGGGCAGGTGAAAACAGGTTGTCATCAGACTGAAGCAAGAGAGGAGTGTGAGGATACAGAAACTGGTTGCCCAGAGCAGCAGAAAAGCTGAAACCCAGGACACACGGAGCTGGGGACACCAGGAAAAGCTGGGATGCACTGCAATGGACACCTGAGGCAGCTCCCCACAGCACCACAGCTCACAGTGGTCACTTTCCCCTCTCCTGCTGACAAACAGAGCCATCTCCAGAATTCTTTCACAAAGCAAAAACGTTTGCCTCAGTCCCACGCAGGCATTTCAGTGGATTCACAGCTTGCCCCTGGTCCTTTAGCAGCCTCATTGCCTTCTGCACACAGGTGCAATTAGTCTGGACACAGCACCTTGCTGCTGGTCCCCAGCAGATGCCTCTGCCACAGGTGAGCAGCCTGGGAGGCAGAAAGGGGATGCTTGGTACATCCCCCTGTGGATGCTCCTTGGGTGCCTGCTACTGCCAGAGGACCTTCATCTCCCACTGGGCAGGGAAAGGCTGAAAACTGCCCCTGAGCACCCCAGCACAGCTGGGACTGAGCTCAAATCCACATTCACAGAGATTTGGGGGACACCCAGCAGACAGAGATGCCCAGGCAGGGCTCTTCCCAGCCTGAAGCACAAGTCTCACAGTCAAGGGGACTGTACTGAGATACTTTGGTGCCTGATACAGAGGGACAAAGTGCTTCAGGACAGCCTAATAAAGTGATATCTCCAAGAACCCTTTCCTGATGGAAACTGTCCCTAATGGGCTACAATAGACAATGCTGCTGGTGCTGACAGCTGAGCTGCTCACAGCAGCACTGCAGAATTCCCTCTCAAGGGCTGGTGGCCACTGCTGGGACAGTGACTGCTTCTCCAGTTCACACTTGGGCCATCCCAACCCACAGTGCCAGCTCCTCTCAGGCCCTCCTGTCCCTCACCTACCAGGTCTGTGCAGGTTTGGTGCCAGTGAGGGCAGCACCCCCCTTGCTGAAACCCCAAGAGGCTGCACCAACCAGCACAGGGCAGCACCCAGCAAAGCTGCTCCAGGGGCTGAGGATCAGCAGAGCCCTGAGAAGTCACCTGAGGTAACCTGGGAGTCACAAATTGCAAGAAAACTCCAAGGCAAACTCTGTGGCACCAGAGCTGGACGCCCCCAAAGTGGCTCATCTCATTTTGAAAGCATCATCCCCTGAAAAGCAGCTCCAGAGCCCTTTGCTGTGCCCAGGACAGAGCTGAGACAGCCACTGCTGATGCCAAGCAGGGACCCACCAGCTCCAGCAGCCTCCCTGCCATCCCCCCACGTGGCACAGCAGCTGCTGTGGCAGTGGCATTAGGGAAGAGCCTGGCTCTCACTGAAGGATGGCAGGGTGGCAGTGACTCTTCCTGCCCTGTATCCCTGCTCCTGCACCACCTCACAGCCCCGACCACGACCCCAAGGGTCCCCCCGTGACCACCAAATTTGCCACCCTGGCTGCTTCCTCCTTTGAGCAGGAGCTGGAAGCACCTGGGGCTGCTCTGTCCTGAGCAGGAGGGCAAGAGCCGCCGTGCCAGCATCCCCTGGGGGAGAGCCGGTCCCTGTGCCAGGGCAGGGACACAGCCGTGCCCGGCCACTGCTCCAGGAGGGACACAGGTCCTCAGGGGGGGCTCACACCCGCAGAGACACCCAGACTGGAAATCTCAGCCGGCCAGGGAGGGGAGAGGAAACCCGAACACCTTTCGGTGCTTCTGCCATGGAGGCGGCTCCGGACAGAGCCTGCCCGGGCACTGGGGACCAAGGAGCAAATCCGCTCTCCAACCCTCCACAGATAAAGTCTGAAAATGTCCCCCAAAGTACCTAAACCTACTCACCGACGGGAAATCACGAGGATTGAGGTGTTTCCGCAATCCTCAGCGTCGTCGCAGAGCCGAGGGCTCCAGGCTGGCAAACGAAAGCAAAACTCGCTCCTCCACACCCCGCGGTGACAGACAGAGAGCACCGCTGGTGACACGGCCGGGAGGAGCTGCAGGGGCCGGGGGCGTGCTCAGGAAGTCACACAATGAAAAACAAAACAAAACAAAACCAAACCCAAAACCACCCCAAAAACAAACAAACAAAAAAAAACCCCAAAAATCCAAACAGGCAAAACAAAAACAACAACAAAAAAAAAACAAAAAAAAAACCCCAAAAAACCAAAAATCCACCAAAAACACCACGGGAAAGAGTCCTTCCTCAAAACCGGAGAGGAAACAGGGGCTGCGCTACCAGGCAGCCGCACAGGGGTGCGTGTGCAGGGGGCAGAGCCCACGCTGGTGCCAACCCCGCACATCCATGCCCAGCTCACAGATCCACGGGTGCCTTCCAGGCTTGCTGCTCAGGCAGGAGAAAGGGCAAACAAGGAGCCGGGCAGAGCTCCCCCTGCTCGGGACACACACGGACAGAGCCCATTGCCGTCCGCACGGGCTCGCACGTATTTGGCTCAGATGCGCTGAGAAGGGTTGCACATTTTCGCTTGACTACGAGTTTCCTCTGGGGCTCAATTTAGGGAAATCTGTGATTCAGGGCAGAAAACATCGTGATGTCACCGTGAATCGTGGCGCTCGCATCAAACCCTGCACACAGCCGCCCTAAAAGGCGGACCCAAGGGAAGGGTTCGTGTGCCGGCTCTGTACCCTCCGTGTTCCCAGCCTGAAATCCACCTCCTGCATCTTCCCAGGCAGAAATCCACCTCCTGCACCTTCCCAGGCAGAAATCCACCTCGTGTACCTTCCCAAGCTGAAATCCACCTCCTGCCCCTTCCCAGGCTGAAATCCACCTCCTGCACCTTCCCAGGCTGAAATCCACCTCCTGCCCCTTCCCAGGCTGAAATCCACGCTGCCCATTCCACAAGGGACTGGGAGGCTCAGTCCTGCAGGAGCAGCCACAGGCAGACCTGTGGGAGCCTCTGTCCAACAGAGGAAATCACCAAACACAAATCTCCTGTCTCCCCAGGGCAGGGATGCTCTTGTCAGACACCTGCTCCAGGTAGGACAAACAGGAGGTGCAGCAAGGGAGGAGGACAAGGCACTCTCAGGGTTTGGGGCATATTTTAGCTTCCAGTATTCAAAATTCCCTGCCCCATCCTACAGCAGCCATATGAAAGCTGGGCACAGGGTCACAAGGAAGGGAGATAGATCTGTTTCAAAAGTGGATTTGGAGGAAAAAGTGGACTTAATTAAAGTCTTTACATTCCATCCCTATGGAATGTAAAGAATCAGGGCTGCAGGGAGGGTGGCTGGGCCCCCTTGCAGGTGCAGAGGGAACCTCCCACATCCCAACTATACACCATGTACATAACAGGCTCTTTAACTTATTAACCACTTTCCTATGCTGTTGAAAACAAAAATGCTGGCTTTCTGAATCTTAATTGGATTCCTATTCCCAGCCAACACCATCTATCACATGTGAGAGGGGAAGACAAAAAAATCATCATTTATGCGATCAGAAATATCTTTAACTGCTTTTGGACCTCACTGCATGTCAGCCTAACCTCATGTCAGCCAGAACAGCCCCAGCAGCAGGCAGCTGTGCAGCTCCCTCCTTCCCATGCACTATTTCATCCCTAAAGCTACCAGTGCTTCAGAGCTGATAAGATAAATAAATATGAATTCACAGGTATTTATGTGCAATGCTCATTTGCACTGGGACACCAAGCCATGCAGAGCACTGCTGTCCCCATGGCTGGAGCCACCTTTCCCCCTCCCTTCCATCCCACCCTTCAGAGCCCCCCATCCCTTCCTCTTCACAGACGGGATTTTCATCGCCAAGATCCAACATTTTCCCACAGAATTTTAATTTTTTTGGCCTGCTTTGCAGCAGAGAGATGCTGCCACTTGATGTGTGAAGCTTCACCCTGAGACAGAATTGTGTGCCAGCGAGACAAAAATGCTGTGGTTTGTGAGAATGACGTCTGACTAATTCTCGACCCCTTCTCAACAGCTTTAGACACCGCTCGAGGGAATATCAGACTGGGTTTAAATGGTTGCACAGCACTGGACTTGTTTAATAGCAAAACTTGTATTCCCAGCTTGTATCATTTTTAAAATCAGCCTCATGACAGCTGATGTTTCTTCCTAAATCCTCAGCTTCTGGAATCACGTGATGATGGAAAATCCAGGGCTCTGAGGAAGGCGACTATTTTAGACACAAGATTTTTCCTGCTGGCTACAGGCAGAAAATATGACAGCTCCCAAACACAAGGCCTTAGCAAAAGCAGCAGACAAATAAAATTGGAGCCCTTCTTGCTGAATTCTACACTCGTTTGTTTTACTGGCATTTTAACAACAATGTTGGGATCTCCAAACTCACCTGAGTTCCTGGGAATTAGTTTTTCCCCTGATCCATGATCCAAACAAGAAACCTTGCAAAGCCAGCAGCCAGCAAACTGAGCCAAAGCAGCAAAAAGTGATGACTCAGGTCCTTCAACAAATATTTTACAGAGGTTTAAAAGACAAACTGTAAGATTTCAGGGGCAGAAAGGGTGGGGAAGTGTTCAATTCTTTTTTTCCTTCACACTGTTCTGTGGCTTTTGCATCTTGCCAGGAGCACTATTTCAAATGCCAGGCGACTCCACCGCACCAGAAAATTTACCTTTCCCTCTATCCCCCCACCCTGCCTCTGAACACCAGCCAAGGTTCTCACATAAAGAGTTCCTTATGAGAGCTGGCAGCCCTGAACCCGGACAGGAGTTGCTGTTTCATCAATTAACCTGGAATTCTGTTCCCAGCATGCCGAGGGCTCCCGGAGAACAAGCCCTGATTTACAGCAGCTCCCCCCAGGCTGGGCTTTCCACTGAAGGCAGGGGGAAACTCTTCCCTCCAAGTGGAGCAGGAGAAGTTGTTCCTCCCAGACTCTCCATGCACCACACTGAGACTGCTGAAAGGCAAACAAAGCTGCTGCAATTCCAGCACACAACTGGGCAGACTGGTAAATCATGGGGCAGCTCCAGGCTGCTCCAGCACCGCAAAATCCCGATGCTTTGGGGTGAGGGAGGGGGATCCCTGCCAGAGGAGCAGAATCAAGGACTGCCAAGGGCTGTGCAGCTGATGTACTGCCCCAAGGCAAAGAGCATCTCCATCCACAGCTCAGCTCCAGCAGCTGAATCCTAACAGGATTTTTCCACACTGGAATCCCCAGCTCCGGGGGTGCAGGGCCCCTCCTACAGCACAGACTGGAGTTGTCTTACCCTGATAAGCAGCAGCTTCACAACAGCTTATCAGCAACCAGCATGAACCCCTTGCTGTCCCCCAGCACAGACCCAGGGAGCAAGGATGCTGATCCTCAGGATCTCAGCTCCCTTCAGCTGGAGCTCACAGGGCAGCAGGGAGACCCTGCCCACCCTCACACTGCACCAGGGCAGTGTCTGCAGCCCCTGCAAGAGATACAAACCGTGCTCCTGACCAAGCAGCTCCTGGGAACGGCAGGGCACATGCCAACAGTGCCAGCAGAGGCAGGCTGCTGGCAAACTCCATCCTCTGGGGGCTGGGGACAGCGTTGGCTCTTAGAGAGCAGCTCCAGGACTGTGTCTCTGCCCAAGGCAGGGGCTAGGGGCTGCCTACACCACAGGAAGATGAAAGCTGGGCACACGTGGAAGCCTCACTAGATGCCCTCACTCCTTCCCTCCACTTTATCCCAGTCAGGATGCTCCAGCAGCAATAGCAGGGAAAGAAACACACACATCACCAGAAAACATGTGTCCCAGGCTGTCACACAGCTGTAACCAAAGCAAATGCAGCATTTCCCCAAGGCAGCTACACGAAAACATCCTCCTCTGACTGCGTTCCTCAAAACAGCTCCTTTCCACATGCCCCGAGCTTTTGTTCCCAGCCTTCCTCCTCCCATCTCTCCCTTCCCTGCCCCCAACAGGCTTTGGTGGAAGGCTATTTCTGGCTGATAATAAATAATTTTCTGACTCCAGAGAAGCACAGTGGTATCAGAGGCCCCAGTACCTGGGCTGGCTCGAGGAGGCTGATGCAGGTGACAGGGGAGCAGGATCAGAACTGAGCACACCTGGGCTGTGCTCACAGCTCCAGCTTTTCCAGCGAGGTTCAGGTGTATTGCCAGCAGGTTCAAACCTGGTCCTCGAGGTTCATGAGGATCCTCCCAATTCCTTTCCACAAAGCAGCTCACACTCTGGGGAGTCAGCAGCAAGGACCCAGCCCTTCAGAGATGTTTCTGCCACCGAGGCTCAGCTCTCTACTCACCTCTGTTTCCTGTTCCACCCTCCTTGTGGTGACCAGCTCCAAAGGGTGTGTTTGCCCACCAAGTCCTCCAGCCCTGCTGGCTTTAGTCCAGCCTCTTTGCCTAAATTAGGGTTACTCACACAGAGACTTATTGCATCAGGTCTTCAGGCTGGCAGAGCTGACAGGAAAACACCTCCCTGCCTGCCATCCTCCCAGCACCCTCACACTGCTGAGCGAAACGCTCCGCTCGCCTCTTGCTCAGAGAACAAAGCCTCTTGCTGGGCACTGAGCAGAGAGAGGCAGCACACCCGTGAGCAGAAACCCTCCCAGTGCCCCCAAAATGCATGGCATGAGGGACATCATCACCAGCTGCAGCAGCATCAGGCTGCAAACAGCTCCTGAAGAAGTGACTCTGATTCCTCAGCCTCCAACTCACCAGATCCCCCCTGGACCCAGTGCCAGAGGATAAGGAGAGGGGCTTGCAGCAGCTGCCCAGAAAAAACCCTACAAACACCCTCAGGCTTGGGGAGTGAAGCCACGAGGCCCTGGCACTTGCCTGGGGGTCACATACCCAGTTCACACCTTTAGAAGTGGATACAGACACACAGAGAGTGGGAGCAGAACAACTTCCACACCATGCATGAACGAAGGGATGGGCTGGGGAAGGGGAGCGGAAAGTGACAGGAGGGGCATCCTAAGGGATGGTCAAGGAACCAAAAGTCTGTCCCAGGGCACAGAGGCTCTGTCTGGCAGGACGGAGGGTCTGTCCCAGGGTATGGAGGGTCTGTCCCAGGGCACAAAGGGTCTGTCCCAGGGCACAGAGGCTCTGTCTGGCAGGACGGAGGATCTGTCCAGAAGCATGGAGGGCAGAAGCGCCACCACACACCTCGGGACGAGCCAGTGGGGGACACCACCCTACAGGTCCCCATCCTGTGGGTGACACCGGTGTTGCGCTGTCCCGGCCAGGCCACCCTCGCACCGGACTCTCCGCTCTCCCAGCACCACCCGCCCGAGCAGCCCCGCTCCGCTATCCCCAGCGCATCCTCGGGCGCTGCCGGTACTCACCGCCGGGCCGGGCCGGGCCGGGCCGAGCCGCTCCCGCGGGGCTGCGGGCTCAGAAGCTCCGCACGGCCGCGCCCGCCCCTCGCCATCACCGCCCACCCTCCCGCCCCGAACGGCGGGGCCGGGGGCGGGCGGCGGGCGCGGCCGGGCTCGGGCTCCCCCTCCCGCAACGAGCAGCAGCCGTTCCTGACTAACAAAATAAAAAAAAAAAATAAAAAAGAGAGAAAAAAAAGGGAAAAAAGAGAAAAAAGAGGAAAAAAAAAAAAGAGAAAAAAGAGAAAAAAGAAAAAAAAATTTAAAAAAGAAAAAAAAAAAAGAAGAAAATTAAAACAAGGAAAAAAGAAAAAATAAAAAAAAGGATCCACCCCAAAACTTCTTCTCTCGCTGCTTTTGCTTTGCTGTTTGGAGAGAAAAAAAAAAAGCTTAAAAACAGCCTAAAAAATACATCTAGAAAATTGTTTTCCATGTTATGCACTCAGATTCAAGGGAAATATAACTTTGTTGGATCAACAGTCATCGCTTTTAAGTAAAACCACCGGGTTTTGTGCTGGTTGGGTGTAAGCAGGGTTTTCCCTGCCCAGCCAGTGTGGGTGCTCCTGGTGCTGAAACCATTCAGGCCTGGACTATGTCCCGCTGATTCTGCTTCCTGTGGGAAAAAGATGGGTAAAGAAGGAAAAGAAGCAGACCCCAAATGCATGGCCCAGACATGAAGGGCTGGGCAGTGTCACACCCAGCCATCACCCACCCACCCCAAGGAGCTGGTGTGTGCTCCCTTCCAGGCTGGTACCACCACTGGTACCACCAAAGTGCCATTGGCAATCTCACCTGCCCTTGGTGGACACATCTTGAGGTGTCCAGGATATCTATAGAGATGTTTTTGATGTGGAGATATGGTACTAAGGCTGAAAGCCTCTCTCTGAGGCTGCTGATTAAATAAACCATCTGTATTTGATCAGAGCTCTTTGCTGTGGGCCCTGCTCATGCTTTGGAAGATCAGAGGCAAATAAGCAAGTCCCAAATTCCCCTGGCCAGCTGGAATACTTTCTTCTCCCTCAGTCTGAGCTGTGGAAGGCAGAGGAGTTTTAAGGCACCGAGTTTTCAGCCTGCACAAGGTGCTCCCTCTGCCAGCCCCAGGAGTGGAGCAGTGGACACAGGACAGGCCCAGGGGGCACCAGGGCTCCTCTCAGCACAGGCAACACCCAGCTAAGAGCTGAGGAACAACCCTGCTCTTTCTGTGTGGCCAGAAACCATCACAGAAAGGGACGAGGCTGTGCCTGAAAGAGGAATTCAGTGGGAGAAGTGGGGTCTGTGCCAGCCCTGCCCTCCTACCTCCTTGCCTGAGGCTTAAAATGTCACTTTGAGGGGAAAAGGGAGAGGCAGGCTGTATTTCACAAATGCCAATATGCCTGTTTTCTCCCAGATCAGATTTTCCTGTGTTTTCTCTCACGATGCCTCCAAGTCAGAGCAGGTTCAGGGCTACCTGGAACTGGATTCACCAGAGAGGAAACAGAGGCTGCATTTGCAGCTCTTTGGAGCTGCCTCCATCGTGTGCAGGATCCTGGCCCAGCCTGGCTCCAGCTGCTCCCCAGCACCAAATCCAGGCTCCCTCCCGCCCTCCAGCAGCCTGTTTATTTACAGCACAGTGCTTCTTTCTAAAGATCCGGTCTCAGGGGGCAAAATGCCTTCTGTGTATGAAACCAGTACTGACTAGCTCAGACATTGTCTTCCAGAGACTGCAGGCAGCCTGAAACAATAGGGGAGTGCAGAGAGTCCTGATGCATTTCCATTTTTGGACCATGATAAATCCAAAACCTAATAGTAACAGCTCTAAAAATGGCCTGCAGTAATTAGGTGGTTGGGAATTGGTTTGTTTTTTGGCCATCACACACAATCCCTCATGGCCTCACGTCTCCCTGCATTCCAGAAGATACATTTAACCCCTCAAAATTGGACAAAGCCCCCGAGTTCCCCTCAGAAACTTTCAGAAACGAGCACCAGCTGGAGCAGGGACATGGCAAGCACAATGGAAATGGGAAGCACACCCCAGAAGTCCTTGGCATCACATGGAAGAATTGAACCACAGGCCCAGCATGTTCTTGTGCTCCATGTACAACTCGGTCCAAACCTCTGGTTTTTAAAAAATGCTACCCATGAACATAAAATAGAGCACAGAGCCCGTTTTTGTCCCGAACTGCTGGATTACAGACAACCTCTTCCCGTTTTTGGGGTTTTGCTGACACCTGGTGTTCTGGAAAAGATGCTGTGTGTTCCTGCAATTCCCCTCCCTGGCTCCCGTTGGGATGTTCACCCTCCGGGTGAGACTGGAGCCCTGAATTTGGGGCAGACCCTGAGAAGTGCAGGTGTGCAGTTCGGTTTGAGTCCCTCTTTTCACACCTGGAGACAAGAGCAGTGCTGTGAGAACATTCTCGTGGTGTTACAGCACTGCAAACCTCACGGTGCCGATGGACACCTCTGACTCCAGCAACCAGGGGACTGCAGGGGGGAACCTCAGACCCATTTACCTTAGAACAGTTTGGGTGGGAGGAGAGCTTAAAAATCATCTTGTTCCAACCCCCCTGCCATGGGTGGAGACACCTTTCACTGGACCAGGCTGCTCCAAGCTCTGTCCAACCTTAACACTTCCAGGGATGGGGCAGCCACAGCTTCTCTGGGCAACCTCACAGGGAAGAATTTCTTCCTCATATCAGTTCACCACACCTGGTGAAGCTTTTTCCAAGTGGCAGTGCTTAAATCTGAGGTACTTGCTTACTCCATTGAATTATATAACCTGATGAGGAATTTCACTGCCTCTTTTTTTCCTTTGTTTTTGTTTTTAAAAACCCTTTTCAGAGTAGCCCTGCAAAATGTGTCCCACTTTTACACCACCACGTCATTATGTCACAAAGGATGATGCTGATCTTTAAATAGGGACAGTGGCTCCCCCAGGAATAACCAGCACCACCTGCTCACAACCAGTTGCCCAAAGATTTGCTGGAGCAGCATTTCTGTCTCATTCCAGATGCCTGCCCTGCCCAAATCAGATCACTTACATCTCCCCAGGCAAACGCTGCTGCAAACAAAATTCCATAAATAAATCCAACACAATAATTAAATATTTATTTTTACATTCTCTCCTAAAGGACGTGTATTCTTTTAGAACACCTGCAGGCTGGTGTAGTAATTTTGATTAAGGATAATGAAATACTCTGCTGCCTTTCTGAATGCCTGAGGAAATGCATTTCATCCTAGAATAATGGAGTCATAGAAGGGTTAGGATCCCTGAGTCAAACCCTTAAACCAGCATCAACATGTTCATCTCTAAACCATGTCTTCAAGTGCCACATCCACACGTTTTCTGAACACTTCCAGGGATGATGACTCCAAAATCTCACAGCTCTGAGAAAACCTTATATCTTACTTTTTTCTGACAGTGTGTGAGAACTTAATTATGGTGTTTATTCTTTCTGTCACTCACTGCCCCTCCCTCAAAATAAAGACAAACTATTGAACTTCTAATTTGAAGTTGAAGCTTGGATGGAGGTGATGGTGAACCTTTCATTGTAGGGCAATACATAAATAAATAATGTCTAGTACATAAGCATTCTTATCACAGTTTGCTAATTATTTTCTGGAAAGTTATTCTCTTGAAGAGAGTTTCAGTGCTTTTCTACCAAGAATGCCATCCTGCCTGCTCAGCAGAAGTTATTTACAGTCGTTTTCTCTTCTGTACAATAAAAAAAAAACAAAACACAAGAAACAAAACAAACAAACAAACCCAACAGAAACAAACAAAACAAAACCCCAAACCAAAACAAAATAAAAAACCCCAGTGTCCACACTTGGTTCAGTGCAGCAAAGAAAAATCCAATATTTACAGCTTTCAGTTGTAGGAACTTTGAGCTCCAGGTTCTTCAGTGCAGTTTTGAGAGCAGCAGCAGCAGAGAACTCCTAGCTAGGGCAAGGCTCCTCTTCTCTAGTTGAAGGAGAAGCACAGTCTTGGGTCTTGGCTTGTCAAAGTCTCAGGAAGGCCCTTGGGCACTGGATTGCCCCACAGCCTGCAAGGACAGCAAAATGTTACTGCAGGACCAGGTGTGGGGCCCAAACATCTGGAGATGTGGATCCCAGGGCAGAGTGGGACAGGGCAGGAATGCTCATCAGAAGAGAAACCAGAAGGAATGAGAGAAAGAAAACTTTAAAGAACAAATGCAACAACTTCCTGATGGGGATATTACACAACTGGGTCTTCATTTTGTGCCTCATTTAAAGCCAGCAAGCTTTCCAGTTCCTTTTTCCCCTGGACTTTGTGAGGAGGTGAAGCTGTCCTAGAAAACCCTCACTTGCCTTGTGTCTGCATTCCCTGCAATGCCCTATGCCCTGCCAGCTAACCCAGGGCAGCAGGGGCATGGGACACATCTGTCCCCACCCTGACCTCTCCTTGCTGAGCCAAGAGCCAGCCACAGAGCTCTGGGACACCTGCTCACCTGATGGACTCAATTTCTGGGCACGCCGCAAGTTCCTCTGCGAGCTTTGTGGCCCCACAGGCTCCAATGTGGTTCTTCTCCAGGCTGTTTTAAAAACCAAAAGAGAATTTTGAAATCCAAAACAAATCCAGAGTGGAAAACAGCTGAATTGTCCCAAGTTGTAACCACTTTAAGTAAAATAAGTGTTAATTCAATCAGCCAGGCAAGGCTGGCCCTTGGTGCATGGAGCTTAAACTGCAGGAGCCTGCCTGTTGTTCCTAAAGTGCATCCCCTTTTTGGAAGCCCAGTGATTGAAGGCTCAAGGACAGAAAAATGAGCCTTCCCAGGGTTTTTCTCAGGGCTGTACTCACTCCAACACCTTCAGCTTTTCCATCTTTGGGAGAGCAATGGCCAACTCTTGGGCTCCTCCATCTCCAAGGGCATTCCAAGACAGTCTAAGGCAGACAAGAAATCCCAGTTGTGAGTCTGGATGAGCACTGGTGACATTATCCCTCATGGACTGGCCTTTTTGCAAGAGCTAATCACCCTCTTATCATGACAGGTAAACATTCCCCTGGTGCAGTGTTTGTGAGGTTCCCAGGACAAGGTGAGAGATGAGAATTTGACTCCATGTTCTCAGAAGGCTGATTTATTATTTTATGATCTTATATTATATTAAAAATGCAATACTAAAACTATACTAAGGAAAAAAAAAGGATACATCAGAAGGCTAGAAAATAATGAATAATAAAAACCTGTGACTGACTCCTCAGAGTCCAACACAGCTGATGGTGATTGGTCATTAATTAAACAATTCACATGTTTGGATAAACACTCTCCAGACCACATTCCAGAGCAGTAAAATATGGAGAAGCTGAGGCTTCTCATCTTCCCAGGAGAAGAAGTCCTGGCGAAGGGATTTTTCAGAAAATGTCATGGTGACCTTGGATTGCAAGCTTAATTCTGAGGATTTTCCTCCATTTCACCACAGATTTCCATGCATGATAAGACACCAAGGAGTGTCTGTGGACTGTGGTTACCTCAGAGTTCTGCAGGCCCAGGGAATGAGATGAGAAAAATGGAAATGGCTGCAGAGCACAAAGCTTTACCCCACTAAATTTTTTAGCAGTGTATTTCATCAACTAGTAAATTACTGATACATTTACCACCAAAATGTACTTAGTGGAAAGTATTATAAAATACTTTAACAAGCATCCAGCAGGGTGAGAAGTGCCCTGCATCTCCAAAGAGGAGCAGACACCAAAATGAGAGTGACCTGTGCATGCTGCAGCGCCTCCCCACACTCACATTATCTCCTCCATGGACGGGCACCGCTGGAAGCCCAGAGAGAGGGACTTTGAAGCACCATCAGTGACTCCACAGAATTTCAAGCTGAAGCAGCAGGGAGAGAGCAAACAGAGAGCATGGAGTGCTGGTGTCAGAGCTGAGGGGAGCACAGCACCACGTCCCCTGAGGCCCTGGCACTCACTCGATCTTCCGGAGGCGTCTGAAGCTCGGCAGCCCCTTGGACAGGGCACGGATGCTCTGCTCCCCAAGGTCGTTTTCTGATAAACTGAAAGAGGCATGGAAAAGCTTTGAGTGGTGAGAAAAAGCAGGTACAGTCAGAGAAAAGCCACCATGAAAGCAATCATGTGAACTAGCAAGTTAGTAGCTGCTACCCAGACTAAGTGAGGACTCTGCAGACAGCAGGGATGAACCAGATTGGTAAACAGCAACTTTAATTCAATTCACTGCTTGGCACAATGGGAGTGACTCTGTAGACAGCAGGGATGAACCAGATTGGTGAACAGCAACTTTAATTCAATTCACTGCTTGGCACAACGGGAGTGACAGCCCTGCTGTACCTCCCAACCTCAGTCCTTGCCTGCAGACAGAAATATGGGGTTATACCTGTGCCAAAGAAGGGCAGGTCTGCAGCACATCATGTGTTGCATGTGGAACTGGAAATATAAAATCCTCAAAACCTGGAGTTAATGACTGGTGTGACTTGAGAGGAAATGGCAGTGAGGGAGACTGGGAAGACCTTCCAATACCTAAAGGGACTACAAGGGAGCTGGAGAGAGCCTTTGGACAAGGGCGTGGAGAGATGGGACAAGGGGGGTGAACTTCAAGCTGAGGGAATTGGATATTAGGAAGCAGAAATTCTTCCCTGTGAGGGTGGTGAGGCCCTGGCACAGGTTTCCCTGAGAAGCTTTAGATATCCCATCCCTGGAATTGACCAAGGCCAGGCTGGACAGGGCTTGGAGAAACCTGGTCCAGTAGAAAATGTCCCTGCCCATGTCAGGGGGATTGGAGCCAGGAGATCATCAAGGGTCCCTTCCAACCAAAACCAGCCTGTGGTATCTTTGGCACCATCCTGGGTGCACCAGCCATGACCTACCTTATCTCTTCCAGCAGCTCACACACCACCAGGGCTCTGGCCAGCTCCAGCCCTCCTGCCTGCCCAATGTTATTGTTCTGGAAGCTAACCAAGGAAACATAAGCATTGGAGGATTATTTTGGAATGAAGCTGTAACAGAAGCTCATATTTAAACTGCCAAGAACCCAACCAGAGATGGTGTCCACCACTGGGATTCCTTTTCTAAGTTAACTTTTGATGACATCTTAGACACAGGCTGGAAGAGATGCCTCTAGGCTAATTGAGCCCAGGGAGCACTTCCAGCTCACCATTTTCTTGTTTTGTTACTATAAAACAGTAAAAGAAAGTCCTACATGTTAGAATCCTGGAAAGACTCCCAAAAAAGTTTTAAAAATACAGTAACACAAGTTCAGGGAAAAGAAATGACTCAGAGGTGCCTGCACAAAAGGGTGAGGGTCCATAAAAGATGTGCATCCTTATGCTTACATTCCACCAGAGGCATCAGAAACCAACATACTCCAATTTTAAGGTTTATTTTACTGTATACTCTCTTCCTGGTTTGTCTCTATAGCTAATGCTGCAAGAGATGAAGCAAGAAGAGTTTCTGTGACTCTTACAACAGAGTAACTGTGGAGGGTTTCTCAACCCTGGGACACTGAAGTTACTCTCTAAGCAACCAGTGCCCATGCCCTTTCCCATTCCTTCTCTCAACAATCCCCATTCTCCCCAGGGTCCCCAGCCTTCCTGGGGCAGAGGCTGACACTTACTGCAGGACCTTCAGGGTGGCCATGTGGGGCAGACAGAGGGCAAGTGTCACTGCTGTCCTGTCTCCCAAACCATTCCTTGATAGCCTGGGAGAAGCAGAAGTGAAATGTTGCTGGCAGTGAAGTCCAGAGCCTCGTTCCTCACCTGTGTGTCACCCCCACACTGATGTGTGACCCCCATTCCTCACCCACGTGTGCCTGGGACTCTGCTGAGAGGACCCAAAGTGCCCGACTCAAAGGACTGTGAGGGTGGGGGGAAGAAACAATGAGATTTTGAAATCCTGCAGCAGAAGTTAAACAGGAAAGTAAAACTGAGCTGCACTTCCCAGAAGCAGACTTATCTCCCTCCATGACTGAGTTACCTGAGCTGGAATTGAGCTGAAATTGAACTTTTTCATATGTGCCCTCAGTACACACACCCTAATCTGAAGGTTACAAGGACAGTTCCTTGTAGTTTAGTACAGTAAACAGTAGTTTAACTGTAACTTTTCCTTATTTGTTATTTTTTAATTTCATTTCTTTAATATGGCAGAGCACATAGGTTCTTTAAACTGGTCTGGAATAGAACACCAATAGATCTGACTGTAAAGCCTTTATCTGTCCACTTCCCTCCCTGGCCAACACAAGCACTGAGCAGCTCCTGACACTGCCTATGAACCTGCAGATTCAGCTCTTGAATCCATTAATCCACTAATGCAGAGTGCACACTTCTTGGAAATCTTCAAGACAATCCAGCAACCAATGCCCAAACCTTCCACATCCAGCACCACACATTGCTGTGGTGGCAGCAGAGCTTTTACTCTGCTTTTACAAGAATCACGGGGTAAAACTGATCTTGGCTTTATCAGAGTCATATCTGATTTCTATGCCTTGACTTTTGCCCAGCTTCCCAAAAGGATATTTGAAATTACACACTTACAGCAACTCCTTGATGTGCTTGCAATGGGCAAGAGCTTCCATCAGCTTTTCCCCTCCAGCAGGACTGGGACAGTTCCCTGAAAGGCTGAAATAAACATGAGACTCTCAGTGACTAAATGAGAACCAGAATGTACCAGGTTAAGATATTTCACTGTTTGCCTGCTGTGATGGGAGACTCAGGCTCTGGGAAATGGTCTGGGGATTTTTAGGTTCTTTCGTCAAGTGCTGAGTAACTCCTGGCCCTGCAGGGAATGTGGGGAAGGAGCAGTTTCCCCTCTCAGACAGAACTGGGAAATTCCTTTTCTTGCTCCAAGTCACTTCCAGGTTTTTCATTTCAAAAAGCTACCAGGCTTTCCCCAAGAGCTGAGCCTAACAAAGAGCCTGGATGCTCTAATTTCTGTTCCCTGGGAGAAGGAACAGTTTGAGTCCATGTCTCAGCCTTGCACAGGGATTCCCACACAGGCTTCCCCACCAACCATGGCCATGACCAAAACAGCTGAACCAGAACAAAGGGACTCACTCGATTTTCTTCAGGTTTTGCATTTCCAGCAGGACAGCAGCAAGATTTATCAGGCCTGGATCTCCAATCTCGTTGTGGCTTAAACTTTAAAGAAGAGATGGAAGGCTGTGTTGTAAAGGAAGATGGCAGGCAAAGTGCAAGATGTTATTTAATGTGTCCCATTTGCTGGATGACACCTCAGGCCTTGCCAGCAGAATCAAAGAGCTGTTTATCTCAACTATTTCACAGAAAATTAATAGGTGTTAATGAGGAATTTTAAAAAATTGCAAAGAACAATTAAAATCACTGGATCCTGTTGACAGGTGGGAAATTACTTCAGCCAGAATACCAAGACAGGATGAAGATAGGTGGTTATTATTTTACAAATTGCTACAGCAGAGAATGGACAGCATCTGGCAAGAGAGAGAGGGAGAAAGCAGAGCCTGGGGTTGGATCCAGGACGGATCTTTTCAGACAAATGCTGGGTCTGAGGCTCTCCAAGGACAGAAGAGTCTCTAGTCCTATTCTGGCTCCCAGGGAAGATTTATATTCTGTTTAATCCATTTTCTACATGACTGACTGGGGTAAGACCAAAGTTTCCTCTTCTGAACATCAAGTTCTGATTTTCTCTAGTCCAAGGTACCTCATACATGAGCATTTGCAACCTCCCTCCTTTTGTGACAGTACTGTGTACAAGCACATCTGGTTCTCTCCAAGTGCTGGCACTGGTGGTCACCTCTCTGCAAGAAAGGAGAAACTCACTTGATTTCCTCCAGGCTGTGCATTTTCCTCAAGGCTTCTGCAAGTCTGGAGCAGCCTTCGTCACCAATGCTGTTGTGGTTCAAGCTGGAAACAACATCCCCAGGAAAATGGAGGTTTAGCTGCTACTCAGCATGCCAAGCCAGGCCAGAGCTGAGCTGCATCAACCATACTTACATAAACCTTCTCAGGGATGGCATCTCACAAAGCCCCAGCACAAGCCCAGGGATGGCAGCGCTGCTGAGTTTCATGTAGCCCAGGCTGGAGGGTGAAATAACAATTAACTCTCCAGGGACAGTGGTGTGAGCACTCAGCACAGAGGGGAGCAGAACAAGGTGGGAGAGATGGGGGAGTGTGTTCTAATCCCTGGGAATAATTTCAGTTTTGCTCTTTAATGCAATTCTAGTGGACCTGTCTGGATTTGGATAAAACACCAACAGAATTGCAAACCTCTGGAGCAAGAGCCCAGCCCCTCCTGGAGCAAAGTGCCTCTGTGACCCCAGGACAACAAGATCCATGCAAAAATAACTGCCAAAACATTTGATTCTCCACTGGAATTCCCTGCCACAGATTACTGATCTGTGTCTCTCTCACTCACTGCTCATTGCAAATATAAAATAATTGCTGCTTCTTCCCTATCAGAAGCCGTCAGAAAAAGCACATCTGTCCACAGTACATGCAGAAGGGAGGCTGCAGATTAACTGAAGCTTCTAGGAAGTCCTGGCAGCCTCTGGTCAGCCTGGTAACAACACACTCACTCACTTGAGTTCTTCAATGGCCTGGCAATTCTGCAAGCCTGAGATCAAATAATCAATTCCAGCTGGTGTAACACTGCTGGAGGTCAGCCTGCAAAACAGCAAGGATCAGATGAGGAGATCAGGTCTCAGCACACCGAGGCAGAGTTTACTCCACTGACAGGCAAACTGCCCCATGCCAAACCCCAGACAGCACAGACATCAGGGACCAGCAAGTTTGGAGAGATTTCCACACCCCTGGTGTGCAGGGCTAAGAGGACTGGCCTGAGGCAGAGGATTGAACAAATAATAAATGTGTGCAAAAGGTCCCAGCTGGACACACACAAACCCAAGGTCACACATACCCAAACATCTTCAGCTCTGGAAGGGGCAGCAAAATCCTGACCAGCATTTCTGCTTCATCCTCCTGGAGTTCCATGTGGGACCATCTGCAAGGAGGGAACAGCAGGTCTGGGCTTTGTCCAGGGGTGGCACAAGGTCTGTGCTGAGACCTTGAAGGAGGGACACAACACTGGCACTGGCAAGGTCCCACAGGAGCTCCCAGCCATGCTAGGGCAGTGCAGCTTCTCTGGGCACTGGGACACTGAGGGGATTTCCAAGGATACCCCTGCAAGCCACCAGGTCTATGGATCTTTGCTGTTTTCCATTCAAGCACTCCAAGGAGGGGACCCAAAGGCAGGGACTGGGACCTTGCCCTGGCCTCTCTCGTGCCCTGCTGAGTGTTCAGAGCACTGGATCACCAGGACAAGCTGCTCCCCTCCCTAAAAACCCTTCACCACACCTGGTAACCCACCTCAGCTGCTGAAGCTGAGCACATTTCTCACAAAGCCTTTGGCAGAGGGAGTGCTTCATTTCTGGCTTGTACAGACTCAGTCTGCAGGACACAAACACAGAACACAACTCAGTGAGGAGCAGCAGAGCCCAGTGCAGCATCTGGTGCCCCCCTGGGACACGATTAGGGACAGATCAGGGCTTCCAAGAGCCCACCTGGGGCTTCCCTGCCATGCCCCATTTATGTCACAGTCCATGTAGAGAAGCACAGCTCATCCCCACTGCCCAGGACAAGAGCTGCCCCTTCCTTCAGCTGCTCAAAAGGAAAAGGACACTGATGCTGCTCTCTCTGTGCTCTCATGCAGAAGCCAGCATGTCTTCAGAGTCCTCAAAGTGCTCCTGAGGGCTCCCAGGAAGGCAGAGGGATTTTTTAGCCTTGTTTAGGTCCAGCATGGGTGAAGGAGAGCAGCCCAAAGGACTGTGCACATGCATAAGGTTCCTTCCACATGTGTGGCACTCTGAGACTGAGCCCAGGGAGCCTTAGACACTCTGAAGGTATTTTTCATTCCACAGTGAAATTAAAAGCAAGCAGAAAATAATGATAAATAATTGCCTTCTCACCTGCTGATGACTGATTCTGTCTTCTCCAGGCAGTGTGGGAATCTTATGACTAATTGGAAGAGGGTTTTATCCTTACATATCCTGAAAAGTTAGATATTAGAGAACAGCACAAATGTGTGAACTCCTGAGGGAAGAAAATGCTATTTTCCATAGGAAAACTCAGGAGGACTGAATGGGACAGGGTGATGCTGGCACATGACAGCTAATCACCCATCTCTGAAGAGGTTTGTAATGTTTAAACCAGCTCCAAAACCAGCCTAAACTGGGCACCCTCTCTCCCAAGAGCAACCAGGAACATGATCTCCTTCCCATTAAACCTTCTGAGCTGTGAGACCACAAACCTTCTGAGCACTTCTACCCACCAGCCATTGGGTTAAAATGGGTTCAAGTGGGCAAATAGATCACAAATGCACTGGAGACAGTGAATGAACAACAGGAGAACCAGTGCTGGCTTCAATCTCATTTCCTTAAGAGTATCAGGCTAAAAGAAAATATCTGGGAGACACCTGAGGTGCCACTCACGTGATCTCAGTGATGCTTCCAGAGGCCTGGAGAGCCAGCTCCAGCAGGTTCACAACTCTCTCTCTGCACACCCATGGCTCTTCTATGCTGCAAAGCAGAACACAGGCAGCTCTGCTTTAGTCACACACTTGGATCCATCCCTGCCTCTCCAGCTGAGAGTTCCACCCTCCAAACCCATGGAAAGGCAGCTTGGCTTAGCAGAGGAATGTCTGCATGGCACAGGGGCAGCCTGGGAACAGGCAGAACAGCCCAGATTCCCTGCAGAGGAGGGGAGAATTTGCCAGCCAGGATGCTCTGGCAGCAGGAATGTGTCCCCCAGGATGATCACCCTTCTCTGTGAGGCTGGCAGGGCTCTGCAGAGCCAGCACAGGTTATGGCCAGAGCTCTACACGAGACTCAGTGGGGGATGAAGCTTTATCTCCTTTGGCTCAAGGAGATAAAGCCAAACACCAATATCAGAGTCAGCCATGGGAGTTTCTCAGGCCAATGCTCCCTGCCTTTGGAAGAAGCACAGCTCACTTTATTTTTTTTTAATGAAAGGAGATCTCAGAAGATCACACCAGTATCCACAAAAGCACAGTGACACAGTACCTGATTTTCAGTAGCCCCAGATCCTTCCTCAGGGAATGCAGAAGTCTTTCTGCAGCTTGGAGTGTCATGTTGTTATTTGAGGACCTAGAACCAAAGCTCAGTGTGATGAGCAGCTCACAAATGAACCCCCCCAATGGGTCCAAGAGCCATTAACTCACGTGTACTCTGTCAGACCAGTGCACCTTTCCAGGAGCAAGAACAACTTTTCCAAGTGCTCTGGCTGAAAGTTGCACTCTGCCAGTCTGAAAGGAAGAGAAAGAGAACAGCCTTAATTCATCACAAACAGTTCAGGCTTCCTGAGCTGGGAACATCAGGCAGCACAGCCTAACAGAGAAAGGGGGATGGCACAAAAACCTTAAACACCTTTAAGGATTTCAAAAAAGACTGTGGCAACACTTCAAAAGCATCTGTGGAGATATCCTGATATATACCTGTGTGCTATAATGGCACTGCTCTTTGTAGGACCCTGTCCTGTGACTGTAGGAACACCTACAGGGGCCCAGGTGAGGAACAGACAGTGGGGAAGCACAGAGAGAAAGGGAGGTGGGATTATCTGTGGTGTGACAAAGCTCTGCTCACAAGGTGAGTCCAAGGAAATGTATCAGCTGTTAGTGCAAAACATCACTATGCCAGGAGCAAAAAGATGCTGCTGTTTTGTCTGTCTTGTCCCTCAAAAAAGGACCCCACCTTTACCAAAGAAATCACCCTAAAAAGTCTGTAACATTACCTCAAAATCTTTCTTGGGTCATCTCCACTTGTCAGCTTGATGATTAAAGTTGCTTTGGAGCACAAACTGCACAGAGAAGACACGAGTGTAAGATTTAGATGGAGAATTACTACTTTTCCCAGTGTTCAGAATTTAATGGTCCCAAACTCCAGAAAATAATCCAGCACAGCAGTGACAGGTACCTGGCCCAGCTCAGCCCTCCCTAAAATAAACCAGCCCAGGGAAATGCTTCAGTGAGGTCTCACTCATGCTAAATTGGCCTAGAGGCAGAACTGGTTTATGGATAAGCAATCCTGACCTGTCCTGCTTTTATTTGCCTGCTCTGCACTCTCTGTTGAGCTCTGGGGAGAGGCACAACAGGAGACTTTAGAGTAGCCCAGAGATTCAGCAGCCACATCTGCAGGAAGGAATGGAAGTGGCCCTGGTTAAAAGTGGTTCAGGACAGAGCAGCTGGTCCCATGAACACAAACACTGATAAAGCCCCACAGATGAGCAGCACAGCCCAGTCTCTCCCTGCAATCTGTGAGAAAAGCACTTTGTGCCAGGGCACAGGCCCAGAGCCCATGGGATATTTTTGCCTGAGAGGAAAAGAGATAAAATGCAAATCCAAGTGAAAGAACATGGGAAATTGCTTTCTATTGCCTCTGAAATCTCAAAATACTGAAGAGAGCCTTAGAGAGCAATGCTGGCTCCTGCCCTGAAGAGGTTCATTAACAAATAAATATATGACAATAATTGTTGGTACAGCTGGATATCTGTGCCTACACACAAAAATAACCTGGCCCTGTGGAATGGTAGTTCTGCTTGGCAGTTATGTTTGGCCATTTAAAGTGGACATAAACCAAAGGTTTAGGTAGTTGAAAACATGGTCCTCATCATTCTTACCTGAAGATCACAACATTTCATTAATTAAGAGGAAAACAAGCAGGGAAAGCTCAGAAATTAATGAAGAAAAACATTCACCTGACTTGAACTTCAGTGGTGTTTCCAGATGTGACAAAGGCATCTATGAGATGCAGGACTCCATCCTGAGAAATCCCATTATGGCTGAGACTGCACAGAAGGGAAGGAAGGAATTTCACGTGTCAGGAGTCAGGGCTGTCCCAGGCTCCTCAGGCACAGAAACAAAACTCAAGTTGGCACCAAAGACAGAGCAGTTTGTGGGGTGCTGGGCCCCTTCAGCTTTGCTCAGCCACTGAACTCCCCCAAGACAGCACTGATGATTTGGGGGACAGAAAATGCTATTTTCCCCTTGCACTACAGAGGCAGCAGCAGCTGGAACATTTACTGCCCCAGCAGAAAGGGAAGGGGAGAGGCTGGGTAGGGCACAGCTCAGCTCACAGCACCTTGGGAATTGAGTTACTCAGAGAGGACACCACACCCAGAAGAGTGATGAGCTGAAAGCTCTGGGTCAACTTCTGTCACACCACCCTGTGGGCATTCACATTCTCTGAAAAATCCCTTTGCCCAGGATTTTTCTCCTGGGAAGCTGAGAAGCCTCAGAGGAAAAGGAAATCAATAATTATGTCATTCGCTTCTCCTCTGTTTTGCTCATGTGGAACGTGTTTGGAGATTGTTTACCACAGGTGATTGTTTCATTGCATTCTGCTGTGAGTTGTTTTGGCTCAATGGCCAATCAGGGCCAAGCTGTGTCAGGACTCTGGAAAGAGTCACAAGTTTTCATTATTATCTTTTTAGCACACGGTAAGCATCCTTTCTGTATTCTTTAATATAGTTTAGTTTAGTATTCTTTAATATAATATAGTATTATAAAATAGTAAATTAGCCATCTGAGCACATGGAGTCAGATCCATCATTCCTCCCTGCCACAGGGGTCCCTACAAATACAATCCCACCCCACTCTGGGAATTGCTATAAAGACTTTCACTTATTTTCAGCAGGTTTTGGATCAGACCCTGAGTCACCACAGCCTGGTGGCCTTGGGCTGTGCTCACAGTTCAGTCACAGCTTTGCTCCCAAGGCAGGAGAGGGCAAGAAGCACAAGCAGCAGCTTCCTGAAGGATCACACCAACACCCTCCTGCTCCTTGGATTCACTGTGTGCTCTCTTACTTGAGGGAACAGGTACCAGGCACTCGATGCAAGTGGTCCAAGAGGCACCTCAGGCCTGCATCCCCCAGCTGATTCCTGGAGAGACTGAAAGGCAGAAGAACATGTGGCCAGCCAAAACCCAGCCTTTGAAACAGGTTGCCCAAGAGGTGGGGGTTTCCCCATGCCTGGATATTCTCAGGTTCTGAGAGACCTGATCTAGCTGAAGATGTCCGGGCTCATGACAGGGAGTTAGACTAGATGGCCTTTAAAGAGCCTTTCCAAAAAATAAAAAGGTATTCTATAATTCTATATTTATTTTAAACAGCAATGGTCCTCTGAGAAGCTTTGGAGAAAAAACTCCAATTTCCTGCACTTAAATCCTAGCTTAGCCAAAAAAAAGGTCTGTTTAAAACAAATCACTGCCTTATGAAATTACCTCATGCATAAGCTCCAGAGCAAGCTCAGATGAAGAGCTCAGGTGAAGTAACAAATGCCTCCAAAGAGTAAAAGAGTGAAATCCCAAAGCAGCTGTCCCATCAGCTCAAAAAGTATAATTGCTAATTGATTGTGTTTCTCAGCAGCCTGAATGAGCACACATACCCCTGCAGACAGGCTGGGAAACTCCAGGCAATGCTGAACCCCACAAACACAGCTCTCCCCCTGTGACTCTGCTCAAGATCATGGCAACACCCCCAGCCCCACTTACTCTACTTCTGCCAGCCAGCCGTGCTGCTCCAGGATGCTGCAGAGCTCCTCCACCTGCCCTTCCCCAATGGCACAGCCTGTCAGCCTGTGGGAGACAGCAGGAGAGTTAAAGCATGGCCAGCAGCCAGCTCAGCCTGAGCACTGCCCACCTGCACCTTCACACCAGGCTCTGTGCAGAATTCACACTTTTTGCCATCCCTTGGTGCTGGGACAGAGACATTTACAGGCTCCTGTGCAGGGGCACTCCAGGGCCATCACTCCCAGAGGGCTGCAGACACATCTCTCATCACACAGATGGTCATGTGTGGAGGTTATCCTCCAGAATTTGAGGCACACATTTGGAGAGTGCACTGATGAGGGCTCAATTCAGGTGCTCATGCAGCAGAATTTGGTGCAACTCAAGATGATCATAAAGAAAAAAGGAGAAAAAGAAAATCACTGGTCTCTGCCATCCCAGTGCATCCAAATGGTTCTGACCTGCACTTGAGCAGATTAATTGAGCCCTAAAGCTTCGGGGCCTGAGCTCCTTGGCCACCAGCCCATGAATTCTCAATACAAGAGGCAATCTGGCTCCCTGCACTGGTGCTTCAAACCCATGCACAGAGGATTCCAGCCAGTGCTCGGTGCCAGTACCTGCACGATGTCCTTTGGCTCTGCGTGCTTGCTCCTAAATGCAGGAAGGCATTTTCCCTGGACCTGAAGCAGACACAAAGGACAGTCCTTCAGCACTGATCTCCAAGGATGACAGGCTTTGTAGGCCCTGCAGGGCTGAGCTGCTGGGCTCCAGAGTCTGAGTGCCTCACCGGACTTCCACTGCTCTGATCCGCTCACAGAGGTTGATGGAGTTGAGCAGTAGAACAGCACAACGTGGGGACAAGGAGTTTTTCCTAATACTGTAAGAAAAGGGAAAGAAGAAACACTGAAATCAGCTCCTAAGAAGAGAGGCTGCCATACACACAGCCCAATTTTCCCATTGTTCATTTTGAGACACAGAAGATTGGATACATCCCATTTAACTCAGGATGAGGGAGCAAGGACCTAAAGTTTGGAGCATTGGCACTCAGTGCTCCTCTACCTAAAGGAGAGGCTCCTTTAGTCCCCTTTGACTAAAAAGGGAGTACAGACCAAGGGCTTACACTGGGCTACTCCTCCTTGGGGGCTGCTGGACTAGAGACAGCCCAAACTGGAAGCAACCTCCTGACTGGGCAAACTCAGTCTCACGAGACCCTGCTGCTCCTCCATGCTACAACACCTTGTGAAACATGGCCAAGCTCCTCCTGGGCTCTTTGTCCACACACTGGAGTGCCCTATCCCCTGACAGGGCTTCCCTGGCCTGGATTCCAGCCTGAAACAAAAGTTTAAAAAAAGACTGGGCATGGCACTTGGTGCTATAGTCTAGTTGAGGTGTTAGGGCATGGGTTGGACTCGATGATCTTAGAGGTCTCTTCCAACCTCATTATTCTGTGATTCTGAATTGCCCTCTGCTAAATATCATTAAAGTGCTGCTTTATTTCTAGAAACAAGAAAGGAATGGGTGTGAAAGCATTTCTGCATTTCCTTTGCCTTGCTTGTTAGCTTACAATAACTGATTAATGCTCCAAAGATCTACTGTGCTATTAACACTTTCCAAAACAATGTTTGAAAGCAGGGACCCCAAGCATTACCTCAGTAGTGTCAGATGACAGAGGGATGGCAGAAAGCTCAGTAATCTCTCAATGCTCTGGTCACTCAATGAATTTCCAGACAGACTGCAAAACATAGAAGGAAACAAAACCCAGGAGAAACTGTTTCAATCCCTAATTATTTCTGTAACATTTACATGGACATGCACACACAAATGGGCAAATTCTGTGAAAGGGCGTGTTGAGAAATGCCATGAGAATTGGGCAAGATTTAGTCCTTACAGCCTGATCTCTGTGTTTCTTTACATCCTACAGCCAATCAACATTCCAGTTTCAGGAGTCTTACTTTTCCATTACTGTACATTTACAAAACGATGCCACTGATGTCCTTCATGCAGGCAATAGGGGAATTAGGTTATTTTTATTTGCTATTACTCAGTTTTTGTTCTGACCAGCATTCTAGTTTTCTCAGAGCCAAGGTCCTGCCTGGAGCCCTTGAGGAGCAGAGCTCATGGCTTGGTGGGCCAGGAGCTCTTGCTGGCCTTGCTACAAGCTGAGGTCTCGAGGAATAGATGACAACAATTGTTTCTAGACAGGATTGAGGAAGATCATGAGAACACACATGTGTTTCTGGGGCCTTTACACACTGATGTGATAGCCTTAAGAGGGGCCAAGCTCTCTTTGAAGCAGGACAGTAGAAAGTCTGGGATCAGCCAAGTATCTGGGTGAGGATGATAGAGAGGAGAGCTGGGGTACACCAGCTGCCACCCTGAGCATCAAATCTGGGGTTTGAACATCAAATCTGTGTCTGGGGCTGGGGAGACAGACAGACAGACGGACTTACTGGATTTCTGTCAGCTGGGGACACTGAGCCAGTATCTGGCACAGCCTGGTCACATCCTCCAGACCCACTCTGCAGTCCCTGAGACTGAAGCAAACAAAGCACTCAGGAGCTGGACATGCTCACAGGATGCCACCAGAGCCTCACAGCCCAGGACAAGGCCCATGGGGACCCTCTCACTTCCACTACACAGTTTTTGCTACCCTTGGTCTGGGACTAAGAAATCACAACCTGGGACAAGCAGATGACTTCACCACCCCTGAGCTGATTGGAGAGAGCCAGTCCACCAAAATACCAAAACTTTGGGTGTTCCCTCCCTAGAACCACATCATTGGTGACTCAGTTGTCTCAGGAGAATGGAGAGCATCTTTCCCTCCTCAGCACTGTCTGGGCTCTCCCAGAGGAAGGCTGGAATTGGTGCCTCCTCTGTCCTTTTCCTCCAGGAAGGAAATCCTAGAAGCCTTTTTGGGTGACAAACTGGCAGGTCTGCATGGGATGAATGTCACACTCACACAGATCTGTCTCTCCTTATTTATGGGTAGGAGCTTCCTCTGCTGGAAAGCAAGACAATCCCCTCAAACCAAGCAAAAGATGCACTATTTAATTTCCTCTCTGAGGAGACACAGCTGGAGGGATGGGTCAGTCCCACACACCACACTGCCTTAAAGACCCCCACAGACCCCCACAATCACCTCTCCCCCCAGTCCTGGTGGGAAGGAAGCCAGGCTGCCATACCTAAAGCTTTGTCCTTTTGCTTCCTGCTTGGGGCGTGCCAGGGAGCCACTTCTCCATCTGCTGGTGCTGCTGGGGAAGGAACAGTTTAGCCCATGAGCTGTGCTGCTGTTCTCCCCCCTGTAGCCAGCTCCCCATGAAGGGGCTGAGGTGGTGGCAGTAGCCTCCTGTTCCAATCTGCCTCTCCTCACCACCTGCCAGAATGAGGTTCAGCCCATCCCCAGAAGAAAAAGAGCTTTATTTGCCCTTTTCCAGCCTCCAGAGAGTTGTGCAGCCCCTCAGCACCTGGGCATGTGCTGTGTCCTGGGCAGCAGGGAGGTGACTGCAGCCTGTCTCAGCAGCTGGGTGCTGCTGGCTGCTCCATTGTTGCAGACATCCTTCATGAAAAATCCTTTCCTTAGGATTTTTCCTCCTGAGAAGCTAAGAGGCCTCAGGAACAAAATGTAAACAATGGTTATCTGCTGCTGTGGAATGCAACAGGTGCATCTGGGATTGGCCCATCTTAGATGTTTGTAATTAATGGCCAATCACAGCCCAGCTGGCTCAGACAGAGAGCCGAGCCACAAGCCTTTGTTATCATTCCTTTCTATTCTATTCTTAGCTGGCCTTCTGATGAAACCTTTTCTCCTATTCTTTTAGTATAGTTTTAATGTAATATACATCATAAAATAATAAATCAAGCCTTCTGAAACATGGAGTCAGATCCTCATCTCTTCTCCAATCCAAAAACCCCTGTGAACACGGGCACACTCCATGCCCTCCATCAGCCATGAAACATCCCTGGGCTCCCCCAGCCTGGCTGGAGTTTGGCTCTTCATTGACACACCTCAGGGACCCACGTGTCACCTTCACAAGGAGCTTTAAAGGCTTATGTGAGTGGGTATGGTTTTACCTGACTCTTTCCCAAAAGGTCAGATGAAACACCTGGGGGTGTCCTAAGCTGTAACCAGAAAAGAACATCATCAGCATGGAGTTTGACAACAGAAGCTCCTGTATCATCCCTAAAAAACCCCACAGCTTGAGGTTTTAAATAGCAAAAGAATATAAGAAAGTACTCCTGGCCATACCTGAGGCTCATTGTTTTAATGTGTTCCTGTGTAGTTAATGATTGAGCTAAGAAAAACACAGAGCTAAGGGAGATCCGGTTGTTGTTAAACCTGCAGGAAGAAAAGATAAAACCAGCTGCTGCAAGCAAAACTGATAAAAATAAACCCCACACCACATCTGCTGCACAGATCCTTGTGCAGCACTCCCAGGCTGCTGCTGTCCCACCCTCTGCCTGTGTTTCCTGCTACAGTTCTGCAGACACAACTCACTCCCATATATTTTAAATTCATCTCTCACTTTTAGTGTTCAGAGAATCACAGAATAGCCAAGGCTGGAATGGGTCTCTAGAGCTGATCTGGTGAAACTCCTGCTCAGGAGGGTCAGCATGGAGGAGGCAGCTCAGGACATTGTGCAGCTGGGTTTTTATCATCTCCAAAGACAGAGAATTCACATTCTCTCTGAGCAACTTGTTCTAATGAGATTGTCTAACTGGAACAGTCTTGGCTTGAGACAAGCTCAATTAACCAAACAGGAGCAATAAATATTTCTTTCAACAGTGCAGAATGGTGCCATTCTCCTCCAGCCACAGTCCTGCACAGAGCACTTGCAGTGGGAGTGCAGGTGAAATACCCAGATAAACAAACACCAGCCAGCACTGCAGGTGAACTCAGACTCCACCACTGAACCTGGGTTTCCCCAGCACTTCCCTGCCTTCCAAGCTGCTCCCCCTCCCAGTGAGGAAAAATTCAGCGAGCTGCTAAAGACCTCAGGCAGTTTCAGACAGAGGTACCTGACATAGAACCACCTGTCCCCTTCATGGAGGGGCGAGCACGGAGCCTCTGGGGCACTGATCTCAGCCAAGCTTCAAATGGACTCAACCTGCTCTGGGCTGGAGGTGGGGGCAGAGCAGCCAGCACAGTGCATCTGCCCAGCACAGAATATCCTGCACTGATTGTGAGGGGCCCTTCCCAAGTGTTCCACAAACAGCACTCCACAAAACCCAGCCCATGCATAAGGAAAAAACAGGAGCTACTCACTTGAGAGAACGTAACATTTTCAGTTTTGGGAGGCACTGAAACAGCTGCAAAAGTCCCTCATCTCCCAGAAAATTCCCTGATAGGCTAGGATTTAAAGAAAGGCATTTAATTTTCACAGTAAAAACACCCATAGGCACCATCAGCTCTGTTATCTGTATGCACAGCCACATCTTCCACCAGGCTGTGCCTCTACCCCACTCTCTACAACACTGAGGGGCATTTTCTCAGCATCCCAAATAACTGCAGGAAAACACCACAGGAGCTAAGGAGGACTCACTCCAGCTCAGAGATGTGGCCACATTCCTTCAGGACTGCACACACATTCTTCAGGTCACTGCCTTGAAGATTACAGTCTGTCAGTCTAGGGGGGAAAAAAAGAAATCAATCATCCAGGTCTGCAGGATTTCAAATAAAGGTTGTAAACTCCACTCCTCTGGAAAATTAGAGAATCAGTGAAGAGAAAATAATGAAATTTAAAAATGCCTTGATGCTTAGCAGCTCCCCCAGGGTCTCCAGGTGATGCCACCCCTGCCTGGCACTGCAGGTCCTGTGTCCTTGGTGAGGCACAGGGGGGGCACCAGGTCCCAGCCCCTTGCCAGGGGCTCCAGCATTCCCTCAGCCAGGGCAGACCCTGCAGCTCCCCAGGTCCCTTGTGATTCCCCTCTTAGAGGTGCAGGTTACACTGGAAACAGGACCCAGAGATGGGACCTGCATGGACACAATGAAAATCGACCAGGGTACCTGATTTTTTGGCAGGTGGTTGGTGTCTGGTTTTCCTCCCCACATTGTTGGTCACCAGTAGAGAACACAGGCTCCTCCCTAAGTGAGCACAAAAGCAGACAAAGGTAAAACTCTGCTTTAGCAGTTTGGCAGATCCCTGGGGCTACCCTGGCTCCAGCCTGCATTTTCCCAATTGCAAGCTCTCCTTTTCTACCCAAATATCTGAGCATGCAGACAACTGGAGAGAAGGGGAAAGAGATATTTCTATCTAAGTTTGATGGAGAATTCAGCTTTTGCTGAATTTAGCTGAATTTTGCTGAATTTAGCTTTTGCTTAAATAAGTTTTGTGAAGTGCCTGTACAAAAATCTGACTATTCATAATTAAATGTCTATGACTAACTAAACTGTAACTAAAAGCTACAACTATAAACAGTAAAACTATAACTAAATCTGACTATTCATGACTAAATGGAACATGCAAAACCTAAAATATCAGAGTTTGAAATGCCACCTGGTGCCTTAAAGGAGCCCACAGATTGCCTGTGTCGGGCTGTCACTCTCTTTCAAGCTCAACCACTGGGCTGTGCCTGTAAGGGTGCCACAGTTTCTCCCTGGCTAAAAGGTGGAATTCCATGGGAGATGCTGTTTTACTGTGAGCTCAGTCCACAGAGAACAAGGGTATAAAGAGAGAACCTGAAATCCCAGGAGCAACAGGAAAGCGTTTCTTGGACAAAACCTTCATGTTGAGCTATTTTAACCATAGTTTTCTGAGGGGAAAAATTAACCTCCAAACCTCTCATGATTTAGGAGTCATGATCCAAAATGCAGAGTGTTCTGAACTGCAGGGATCTGTGAATCTTTTCAGAATTTGGTGGGGCATTCTCTTGGGTTTTTTACCCTCACAGTTATCAGCTAGCACGGGTGTCATTGAACAGCCTGCTCTGCTTAGGATGCTGTGGGATGAAACGTGCTGCTCTAGAGACATAAAACACTACAGAAGGCAGTGACAACTTTTCAAAGTGGCTGAGAAAGCCAGGAGACAGCTCCACATTTAGATTTGGGGGGTGGGGGTGGGAGGCAGGAACTGCTGTGAAGTGGAGTGTTACCCTTGGTACCTACACAGGATGCAAGAACCAAACAGGATGCTGAGATAACACCATTTGTGCACACACAGCCTACCTAGGAGGAAGGGAAGCAAACTCCCCGTCTTCTCTGAACCTCAGGACTGCAGTATCACAAGAAAGGCTGTGAGGAAGAGAAGTAATCAATCAGTGTCATGGTCAGGTTATTTACAGGACTTCTTGTTTGGTTTTGTTCCGCAAAACTCTGGTGACACCAATCACTTGTGCTTAAAACACTCCCAAAGCAAGATAAAATAATCTCCATCAGCTTTAAATGCTGGCTGGATCAAATTATGCAGTATGTGATGATCCAGTTTCTCTGAATCACTAGACAAAGCACAGACAAAATCGCTGTACTCGAGTCTGTTCTCAAGTGAAAGTAATAGAGGAGAAAGAACTTCCAGTGCTGCTCCAGGAGGTGTCACCAGTTCTCACACTCTGCAGAGATCCTGTCTCCAAAACTTCCCAAGGCACAGAGCAGGGAAGCATTTCAAAACACCCCAGGCATGAAAGGACAGCCAGGTTTGCAAGCACTCAGATTGAGGTTGATGGCCTGTGGTCATCTTATTGCAAAAGTTCCAAACCTTCTCAGTGGCCTCTCATGGGCAGCTCCTCACAGCCAACAAACTCCAGCTCTCCTCTGGAGGAGCTCTCCCACTCTTTTATTGCTCTCATCCTCATGGGACACAGCTGTTCCTAATCCTTGGTAATAGGACAACTGCAGCTCCTCCTTCTGCACTGTCCCTGTTCTCTTGCTTTCCATCTCCCTCCATGGCCCTGGTGCAATCAGCTCCCAGCAATGTCACCAAGGGCCACCAAGTGTCAGTGACCACCTTGGGACATGCTCTGCACCCACCCCACGCCCGAGGTGACCCAACAAAAACCTCAGAATGCAACTCCCAGGCTGGGGATTAACGCCAGGCATGGTTCCAGAGCCACATACCTGACCTGCACCTCCATCACCTCCTGGCAGGTATTTACTGACTTCAGCAGGGTGCACATGCCACTGACAGAGAGGCAGTTTTGACTGAGACTGGGAAAGAAAAAGGCAATTAGCTGGTCCCTGGAATCCCACAGGATGCCCTGTGAAGCAGCCAGCAGTGTTGTGCATGCTTGGAACCCTTTCCCTTCAGGAGAAACCAAGGCAGGTTGGTTCTGTACAAGGCAACACTTACTTCAGCTGCTTTGAAATTGATAGACAGGGGAGGCTTTCCAGCAGACAACTGCAGCCTTCATCTCCAAGCTTGTTGCCTGACAAACTGAAGCATTTTCCAGTTAGTGGGGACTGATTGGAACAGTAAAAACAAAGCCCTCCAAACCTGCTTGCTGTTCCTTTCCTGCAATTGCTGTTTTGTTTGGACTGTTCTGTCTCAGATCAATCTTCCCTGCTTATTTCTGCATCAATCAACTCCAGACAAAAAGTTTTAGCCCTTGGGCAACATGATTCATGTTTTAGACCCAAACCATCTTGCTTTAGAAAATCCATGCTCCTTAAGGCCCTTTCCAACCCAAACCAGCCTGTGATCCTGTGATCCCCTGCTCCCACAGCACCTGCCTGCAGCCACTCAACAGGAAGGAAAGGAGGCACTCACTCCACTTCAGAGAGACAGGGACAGCTCTGGAGAATGGCCACAATCATCTTGGCATGTTGGGAAAGCAGCCTGTGATCCTGCAAGCTGTGAACAGGGAGGTTTGGTGAGCAGTGAGGTGATGGGGGTGCCCTGGCTGGGCTGGATGGGATTTCTATTGTCATTCTTATTTACTGATTCAGGTTTAGTTCAAGCTTTTCCACATGTGGAAATATCATCTGTCCTTAAGGATGAACACATCTGCTTCTCTGGCCCTTCTATATTACCTGCCATCTGCAAATCACATGCACCAGCAGGACTCTATATCTCCTCTTACCATAAATTCACATGTCTAGTTGGAATTATGTGCTCTTTATTCTCTTCCAACTTCAAATCCAGAGATCTGCAAACAAGCAAAATATTTGGCTTTTGATATGCTTTCATGAACTATCTGACAGCTTGGGTCCCAGTCAATATTTCCCAGCAGAAACCACCATGTCTGTGCTCTGTGTCTTTCAGCAGTTTTGCAATAGAAACACAGCACCTCAATCTTACCCAGGCTCTGGGGAGCTGCTTTAGGTGTGTGTGCAAACCCAGCTATTTCTGGTTGCATTTCCCATTGCTCAGGCAGATGCAAGGGCAGTGGGCACCAGCTGTGCTGTCATTGTGGTTTATTTATGGTGACACTTCAATCAGCACAACTGCACATAGTGTCACCACAGTGCAGTGTCTCACCTTTGAGCTCTCCCAGATGTGCCAGAAAAATGAATAACCATGGTGTCCCCCCTGAAAAGGAGATCCAGGTCAGTATTAGGTCACACACTGAAAAAGACTGGGCCAGGAATTTTTTTTCTTTTTTTTCTTTTTTTTTTTTTTTTTTGCAAAGTTTGTTGGAAAGAGATTCAGTAGAAACTCCCTTCCAGCAAGAAAAATAAGAAAAAGCCATATGCAATTTGAGTTACACCAGGGATTACTTTGGCCTGTTAAACTTAGAACATAACCACAAGAGCCAGGATGATTTAAAAAATCTACCCTTTGTCATCCCAGACACATGAAAACCCCAAAGCCTGTAATTTAAAGGGATGCAGAGCTGGAGATAAATTCACACATTTTCACTGAAATTAGCTGACTCATAGCAAATGTATGCTAGTTAGTAAAGAATTTCCTTTCTGATATAGTGCAGAGCTTAGTTTAAATTTTAAAAGTTTAAATTCCGTAATACAACAAGAATTTTACACCCTGCAAATGGTTTTATAGACCAAGGATAAAAAGACCTATTAAAAATACAAAGAGGAAGTACATGGTATGAGGAATTCACATTTTGTTTCCAATTGGAAAGAAAAAAGGAGTCAAACTGATTTTTGTTCATTTCAATTAGCCAACAATGAAGCTGAAAAGCAGTGTCCATTTAAAGTCAGCATCCAAAGAGAACAACCTGCTTGCTTTTGTAAAGCTCCCATGTACTGATACCTGGCACAGAGTTCAGTGACATTTTGACACACGATGCCTTCCTTTGCCAAACTGAGAACAGCATTCAAGGAAAGATGGTTGTTGCTCAGGCTGTGAACATGAGGAAAAACAGAAGCTCAGCTGCTGGAGCCCACAGCATGTTCTTTTGTAGCACAAATGCCCTCTGCTCTGCTCCCCAAATATCCTGAAGCACGTGATCTTTTAATAAGGGTATTTCTCAAAAACTTCTGACATTTCCATCTAGGACTCAACAAAAGCATTATCAGATTTTTATCAGTTCTTTCTCTGCAAGCTGTAGCTCCCATGAATTTAGAATCAGAGATAACTCTTCCATGTGCAGCAATATGAGCACTAACCAGTTTTGGGTTAGTTAGTGGAGGTGGTTCACATTTTCATGATTACACCACTGATCCACAGTGCAGTTCAACTCCCACTACAACAAATCCAATTTAATTATGGCTTATTAAAGCAGGGAGGCCTGAACACAATCCTCCAGCCTCTAAGGGTTTACTCTTTAATTGCACATTCGTTCTGTTTCATTATAGCTCAGTAGATGTGAAACACAAGATCTTGCTGCTACAAATCCCCTGCTTGTTCTCAGGGGCACCACTCCTGAGAGCCTGGAAGGAGCCAGGAGCAGCACTCTGTGGGTGTTAGGGATGGGTGAGGAGTGGGGATTACAAATGGCACTGTTTGCTGCCTTTTCTGCTCCCTGGGGCAGGCTGGCATTCCCTACAAGCTTTTTTCCAGTGTGCCCAGGAGAGCAAGAGCAGCAGGTACAATCCTCCTTTCCTCTGTCCTTCTGCTGTGCTTTTAAACACCTCTGACCACACTGCAAGGCCAGTGATCAATTCCTGTGTGGGATCCAGCAATGACTGCAGGTATTTTGGATTTACCTGCTTGCACTTGGGGGTGTGTGGAAGCCTTTAAAGGCAGAGTCTGTCCCTTTCAGCTGGGATGGGCAGGTGGAGCTCTGACCCCATGGCTTTGTGGCTATCCCTGTCCTGTCACACAAATACACTCAGACTCCAGCACTCACAGCAGCTCTGCTGCTGCTTCAACTGCCCCTGGCAGCTCTTCAGAGGCTTTAAATCCCTTCAGCCAGGCTGCTTCTCTCCATCTAAAAAGCTGCAGATCCATGCTGGCAGTTTTGCTAGCAGTCTGTCCCTCTCAGCCAGCTCTGGATGACCACAGGAGCTTTAGAAGGAGCAGCACAGGAGAAGGGAGCCGTGGAAAGGCTGGGAAGACTCTGATGGAGCCATCCTCCCTAAATCAGAGTGAGATATCTCAACCTGAGCCTCACCAAGGGGAACAGAAGAGGGAAAGTCAAGCCAGACACTGAGCTGAGCACATGCACTGTAATTCCTGGAGAGGTGTCAGTGGCACCAGGACTCCCTTGGGATGATTTCAAAAGAATTAGAAAAGAACTGTGAGGCTGAGCCTACCTCAAACTGAATCCAGCACAGCCCTGCAGGCACTGAAATGTCTGTGCCTCAGCTTGGTGCCCCACATCTCTGTGCTATGCTTGGCTTCACAATACCCAAGGTTTAATCCATTTTTACTCACTCTACTTTCTTCAGCTTTTCCATTTTGGAAAACAGGTCCATCACCCTCTTCACTTCTGGATCCCGGATCCGATTGTCCTGCAAGCTGCACAGGATTCATCCTCATTAGTATCCCAAGGAAGGAATGGCTGATTTATGGTCATTGCCACAACACACTCACTTCATTTCCTCAAGCTGGAGGCACTGGGATGCAGCCTGGACCAGGTTAGCCATCCCCTCAGCTGTGATGCACCCACCTGTCAGCCTGGAAAGAGAAAGGATCACTCAAACCAAGCAGAGGGAGGACTGGAATCCCCTGGAGCACGTGGCAAGCCTGTCTCAGACCCCTGCCTGCACCATGTGTCCCCCATACAGGCACAGAGGGGGCAGCCTGGCTCTGCCACCTGAACCAGCTTCATGCTCCTTTTCCACCAGGGTAACACAACTCTGCTCTTGGTGCCAGCATAAAGCCAGAGCCACACGTGTCTGTGCTGCTCTGTGTGGCACTGTCACCCTCACACCCTGCACAGAACAGATCAGCCTGGGGTGAGCCAAAGTCATTGAGCAGAGAACAGACAGGAAGGGAGAAGAGGGGTTACAAGCAAACACTTACTCCAGCTTCTTCAGGCTCCCCATTCCTTGTAAGCCCTTTGAAAGAGCAGCAGCAAAGTCGTCACCACATCTCCTGCTACGAAAGCTAAAATGTGAAGAAAAGTGGAAAAAGACAAACACACCAAAAGCTGATATTTTCATTTGCCTGCAGGATTCACCCTTCCTTTGTATTGAAAAGAAATGCCTATCATCTTCCCTCTTATCTACTGCATTAACTACCCTGCTGTTCACCTTAATCAAAATGGAAAAATAAACAAAAGTATAGCCAGAATGGTTTTTTCACCTTATTATCCTTCAATCACTCATAAATTCATTATTTCATACATTTCTGCAGTACTGAAGTGATGCTGTTCTGATCAAATTTTCTCACATCATCTCTCTCTCTGTCCTAGAACAAACTTGAGGTTTGACCTTCCAATCCCTTCTCCCCACTCAGCAGCTCACAGCACTCACTGTGTTTACCTCAAGTGTTCCACATTTTTACAGCCAGCCAGAACCTCCAAACAGTCAGTGTCCACCAGACATCCTGCAAAATCCAAACAAATCAAGTTCTGGCCCGAGTTTATGACAAAAACCAAAGCCGACATGTCCAGCGTTGTCAGTCTGAAGTTTTTAAACTCATACTTGAAATTCAGCAGGCTCCCAATGTGCTGGGCTACCTCGAGGTTTTGTGTTTCAAAGGTGCAGTGGCAGAGCTCAAGGACCTTAGGCCCTGACAGATGAGTGGCTGCCAGTTTCTTGAGAGACTGCAGGATCACATCCTGCTTTTCCTGCACCCAAGCCTCATCTTGCTCTGCCAGCATCATGAGGAATGTCCTACACTCTCTTGACGACAAACCCGAGAGAAATATGTGAAAACTCTCCATAAACTCAGTCTTTGTCTCATTCTTTAAAGTCCACTTTGACTTCAAGAAGAACTTCTTCTTCAGGTGGTTCTTGTCCACCCTGCTGCTCACCATGAGACACAGTGCAGCAAAAAACTCCTGCAAGCTCAAGTGCACAAAGGCATAGCCAACCTCTGGGCAGGTGCCACTCGTCTTCACCTCAAAGACAGTCAGCAACCCATGCAGGGAAGCAAATTCCTTCACGTCCTCAGGAATATCATGGACATAAAATACGAGTTTCTTCTCTTCCAGGCCTCTCAGTGCAAGGTCAAACAGACCCAAAATGGCCTTTTTGTTACAGTTCACCTGAGTCTCCTCATCACCTGCACAGTCTCCTTGATGCTTGTTCAGGAAGATGAGAAACATTTTGATATAAAACTGTGTCATAGTCTGAGGAAGCTCCACGCTCATCTGGTGTTTGAGGAACAGATACTCCAAGCAGATGCACACAATGTTACACAGAGCAGGGATGAGGCACATGCTGAGGAGTTTGGTGTTGTTCTTCACGTGAGCAATAGCTCGTTCTCTGAATGAATGCTGACAGAAATAGTGGCTGACATATTCCTCAACCTTCTCATGGTCAAATCCCCAAATTTCTGCCAACACACTTACTGTGTATAACAAGAAGTCAGGCAGCCTCTTCGGGCGGCTGGTGACCAACACTGTGCAACCAGGCAGGAGGTTCCCATGGCAGAGGTCTGCAAAGAGCTGGGATATGGACAGAGGGGAGGTAAGAGCTGGGCCGCTCTTCGAGGAGGGTGACATGTCCATGTTGGCTGCAAACTCATCCAGCCCATCAAAGATGATCAGTGTCTGCTGGGCATTCTCCAGGAGGCCCTGGAACACGGCGTCAGGGCTGTCCTCTGGCTGAAGGAACATGTCAAACAAAAGATCCTTCAGGGTCAACTTCCTCTTTAACAAATTCAGCTGCCGAAACTCAAAGAGGAAAGTGAAGAGAAACTGAGGTAGGACACCTTCTGCCCATTTCTGACAAATCCTGTGCATTAGCCTGGTCTTGCCTATACCTGGTTTCCCAAACAAAAAGATCACCTTGGTCGTGTGCGACGGGGCCTCGCTGCAGAGCAGGTCTGACACTTTCAAAGCTGTGTCTGCACATTCTTCTGCCTCAGCAGCACCTGCCAGGCCCTCTTGGCCTTTCTCTGTTCTCTCTTTAAAGCGAGGGGCTTTGCTCTGATGGATGACAACGTTGACAAAGGTTTGGTTGAAAGGCAGTGGCTGTGTTTGCTCCTGTGCTTCTGCTGCTCTCCTGCTCCCGTATCTCTGGCGGATGGAACTGAGGAGGAGATGCCTGTACTTCACACATGCATCTAAGAGAGAAGACAGCAGAGGGGGTATGAGGGTGAAAAAGCTGGTTGTGAGTCACCACAGATCCAAAGTACTACCACTTATAGACAGAGAAACGATGGCCCTGATCTGAGGTTGCTGGGTAGAAATGACAAATTTCTACTGAACTCCTGAAAATAACCCATAACCCTTCCTAATTCTTCACAGGGGCCAAAGTAGAACAACATTCAGGAAAAAGATGAGACAGCTTTATATGAAAATTAAATCTTACTAAGATGAGAAATAGGTATCTGTGTATTATGCATGTTATTCCCTGTTCACTAGCTCCCTCTTCACCCATGCTGGCCTCAGTGCTGGAAGCTGATTTCCTGGGTGTTTCTGCAGGGATGTTAAATAGGTTTAACATCCCTTTCCTCAGAGGGAAGCCCAGCACAGCTTCTGGAATATTCACATACCCAGCCTTCGCTGTTTGGCATCTTTGTCACTCCCAGAGCTGCTGGAAGGGCGACGGCGAGCAGAGCCTGGAAATGGAAAGGTCAGAACCACGTCAAAAGAGCATTTTGGATGGCAGCATGTTAAGCTGGGCAAGACTCTCCAGCAAAGAATCTGGGGAGCTGAAGAGGAAAAACTAAACAGATAAAACTATTTGCAAACTCAGGCTGAGATTACAGAATTGCTTCTTCTGAGATGGGCCACAAGCACCTCACTGGTGAGTTTTTTGCAGGTTGGATGAGGCATTGCCTTGCTTTGAACAGAGGAACTGCTTTGATATCCTGGGGAATGTGGCAATATCTGTGTCTGGGGAATGCAGGGCCCACAGATTCCCAGGGCTGTTTATAGTGATTCATTTCCTGTTTTTTTATGATGGACTGTCAGATGGGAAGAATGGACAAGAGCTGAGAGAGGCATGTGTCTTTCTTGACTGTCTTAGTAACTTTCAGCATTTTTTTCAAATTTCCATTCCACCAGCAGCTGGTGAGATGGACCCACTAGGACACACAGCAGCTGGCAGCAGTCAATGCAGAACAAAGGTCACTTTTTTCTTCTTATTTTCAACATCTTAAACCTGCACACGACACAGAGGACATTAATGCGACATTTGCAGTGCTGTGACTCAGAAGTCTCTGAGCATAAAGCAGAGGCAGAAGTGTCTCTTCATGACCTGCACCAGCTGGGAAAGTCTCAAATGCAGCCTGAAGAAAACCTTACTATCTGTTCCTTAAGCTCCTATTCTGACAACTCTGGAGTGGTTTCTGCTTGATCAACACCTGGATAGTTTTTCTGCTCTTCCTTTAAAAGCCAAACCAACCTCTTCCACCTCCCAGTGAGCTGACCACAGTAATAGTGCAAACAGCATGGGTTTTGTAGAGTGGGTGGGAGATTCCTGCAGAGAAACTGAAATGAGTTCCTTAGCAGGGGGCCAGCAAGGCTTTTCTGAAATTCAGGGAGAGAAAACAAAACCAGGGGAGGTTCACGTGCAAAGCACCAAGAACAGAACAATGAAATGTCAAGTTGCAGTGGCTTCTCCACACCTTGCCAGTGCTGAGGGTCAATCTGGGCATTTGGAGCCCTGCCCAGGCCATGTACAGAGAAGAAAAACTCCAAGAGCTCAGTGCCCAGGGTCTGTGCCAGCCTTACCTTTTGGCACAGATGACTGGGCTCTCGTGTCTATGCCTGATTCTTCTGTCTGGCTGAAGTTACCTAAAGGAATGGAATGGGAAATTAATTATGGTTAATGTGAGCATTCTGCTCTCAAAATTCGGAGTGCAGCTGGCCAGAGACAAAGGACAAGCATCTTGCAACACAGACAGTGGCACAAACCAAGGCTCCGTATAAGGGATGCAAACATCCAGGTTCAAAAGTCTCCATCTGATCTTTTCCTTCCAGGTTACTCTACAGCACAGTTAGTTTCACTTTCAAGGCAGAAGAAAACAACTTTACTCTCTGATACAAACAAACTTGGAGTATGGGCAGCTCTGGCTGATCTAAAACCACACTGTTGCCCAAAAGGTAAGCCCTATTTTCCCTGCAAAGAAGGGTTTTCTGTTAATAAACCACTGGCTGAGTCAGCAGCCCATTCAAGGGCCTTTTCTGACTCGCTGCACAGCTCAAAGCTGCCACAAAACCCCCTCAGCATAATCAGAAGCAGTTCACCTTCAGAGGGGTTAGTAATGCTCAGCTGTTACTACAAAAGTTAAACCAGTATAAGCCAGCTCCTTAAGAGACATCCTTTTATGATATGTCACAGTATCAAAAGGCTGAAAGCTGTTTCAGCTTCAGTCCTGAGAGAAATCCCCCACCAATCCACATTCCCTGATGGTTGCCTGGTCTTTGCCCTGTTTCATCTCAGCCAAAATAGTCTGCTGCTGCTGCACTTGGTTACAAAGGCTGCATCCACCCAGCTGATGCAACCAATGAGAGTTACCACAAGCAGAATGTGAAAGTACCGTTGAGAAGGACCCATCCTGCGAGACTTCCTGCAGAAGAGAAGAATTAATCACCAGAGAAAGCAACCCCTAAAGGAAAGGCACAGCTTATCTGGCCCCACAGGCCCTCACAAGGCAGAGGGTGTGCACTCTGTGTAGTTTGCAAGATGACACACACTAACGGACCGTGGTCCCCAGGGATCACTCGTTTTCCCTAAAGCCACTGCCTCTGCTAGGGAGGAATATGGAGAAGTGGTTTTGTGTGGCAATTCTATGATTCTGTGTTCCTTGCCTTTCTGGATCAGGAAAATTTAAAAAAAAATAACAATTAAAAGTCTGCAGAACAAAGAGATTGGAGCATTTCTTCCTTCAAATAAATCCATCCAAAAATCGCATCTCAGCTTTACTGGTGGTGGGGGCGTACAATTTTTATTGCTTTAATCTGTTAATGTCAGGGGGTTTTTACCTCAAATTACATTTCTAAGCCAGAAGTTGTGCTTCCAAGAAAAACAAAGCCATGCAACTGAGGGCACTGGTGGTCCCACTGCCTGGACTGGGTGATGGTGAGGGGTGGCCAAGGTGTTGGCTCTGTTTGGTCAGGGGAAACTGGCCTGACCTCTCTTACCTTCTCCTGCAGAGCTCATAAGCAGCACCTCCAGGTCCAGGGGCAGGTCATACTCCATGCAGAGAGACTGTGCAAAGTGCTTCCAGGCAGCAGGACCAGCCTCCTCCAGCAGGTCAAGGAGCAGAGATGTTTTTTCCCTGGGGCTGGTGATGGTCCCCAGGCTGCTCAGGGCTGCCTGGGGCACGAGGCGCTGGGCAGTGCAGAGCAGCCACTCAGGGCACTGGGTGAGCAACTCCACCAGCTGGGGACGGGCTCTTGCTACAGCTGCTGCCACATCCAGGGCATCGTGCTGGAATGGGGGCTGCAGGGATCAGACAAAGGGCAGCAGTGGGCACAGGAGCAAGAGGTGTTCACCCACACAGCCCTGCATGGCTTGATCTGCCTTTAGACCCCTTGGCCTAACCTAGAATTTCTTACCTTTACTTCTGAGGTTAGAGTAGAGATCTGAGCCCACTCATGGCAGTCCTTGTCTGCCATCACAGTGCCTGACAGCAGGCACTGAAGGACGGGGGCAATCTCTCTGGCTCCAGCCAGGGAGAAGCTGTTGGCCTCTATATTGCTGCAGTGGCCATCTGCCAAACATCCCAGACATCTCTCACATGTACCAGGACCTCTGGGGAGGTCAGGGATGTTTTTGTTATTGCCCAAGAGTGCTTACACAGAGGCAAGGTTTTCTGCTTCTCATAATACCCTACCAACAAATAGGTCAGGGATGCACAAGGGGCTGGGAGGGAACACAGCCAGGACAGCTGACTTCACCTGGCCCTGCTCAGAACATAAAGCTGGGGTAAGAAGGAGGAAGGCAGGGAGTTAGAGTGATGATATTTGTCTCCCCCAGATAACCATTACATGTGATAGAGCCCTGCTTTCCTGGAGATGGCAGAACTCCTGCTTGCCCATGAGAAGCTGTGAAAGAATTCCTTGTTTTGCTTTCCTTGTGTGTGCAGCTTTGGCTTTCCTTGTTCAGCTGTATCTCAGTTCACAAGTTTGTGCAAGACCCCGCTGCACAAAGAGCTCAGGCAACCGTTCTTGCTGCTCACTTTGTGGGGATGAACAACCCATTCCTGCTGTAGTGACAACACCACCTCCATTCCCTCTTCCTTCCCACAAAGCCACACACACCATCTCCTACCTGCATTGTTGTGTAATCAGTCTCCTTCCAGCTGTCAAGTGCAAAGGTGGCTTCTCCTCCATATTCTGAAGGGAATTGATCTGCTGGAGGCGGTCTCAGGACACCGACACACCCCAACACGTGGGACATGCCTCACTTGGTACAGATGCCTGAGGATAACGACAGCAGAGCTTGATGTAGACATGCCAGGCCATGGCAATTACGTGGGGCACAAATCTAGGAGCTCTGCCTTCAATCCAAGGCTCAGCTCTGATGCTTTTTTGTCTCTTCTCACTCAAACCAGCCGCGACCACAAAGTTTCGACATTTGAGGATTCGCTCCTGGTCTCATGAAAATGCAGGACTGAGCCTTGTGCCCTAGGATGCAAGGGAAGACAGCTTCAGAGGGACACTTTGTGGGAATCACAGCTTTCCTGGTGTCACTGCCTGATTTGAGCTGGGCTGTGCCACTCTGCTGCTGTCAGCCCCTCTGTGGAAGCTGATGCAGAAGCCGCAGGATCTTGCTCAAGTCAGGCAGTCAGTTACACCAGAAAAACTGTGAAAAGCTGATCCTCTGAGACTGCACAGTTCTCACAAAAGAGTTTCAAGTGTAGGGGGTTGAAAAATCTCCCAGTGCTAGCTCTCCACCCCTCAGCAGAAAGGGTGAAGGGAAATTTCACCCTGCCCTGCACCTGGCAGTTGTTGGTGTCCAGCCACCCCTCCCACAGGGAAAGGGAAGAGGAAAGCAGTCACCATCCAGTCAACAGACAACAACAGACTTAATAAAGCCATACTAAATGCATATATAAATGAATAAAATCAGCACTTAATGCCAGTGTAGACTGAAAGCCATTCAGACAAAGAGTAGATTCATACACGTCAATGAAAGACTCATATTCAAAATGAAAGCAACCGTGAAAAGTTGAATGAAAGCTCAGCCACGCTGCACAGCTCCTGTACTACTGCTCTGCTCAAGAATGGTTGGCAGTTATCTTCAATAAAATACCTCTGATCCCAAAATGAAGCACAAAAACCTCCCAAGAAAAGCCAGGAAACTTTCGAGCCTCGATCCTTTCCCTTCAAATGCAAAACCATCTTTAACAAACTTTGCAGAACTAAACCTCCTCAACTTGGCATTTGCACGGCTCCCAGCCACAAAAAAAAATTAAACTGAAATGTGAAACTCCCAGTTGGAAATCTACCAACTTCTTGCCTGCTCTGAGGGCACAGAGCACTTACCAGAAGCCCAGAAACAGAGTTGGTACTCTGCACCAAAACCAGTGTGGGGGTCACCAAACAACAAAGCTGGAGGACAATACCCACTGCCTTGATTTCCCCACGTGCTAACTCACCACTGTCCCCAGGCACAAAGTCCTTCCTACCTTTAACAAACAAAAGACTGAGCAAAATGAAAGTAAAACCAGTTGGGAATTCCCCAACTGAAATGTATCTGCAGTAAAAACAGAGAAATTAGCAAAAATCTTAAAATCTATGGCTTAAAATCTATACCTAGGTGATAATTTAGGTAAAGCATTTGAGGAGTAGTCCAAAGAAATGGTACCCAGGACAAGCAACAATACTTGCTGGAGTTAACAGTTAGTGGAGTAAATTCTGACTTGGTTTTGGTTTTGGTCAAGGCACTTTCAATGGGAATATTCCTATTCACATGCATAAATCCGATTATTTGGTACATGGGGAAATATTTAATTACCTCTTCCATTATATGTAAGAGGAAAAAACAAGTTGCTTTTCCTTTGGGATAAGAACAAGGTTTAAGTGATAATGTAGCAGATGTGAATGATTAGACAAAAGATCCCATGTCTAGATAGAGCTGTGTGTGCAGAGATCTCCAGATCTAATTGGATGGGCTGCCACAATGAAATGTTATCAATATTTCTCTGAAGGCTAGGGAAGCTGCATTGGAAAACCAGATGGAGCCTGCAGCCGAGTCCCAGAGAAGGCAAGGTGGCCCACTGTGCTGTGCTGTAATTCATTTATCAGAGAAAAGAAATACCCAGATTCAGCAACGCCCATGTCTCCAGACAGACACACTGACCCTGGCTGTCCTGCCCTGAGTCAGGGGAGCTCTGCAGAACCGGGGCTGGATGGGGGCAGCAATGGGGACACCTGCCAGGCTCTGCCCTGCTTTGCCACCTCCTGGCCCACCTTTTACCTGGGAGCACAAGCCACCAGCTCGGCTGAAGTTCGGACTCCAAGACCTCGGGGGTGTTTTCCAGCGTTCACATCCCACTCTCTATCCCAGCTTTTCCCCTTAGACACGAACATCTCGGGGCTGGGCAGCAGAGCCAGACCTCCAGCCCCAAACCCTCGTGGGTTCTCCATCCTGGCTTTTCCCATTAGACACGAATATCTCAGGGCTGGGGAGGACAGAGCCAGACCTCCAGCCCCAAACCCTCGTGGGTTCTCCATCCTGGCTTTTCCCATTAGACACGAATATCTCAGGGCTGGGGAGCAGAGCCAGACCTCCAGCCCCAAACCCTCGTGGGCTCTCTGTCCTGGCTTTTCCCATTAGACACGAATATCTCAGGGCTGGGGAGGACAGAGCCAGACCTCCAGCCCCAAACCCTCGTGGGGTTCCCAGCACGACGCCTCGCCCGGTCCCTCCCCGGGGTGCCCAGCGCGATGTCCCCGCTCCCCGGAGCACTCACCTGGCCCCGCTGGGTCCCCGCGGGCAGCCCGGGACAGCAGCGATGCCCGGGACAGCGGCGGACCCGGGACAGCCCGGGACAGCCCGGGACAGCGGCGATGCCAGGGACAGCGGCGATGCCCGGGACAGCGGCGGACCCGGGACAGCCCGGGACAGCCCGGGATAGCCCGGGACAGCGGCGATGCCCGGGACAGAGGCGGACCCGGGACAGAGGCGGACCCGGGACAGCGGCGATGCCCGGGACAGCGGCGATGCCAGGGACAACCCGGGGCAGAGCCGAGCCCGGGACAGCGGCAGCGCTCGAAAGCGAAAGCGGCGGCTCTGCCGGGAAAGCACGTGGGGCTGCGGAGGGAGGCGGCCCCCGGATGGCGGAGAGGCAGCTCGGGATCCCCCGGAGGCAGCGGAGGTTTCACTGTTCCCTCCTGGAATAATTTAGTTTGGGTCTCTAAAAGAAAAGACCTCTCACATCAGCGAGTTCAATAACTGAGCGCTGCTGCTGTGCTCAGCACTAAGCCGGGTCCCTCCCGGGTGCGGCATCCGCGCACCTTTGGAGTTCACCTCTATCCCGTGCAGGCTGACCCCGCTCCTGGTTGAGAGGAATAGCGGATTTGTCTTTATAAACAAGCTGTGGGACTGTTGGTAGATAAAACTGGCACTGGGGGTTAAAAGAAACAATGGGAAGGATCCTACTGATTGATGAATGGAAAAGGATATTTGCTTTTACAAATAAACTTTAGGTTTGCTGATAAATGAAATTAGACATTGAAAGATGAAAGAAACAACAGGGCAGAAAAATCCTCAAATTCTGAAAGAATTAAAAATGAAAAGAGAGGGTTATATATTAGAGGGAAATCTCTGCTATCAGGCGTATTGGGGAGTCTGTGCCTCTCAAGTACCTCGGCCAATGGGGAAAGAGAGAAGGGAAATGCAGCCGGGAAACTGGGATAAAAAGGAGGCTGCATCCTCCAAAAATTTGAGAGATCCCAGGGGAATGCCCCATGGCCTTTATTCGAAAAAAGTCCAAAAGGACTCCTCTGTCTCCTTTTTGGACATAAACCTGTGGTGTTTGTGAATCAGTTTTCCTAACATGATTAAGGCATTTTCCCTAATAACCAACCTAAATCTCGCCTGCTGTAACTTGAGGGAGTTTGCACTTGTTCTGTCACTTGCTACCTGGGAGAAAAGACAGACAGAGCTCCAGCTGGCTCCATCCTCCTTTCAGGGATTTGTAGAGTGCCAAGGACCTCCCTGAGCTTCTTTTTCTCCAGGGTGGATCCTCCCAGTTCCATCAGTGCTCCTCACCAAACTTCTGCTCCAGATCCTTCCCCAGCTCCCTTGCCCTCCTCTGTCCCCATGGAAGGGCAGCCCTGTCCAGTCCCCACTGAGCAGCCCCAGTGGGGCCAGGCACCTGCATGGCAGAAAAAGGGTGCTTTTCTCCTGCCATTTCCTTTTTATTAATGAGCATTAATAAAATTACATCCCTCTCCTGTGGGATGTCATTTAAGGGCTGTGGCTTGATGGAAGCCAGGTCCCCATGAGAGGTCCTCATTGTCCCACAGCAGACATTGCTGTGTAAGGAGTGAAAATGTCACCTGAGCACTGGTGGCTTTGGAGCAGGAGGGAACATGGACAAGCCCTTGGCTGGTACTGAAACAGCTGGCAGTGATGGCAACAGGGTGAGAAGGGAGGTAGAAAACTGCCCACAACACCAGGGCTTCTTCCAGGGCACAGCCACAGCATCACAGCCTTGATGCCCCTCGGCTCCTGCTGTCCCAGGGACACAGCTGGCTCACACTCCTGTCCCAGGGACACAGCAGCTGGTTCACACTCCTGTCCCAGGGACACAGCTGGGTCACACTCCTGCTGTCCCAGGGACACAGCTGGCTCACACTCCTGCTGTCCCAGGGACACAGCTGGCTCACACTCCTGCTATCCCAGGGACACAGCTGGCTCACACTCCTGTCATCCCAGGGACACAGCTGGCTCACACTCCTGTCCCAGGGACACAGCTGGGTCACACTCCTGCTGTCCCAGGCACACAGCTGGGTCACACTCCTGTCATCCCAGGCACACAGCTGGCTCACACTCCTGCTGTCCCAGGGACACAGCTGGCTCACACTCCTGCTGTCCCAGGGACACAGCTGGCTCACACTCCTGTCATCCCAGGGACACAGCTGGCTCACACTCCTGCTGTCCCAGGCACACAGCTGGCTCACACTCCTGTCGTCCCAGGGACACAGCTGGGTCACACTCCTGTCATCCCAGGGACACAGCTGGCTCACACTCCTGTCCCAGGGACACAGCTGGGTCACACTCCTGCTGTCCCAGGGACACAGCTGGGTCACACTCCTGCTGTCCCAGGGACACAGCTGGGTCACACTCCTGCTGTCTCAGGCACACAGCTGGGTCACACTCCTGCTGTCCCAGGGACACAGCTGGGTCACACTCCTGTCTCAGGGACACAGCTGGCTCACACTCCTGTCTCAGGGACACAGCTGGCTCACACTCCTGTCCCAGGGACACAGCTGGGTCACACCTTCCCTGGCTGCCATGGAGCCCCTGAGGCCCCTCCAGCCTCCTTCCCCACCAGCCTGGGCACCAGCACCACTGAAGGCATGACAGCCCAGCAGGCAGCCAGGACAAGGAAGGGCCTCTGGTGCTGTGGGTGAGAGAGAAGCAGCTCAGAGGGACCTGGCTCCTATCCATGGTAATGCAGAGGGAGCAACCACCATGCCCAAGGAGCTCAGGAAATGGAGCCCATCCTGCTTCCAGCCTCTTTCTGGGACAAAGTTTAATGCTTTTATTCTGCTCTGTGATGGAAGAGACCATCATGTCTACCTTTGGTAATGTGATCACCTTTACAGGTGTTGGATTTATCACCCAAGATCTCCTCCAAGTGAAAAGACTTTAAAAAAACCCAAACAACATGAACTGGTACAGGAAAATAACTGAGCCACTTGAGATAAATTATTGCACTGTAGTAGGAAGGAAAAGGAACTTGGTGTTCGATTAGACACTTAAAGTTTCTCTTATAATCTCTTTTGTTTCCGTATAATTTTCTATGCTTTTTTCATCTTTGCTGTCACTCTGTCAACAACAACATGGCCATTATCAATTTGGAGCTCTCCACTGAACCATCAGGGCACAAGATCTCTGTTATTGTACTGCACTGCAAGCTCACATCCCATTCACTTTTTTCAGCCTTACCCAGGTCTTTTAGCATTACTGGTTCTAAGCTTACTGGGAGTTTGGTAATTTGACTTGCTGGATTCTGTCAAAATCAGGAGGCTCTTGGTGGAAGTAAAACCCAGGACGAGAATGAAAGGTGCTGTATTTCCAAAATGTAACAACAGAGATGCCAAAAGGTGGCAAAACCCATTTCTGCTGCCTCCTGAGACTGCTAACCCAAAGCCTGTGCACGTCAAGAGCCCAGCCCTGACTTCTAAGAATACAAGCCCTTTAAAGATCCTGAAAAAATAGTGTGGATTGAGGTACAGACTTCAAAATCTTTGCAGAAGAAAGGCTCCATGGAAGCACAGTTGCACAGAGCCTAGAGCATTTCTCAGGAAAAGGAAATAAAATTCAACCAAAACTGATTTAAAGCAGCTCATCTTTTAATTGGTCCAGACACAATTTTTCTGGTTGTACAGAAGTTCCTGTGCTCCTCTGTGAAGGGATGAGCTCTACAAACTTTTCTCAAGAAAATTAAGAAGTAAATGACTCGGGAAGCCAAAGTCAAGCTGTACAATTACATATCCCTAAAATGTGGGGAGAGAACAGAAAATGTTATTTTAGTTGTTGCCACAATCCCAAAAGGGCTTTGAGAGCTGGGTAGCTCTGCTTACCTTTCTGGTAATGATCTCAGGATTTATGATGTCAAAGAGATCAAGCCTTTTGCTGTTCAGCAGTGAGGTCAGAGCTGATCCAATACCTGTGGGATCAGCAAACCCATCCAGTTACAGGGATGTCCATCCTGGCTTGCTGCTGCTAATTGTGCCTCAATGCCCCACGACCTTCAGCCTGACAGAAAACTCACTTTTCCTTTCTCCCAGACATTTACATGGGGTTCCTCATTCCCCAAGTGTATCCAGCAGAAATTTCAAACAGATTTCAGTAGAAATTCAAACCACAAATGTGGTTCCCCTCACTTCCCAGTTATCAGTGTTATTGATGTGTTTTTTTCAGTGCTCAGGTTTAGGAGATCTGATGTTAGACAATTTATGGAGCAGGCTGGACTTCCCCAAAGGAAAACTCACTTGAAGTTACTTCTGGAATGCCAGCAACCAAGATCATATTCTGCAGGAAGCTTTGTATGGATGGGTCCTCCTGAAAACCAGAAATTTCATACAAAAATTATTTAAAAGACATTGTTTAGCCTCAAATGGCTTAGAGAATACTTTTTTTAGGACTTACCCCACTTGGATCAGCTGTGCATTTAAACACTTTAATCTCTACACTGAAAGGAAGAGGGGAAAAGGGGAAGAAAAGTCACTAAGTGCTGCAGAGATCCTCCTTTTGTGCTGCTTTTAAACATGGGCCAAAAGAGGCAACTCCCAAGAGAGCACAGCACCAACCTGGAGTCCACAGGCTGCAAAATGAGTTTCTTGTCTGCATAGGTAGCTTGGATGGTGGCTGTGATTTCCTGCAGAGAGAAGAACAGCAGGGTTCAGGCATAGCCTCCATAGCAAGGAGCTGCATTTGGATATTTTGGGTTGTTTTCTGGGAGCCAGAGCTCAACATCCTTTTGGCTTTACCTCCAGGTGTTGCTAGAGAAGGCCAGCACTTTCCTTCTCCCCTTGCATGCAATAAACTCCCCCCTGATGCCCACAGCCTCAGCCTCTGGAGCTGCAGGCTGGCTCACCCACTGCACTTTTGCTATTTTGTGAATCCTGCACAAGGATGGAAATGGCTTTCTAGGGTGTTCTTCCCCATGACACCCAGCTCAACATCTGACTGGATGTAGAGAGAACAGCCTCAGGGCTGCCACAGGTAGTCAATCCAATGCAAACCAAATTAAAAAAAGAAAGCAATCTCTGAATTCTGGCCACTTAGGCTCATTGCCTTGCTGTTGTCTGCATGTAAACACTCATTTAAGAGGAACGTTT